TACCATCGGCACAGTGGGCCGACAGCGCTGGCTGCCAACGGTTCCCAACGACCAACCGTAGCACTAAAAGGCCTGCAAAGATCTAGACCCTGCAACCAGGCTCCCGATTCTCTGCGAACCCAAGGCTTTGCTGTGGCTGTGACTTCTTGACGCCTTTCAAAAGCCCCCTGGTGAATAGCCGTATTTGCATTGGCTATTGTGGCGAGTGTCCCGGCCACCTTCATCCCCCAAGCCCAGGCCGGAACACACAAGGCCAGCAGGACTGCCCATCTTTCAAGCTTCCTCGGGATCGGTTCATTCGTTTGGCGGACTTGGCAAGATTCAGCCGGGAGCACGTTTGTCAGAAGCCTCGTTATAGACCGCTTGCAATGACTGTATCTGACCTTGGGACATGCCAATAGGACCGCTTCCAAGAACTTGGTGTCCACTCCGCCACAGATCTCACAAAATTCTGTTATTCAGGAAAAGGATTGGTCTTGAAGCTTTGCAAGCGAGCATAGCCGGCGTTGGTCTATGGTAACATCGTCCTTCGGCCTCCCCTTACAATGGTTTCTTCCTCAGAGACTGGGCCCAAGTGGCTGGATCTAGCCCGGTCCTCGCCTCTGAGCACATCCCTCTTACGAAATCCAACCCAAAGAATTTCTTGCCTTTTGCCTTGGCACAGGACTGCCATCGAGTCAACGGGAGCAGAAGTGCTCGCGCCTTGTAAATCTATTCCCCTTGGATCCTGCTTGCATGGCCGAGGGCCGGCTCCGCACCTACGCACGTACGGAAGTCCGGCACCACATATCGAAGTCGGAATAATGCCGCCTTTTCATCCTCACTAGGGGCAGCTGTGCCACTGGAAGCAATGGACACTTGCCAATGCGGAGGATGCAGCTATCTAGTTGTCCTGGCCCAGTAACAGATGTACCCTGGTAGCAAGCCAGTCGTTGGCCGCGCGATCCACGAGGGATGAGATGTGAAGGGAGCTCTGCATTCCTCACTTTGTTTCAGACATCAATATTACAACTTGAGTCAACGCCGTTGGATCTCACATCCAGGCTGTATCCATGGACCGCAGGAATGGGTTATCCCAGTCATTGTAGCTCCTGTCCAGCATTGTGTTGAGCACTCTCATCCATCGATGCTCGAGGCGAGACTAACGAACCCGCTGACCTAGTCGAATGCACACTTCTAGAGTTGTTTTTGCGAAGCCTTTAGCTCGCCGATGGTCTCTCCTGGTGTGTAGAAGAGTGGCGAATCGACCAATACTGTGTGGGATCGTGGTCTTGATAGAGCAACCCCTGCAAGAGCTCTTCCCTTACTTCTTCTACCCGGAGACGTGCACCAGAGCAAGACGGTTCTTGACGGCATTCCATGATATATGATATATGACAGGTACACACAGTTGCCATAGAAGTGTCCGAGATACTTATTCTTTGGCTAAATGTCTCGTTCCGCAGTAGGAGGAGGTTTTGCCTACCGGCTGCGTGCTGGCAGACCCGGCAAGCAAGGTCTAGCCACGCACACCACGCCTAAAGCAAGATGCAGACAATAGTTCGAGCTGGGTCGAAGATCACAGAGTCACATTCCGGCTTGAAGAGGGCGGCTGTTTGAAACGGGCGACGAGTGTTTGTGGACCTGTCTTGGTCGTGATGGTTTAGGAACCATGACCGTCGGTGACACTCGAAACTCCTCGCACTGCATCGGCGTCGACTGCTCTCACTCGTCCACCGTATCGACCGGGTCTTAGCAGTGGCGGCACACCTTGCAATGGCGAGTACTCACGGGCTGTACGTGGCTCCGGTAGTGTTGAGCATCGCAGGTCCCGGGTTTTCTGTTGTATGATACACACACCACGGCGGCTGAGAGACATGCAGGCAATGCTCTTTTCAGCTGGACATGTCAGGAGGTCGCCGGGTTACTTGCTACAGTAAGATCGCCATGAGTGGGCAGGAATCAACATGCGTACCGACAGCGAGGCGTCTCTGCTGTGCGACTGGGAAGAGGAACCTGAACCGATCGAATCTCCTAGACGATGGACAAAGACACACCAGACAGCGCTGGCCTGTTCCCTGAACATTCGCTTTTACTTTGCCAAGCGAGTTGTAAGGTCCAAAGGCCCAAGTGATCTGGCTATGCCATGTAGCCACTGCTCCGCGACAGCATCAATAACAGTCAAGTACACATGCTGAATGGATTGCTCGTGAGGCCGTTTCCTCGCCCATCGCCGTGTCCTCCGTAAGCAACATTTGCCTAGGTAAGGTACCTCTTTGAAGCTTTCCTGCGAAAGTACTTCCTCGCTCCCCACAATCATCCTCGGGACGACATACAAGGGAAACAAGGCGTCGCCGCCTCCAGGGTCTGGCGGAACGGGGTCGTTGCGAGAAAAAGAAAGAAAAGAAAAACATTGCTTCTTTCCATCGACCGATGGGACCATATCCGCTCTGCTGCTGTTTTTTCGCGCTCGGCTCCATGCAAGAGCTCCCTGCTTGGCGCTCACGTTCGACGCTCCAGAGACAGTTCAACGGCGCTTTTGTGTTACATCTCGTTGCTTTTTGTTCTTTGTTATCGTTCCGACTCCGCTCCCTTTCGATTAAGGACTGCCCGTACGTGCCATCGGCGCCATGGTAGCTTGTCAAACTTAGCCTTGTTCACCCTAGCCTGACATGTCCTGCCAGGGAAGCTTGGGCCACAGGACGGTCTCGCCGTGGAACTAACGTTTCGAAGCTTGGGGGGAGGAGGTTGAGAAAAAGCAATTCTTTCCTGGTTACAGTACACACAATGCCTTTGTGTGGCTTTCCACCACCTCTTTTTCCCATTCCCAACGGCTCCGCGTCGATCTTGGAGGAATAGCGGTTTGCGGCGCGGACCTCGACCCGTTTCCGCTCCTCCTTCTGCCTCAACTACTCCCACCCCTCTCTGTCTTTTCTTGCTTTTTAACCTCTTGCTCTTTGGTCCAGTGTAGTTACATAGTTATGTAAGCTATGTAAGCTACGTTAGTACGTAGATACCCTAGGCTACCCTCCCCGATCCCGCTGCCAGGTCCGGCACGGCTTGCCATTTTTTTCTTCTTTCTCTTGGATCTCCGCTACCAAGCCCAGACTCAAACTTCCGACCCTCGATCCCGCGCTAGGCTTGCACCGATGTACACGAATGTGGCAGCCAGGTGGGCAAGATCCCTCACCTCCTCCACCCTGTGGCGTTTTGTCTTGCAGCAACGAGGCTTGTGCGAGACGAGAGCATACCACCCTCCCAAGTGAGTGAACTTGTACAAGTAGCTCCAAGCAACCACGCACCCGGGGCGAGCAGCGCCGTCGTCGAGACCCTCTTGCCCAGGATCGCGGTCATTGCTCGGCTCGACTGATCGTACCACAGACTGGGTACTCGTAACTGCAGGCAAAGACACACATCCGGGTCACCCAAGCGCCTCAGCAGGAGAGGGGGGAACAAACAAACCTGCATCTTCTTATCCGTACTTCCTCCATGCAAAAAACCAAACCAAGTAAAGCTAATCCAGCACACCACAAGAGAATGGCCCCCCCACCCTCCTTCAACTCCCCCCAGCAGCAGCTACCTAACTTTGCTGTTAGCACCTGCTTTCCAATGCTCACGTCATTTGTGACAAGAGAGCAAGGAAGGACGAAGGGAGCCCCATGCCACGGAAGCGGGCCGGGAGCTGCATTGCGTCAACAGTTGAGTTGAGTTGCGATGGGCGATCCCAGCCCCTCCTCCTCCTCCTCCTCCTCCTCCATCAGACGGCGCCGCCTTTGCAGGGAAGGACGGTGTGATACCTACCTACAACAGGCCGAAACGGAATGCATGACTCGCTCCTGTTCACCCCTCTAGCAAGGACCACACACACACACACACAACACACATGCACTAGGCGAGGGAAGGACTGTCGGTCAGAGGTCGGTCCTGTCCTGAGCAGACAAGGGCGGGCGGCGGGTCAGGTTTGGGAAGGCGGCCGCATGTGTGTGCAAGTCGAACCGAAGGCCCGGGACGGCCCTCGCTTTCCCACGCGCGCTGAGTGATGCTTAAGCTTAGTTGCTCAAGGGAGGGAGGGGAGACGGGCCACGGCTTCAACTACCTGGGTATCGGGAGGCCGGGCTCTGGGACCCTGCCTACGGGCTTTTCCTCCCTTGCATAGGCCAGGAATCTGGGTTGGAGGGGGGGGGGGGGTTGTCTCTTTGTAGGGTCCATCAGTAGTATTGTTTTGGCATGAGTGACTTTTTGTTGCTTCCTTGCTTCGTGTCATCCTCCGGAAAGCGTGCGTGTTGAGCTCGAAGCCGGGAATAAACATGCACGTCTGCAGAGGTAAGGGGGTAAGGTGGCATGCGCCGTCCGAAACAATACTGCAATAGCAACCCTTTGTTATAGGTCTGTCTCTCTCAGTCACTTCCTGCAGGCAGAAAAAACTAGTTGGTCAAGATTCAATATTGCCAGCATCTTATTCGGGCCAGTAAGCCCATGTGCATATTCCTGATGAGCTCTAAAGCAAAAGTACAAAGTAGACCAGCACACTCGACGTCTCCTGTTATGCCACGGCGACAGAGCAACAAAGCAAAAATAGGTAAGTAGTGAGAGGGGGAAATCATCCTTGACCACATACCAACGCCTCAGACATCTGAAAGAAAAGACAGTGAAAAGCTGGCACGAGTGCCATTCTAAAAAGCCAGGCGAAACGCCATCAACGCCAACCGCCATGTCTCACTTTCCGAACCCCCTTCCACGCCCCTCTCATTATGTGCAATTCCCACGTGCGTGAGAATGGCGTGTCCTTTCCGTTTCGCCATTGCTCCTTTCTCGCCCATCATCATCATGATCCTCCCGGATGACAAAGAAAAAGTGCAATATGCAGAATTGCAGAAAAAAGAGTGAAAAGACATGTACGCTTGTGTGTGTGATGTGTGATGATTGGTGAGTAGTTGTCCAACGGTCTAAGCGGTGGCCCTGTAGCATCGCGTGAAAAGCACAAAGGACTGAGGATATATAATTACAACCAGAGGTGCAGCTCAGAACCTGCCCACGGGCTTGCGGCGAACAAGAAAGGGGCTGGGCATCTCGTCGATCTCGGGATCCCAGACAGCAGCGGGCTCAGAGAAGGCACTCCCGTGGTTAGCCAGGCCGGCGTGCTCACGGACGCCTCTCTTGGGGCTGACGTTGTTACCCTCAGCTCCCAAGACGGCGCTCAGGGGTCGGCCGCCGGCACGAGCTTGCTGCAGCTCGACGAGGGTGCGTCCGCGAACGCCGGGCTTCTGCTTGCTCACCAGACCGGGCGCAAGCTCGTTCTCCTTCTTAGTGTTGGAAGTCTTGCGCGCCGAGCTCTGGGGCTGCGTGGCGCCGCCGTCGCTGGAGGAACCACTGCCGCTGTTCAGGTTCGCCACAGACGGGATCTTGCTCAGCCGACGGCTGGGCGAGGTGCCTCGCTCACCAGAGCCGCCAGCGGCCAAGTGCAGCTTGCGAGGGCCGTCAAGTGTAGGCACTGCACTTGTTGTCTTGGAGGGTGCCGGGAGTGTCGGCGCCTGTGTCTTGAGTCTGTTGATCGGCGCCGACTTTTGGGAAAGCAGGGCCGGCCTTGTCTTGGACGTGAAGGGATTCTTGTTGGACTTGATCATGCGCGTCGGCGAGGGGATGATTACTTCGTCATCAGACTCGGAGTCGGAGGGGATGTCTGGAGTATCCCGTGCCGAGTTCCACTTAGGATCATCCGTGGCGGACGCCGGGATGGAAAAGATGTTTCCGCTATGGGTCATTGGTGCTTTGGTGGTGGCGGTTCGTCGAGGAGACAGCGAAAGCGAGGCAATCGCAACGGGCGAAGGGGATCCCATCTCGACATCCATGGGAGTGCCCACGAACATAGTCTGGGCTCGCGCGAATGGCGTGCGACTGCTCTTCTTCACCTTGTCGTTCGACATATCAGGGGAGTCAATGGACAACTCAGTGATGTCAGTTGTTGAGGGGAACTCGCCGTCCGCGCTATCGGCAGTGCTGATGGCCCCGACAGAACCGGCGCCGACAGATGAATGAGGGTAGTCTGACTTGGCGACCGAAGAGGAAAGGTCGTGAGACTCGCCGGCCGTGTCGAAAGTCACAGTCTTCTTTTGAGACTGAAGCTCGGCTTCCACCCTGGCCTGCACCTCGTGCTCAAATCTGCTGCGGAGTACTTCCAGCTCTTCATTGGCGCGCCTGTCGATCTCGAGCCGTGCCTTCACCTCCCATTCGCGTCTTAGCGATGCGTCGATCTCTTGTCTGATCAATGCCTTGTCGGAATCGATGCTTGATGTCTTGAGCTCATACTCCCGGATCCGACGGTTGAGCTGCTCCTCCTTGGTCTTGAGCACCTTGCTCAGTTCAACCACCTCCTTCTCTTTCCTCATCAACCGCACTACCGGTAGATTGAGGAGCGTCGCAGTATCAGGTCGCCGATCGGGATTGACCCGGAGGCAGTCCTTGATGACAGCGAAGAGCTCTGCCGAATAGACGGTCGGAAGGGCTGCGATCCTGCCCTCCTTGATCTTCTGCACAAGCTGATAGTGCGTCTTGGCGTTGAAAGGCGGCTCGCGTGTGCAGAGCTCGTAGATGATACACCCTAATGACCATATGTCGGACTTCAAGGTGTACTTCTCCGCTGCACATATCTCGGGAGACATGTAGAATGGCGTGCCCACATAAGTCGAGGCAAAGTCATGGGACTGAATCATCTTAGACAGCCCAAAGTCACCGAGCTTAACCGAGTTGTCCTCCCCGAGGAAGACTACGGTGTTGTCAGTGCCCCAAGAACTCATTTGCCCTCGTTGAAGCTCGCGCGCAGGGGTACTGGCTTACCGTTTTCCGGCTTGAGATCGCGATGCAGGATGGTCATGCAACCAGTCGGCACCTTGGGCTTGGCGGCTGGGCCCAGCCCGAGAACATTCTTTCCAACCTCTGGCGGATCCAGTCCGTAGTGGCACCGGTACAATGCCGTGACCAGCTGGGAAAATATACTCCAGACGAATGATTCTTCGGCATACTGGTTCTTGGTCGACAGATCCCTGATAACTCGGCCCAAATCGCCATTTCCACAATACTCCATGTAGAGATGGAGATCCTGTGACGCCTTGAGGTGCTCTCGGTGGTAGTAGGCCACGATGTTTTGATGGTTGAGGGTGGACAGGATCTGGAATTCGGCGTGGAGCTGCTCTCTCTCCTTTTGCGACATCTTGAGATAGCTGATCTCCTTTCGACACATGACCAGTCCGTCGGTGCGCCTTCGGACCTTGCGAATGACTCCGAAGGAGCCATGGCCTGTTGGGAGGGAGACTGTTAGCTCTGCACAGGGTAGTAAACATCATTGCACTCTGGAAGGACAAGGCCTTACCGATCTTCTCCAAGACCTCATATTTGTCGCTCTCTGACATCTTGAATGGCGAGTCAGGAGAGCTGCTGTTAGAGGAAGCGATAGAAGCCCATAAGACGCCGAAGTGGCTGCAATCAGAGCTCGAGATGTTCCTGCTGTGGTTAGTATTGATGCTTTGCTGGTTGGTGTTTTTGGCGATGCGTCAAGCAAGCAGCGGCGTTTCAATGTTACTTAGCACATATGGTGGAATACCCATGTCGATGGACACTATTTACAGGGCCCCGGTCTGCTGCCACAGCAACGAGGGCCAAAAGTGGTGTGGGTCGGACCGTTTGGGTTATCGGACGGGGGACTGGCGCTAGGCGGTTATCTCCACGTGAGGACCGGTGAGAACCGCATTGACCACTGGACAGGACATGCAGGTGTACATGTAAGGCCGCTAACAACCCGTTATCGATAAAACTCGGTTCTTAACGCCGAACCAAAAATGACGACAAGAGCAGTCAGTCCTCTGAAGTAGGTGCGCTTCGTCTAAATAATAATAGACTCCACTGTACGTTTGTCATTGCCAGCAGCATCTAGACTACACCACATTTGATTCCCGCCACCATACTCTGTCGCTTCGCTTATGCGCTTTTCCTTCGCCTTGCTTTTCTCTCATGGCATGGATAGAGATTTATAGACCTATTCCGTTTGTTTGCAAATCATCGGGTTAGAGCAGTTCAGAATGGTGTTGAAAAAGTACGAGCTTGAGGCCAAATTAAAGGACGAAAACCAGCTCATCCAGAGCGGCGTGCTGCGGGAAGAGAACCCTCTCGATCTCTCAGACGAATTCAAGAAATTCCTGGAAGCATGCCGGAGAGGAGATCTGAGGACTTGTCAGGAGTTGATCTCCCTCGGTGTCAACATAAACGGCAAAGACAAGTTTGACTATACCCCGCTTATCGTGGTGAGTTACAGTTCCTGTCTCCTCATCCCCCGGACGCACAGCGGCGGACCTGCATTCGAGATGGATGATTTTCTAACTATGTCACGATAGGCAAGCTTGTGCGGGCATTTTGAGCTTGTACAACTTCTTTTGGAGTCAGGTTTGTCCACCTTCGTCCTGACAATGTTCATGGTGCTTGTGGTTCTAACCCCGGTGAAGGCGCTCTCGCCGAGAGGAATACGTTCCAGGGGGAGCGTTGCATCTACAATGCCCTCAACGACAAGATACGGAACTTACTGCTTCAGTATGACTACTCCAAATCGACGGATCCACTGCAGCCTTGGGCTTCACATATCACTGCCCTCCTCACCCGGACCACGCCAAAAACCGCAGACATCACATTGACCACGAATACCGGCTCTTTTGACCTTCATAAGTTCTATCTGTCATCGCGGACGCCTTACTTTCAGAAGAAGCTTTCCAGCGCCCCAGAGACGGATAACTGGCACCTCTCGCACTCGGTGCCGGTTGAATCTTTTCAAGCCGTGCTAAGATATCTCTATCTGGCCGACCTCCCGAGGGAACTGGTCGATGCCGCCAGCGATGTCACAGAGGAGGATGTGTTCAAAGGCATCGACAAGATCAGCAGGCAGCTGGAGGTTGAGAAGCTGTGGGATGCCTTCTTGTCGGGAGATCGCCGTCTAGCCCGGCAGCGCTTTCAAGACGAAGTGCAAAGAGCACAGTCACAGGTGGAGGACTTCTTCCGCAACAACGTGCTGAAACACAAAATGGTCGTCGAGAAGTCAAAGGTCAGTGAGGTCAAATGGCCGTACGACAACTCCATCTTTGCAGACTGCCTTCTCTACGCAGACGAGTACGAGGAGGAGGAGGAAGAGGAAGGGGAAGGGGAGGATAATGAGACCGGGGTCAACCGATCGAGAGCAAACAGCATCCCTGTCGGCCCCGGTGGCGAGGTCACTACTACGAACGGCGTTTCAAGACCAAGCCTATCTGTGATCTACCCCGTCCATCGAGCGATGCTCATCAGAAGCCCATATTTCGAGACGATGTTCTCGAGCGAATTCCGGGAAGCTCAACGATCAGAACATTTGCACGTTATCAAGCTGGACTGCACACCGGAGGTTCTTGAAGTTGTCTTGACTTTTCTTTACACAGAGAAGGCCGACTGTCCCCTCGAGTTCGGTCTGGAGCTCCTCTATACGGCCGACATGCTCCTTCTAGACAAGTTGAAGAACAAGGCCGCCCTCACCATCAGCACACTTGGGAGCGGCAATAGCAATATGCTGGTGGATCGCACACACACCGAAGGAGAAACGGAGACGGAAGCGATCAACGTGTACGATGTAATCCACGCTGCCTGGGACTTGCGAGTACAGAGGCTGGAAGAATTTGCCGCGCGCTACATCGCCTACCGGTTGGAAGATTACATCGACGACGAGGACTTTGCGGAATTGATCCGGGAGAGTGCGTCGCGGCTGCAAAGCCGGCAGGAGACTGACACCATCGAGCTGCTCGACGATATTCGGTACTACCTCTCCGAGAGATTCCGTTTGCGTTTCGAAGATGCCGGTCTGGACGACATGCTGGATGAGGAGGGCGAGATCAGTGCTGGAACGGCCGAGGCTCTCGCGGCCCAGGTGGCTGCCAATAGTGAAGAGGGTAAGAGCCTAGAAGACACAGGACCGCCAGCTGTAGATGGGATCAACGGCGTTGTGAGAACACTGGACGGAGAGGCGGCCGAGGATGAATTCGAATCGGATGCTCTGAACTACCAGATACTCCTGAGAAAGATTGATGTCATGCTAGACCGCCTGCAGTTAGACGCCTAAAGGCCAGACAAGACCCTGGCCCGAGGGGGAGTGTCATCAATTGGCCTGATACAGATCAACTCAATTAATTTTGTTGCAAGGAATGGCTTTTCGACATGGCTCACCAACAGGCTCATAATGTTTCATGCTGCGAGTGGGAAGGAGACCCTCTGTTGGAAGACAGAGTGGACAATTGAACAGACCACGCCATAGAATATCGAAATTGCAATATAGATGAGCGTGCACCGCAAGCCTAGGTACCTCTCTCTAGGTGTTACGGAGATATTTGCAGCCTGGACTGAGTATCCATGGCTTTTCCCTCGGTGGTCCCTGAAAATGGGCGGCCAATTGAGAGGAGGAGTGGTGGCGCGGGGTAGAACCGGGTGCCATGATAAACATTTTCTTATCGATAATTGGAGTCTGGTGGGAGGTTCTCTCCACAGACTTTTACGTATGATTCACTCTTTCTAGCGGGCTACTCGAGGGCAAAAAGTCTCGCAACGATTATAGACTTTTAGAACCGGGTTTCTTCTTTGTACAAGCGAAGAAGCTTACTTGTGACTGGCGACCTGACGATCCTGAGTCGTCTTTCGGGGCCAATTGCGCAGAAAAGGCATTGAAGACGCAGCAAAATACACCCGCCATGGCATCGCAACAAGCCCTCACCAAGCTGGAGCTTTCGGGCCTCCGCAAGATCGCCTCGGGCAAGGTGCGCGACCTCTTCGACGTCGATGACAAGACAGTGCTCTTTGTCGCCACCGACCGCACCTCGGCCTACGACGTCGTCCTCGAGAACGGGGTTCCCGGCAAGGGAGTCATCCTCAACCTCCTCTCGGCGCACTGGTTCGGCGTGCTCACCAAGGCGATCCCGGACCTGCGAACCCACCTCGTCTCCCTGTCGCCCCCGGCCGGCGTCCTGACGCCGGAAGAGGCAGAGCTCGTGCGCCACCGCAGCATGCGCGTCCGGCGCCTCGAGGTCTTCCCGCTCGAGGCGATCGTGCGCGGGTACATCGCCGGGTCCGCCTGGAACGAGTACCGCGCGCACGGCACGGCGCACGGCCTGCAGCTGCCCGCCGGGCTGCGGCAGTGCGACCGCCTGCCGACGCCCCTCTACACGCCGTCGACCAAGGCGCCGGCCGGCCAGCACGACGAGAACATCAGCCCCGCGCGCGCGGCCGAGATCGTCGGCGAGCGCTACGCCGCCCGCATCGAGGAGCTCGCGCTGGCCGTCTACGGCGCGGCGGCCGCGTACGCGGCCGAGAGGGGCATCATCATCGCCGACACCAAGTTCGAGTTCGGCCTGGACAAGGAGACGGACGAGGTGGTGCTGATCGACGAGGTGCTGACGCCCGACTCGTCGCGCTTCTGGCCGGCGGACAAGTACGAGCCCGGCCGCGACCAGGAGAGCTTCGACAAGCAGTTCATCCGCAACTGGCTGACCCGGGAGGGCCTCAAGGGCAAGGAGGGCGTCTCCATGCCCGACGAGATCAGGACCGCCACGTCGGAGCGATACCAGGAGGTCTTCAAGCTGCTTACGGGCAAGACGGTTGAGGAAACTATCAAGGAGAGGGAAGCGAGCGGAGAGGCCTGAGAGTGTGCCTAGAAAAGACTTGGATTGGGGCAGGGTAATTAGGGTTGTGTTTGCTTAGAAGATCTCTTGACCGGCCGGCCTACTGGACTTCAATCTGTCCGGGGCTGCATCCGCTATGTATTGGGAGGCGATGAGGAATTGCCTATGGCTGATCCATACCGGGTCTTCTTGTTGAGAAAGGTGTGCTAGAATTGTTTGCAACTACTTGAGCTCGCATAAACAGGGTCTAGGGAGAGTAGACAAGAAACAACTGCATATAGAGGAGACGAAGAACTGGACCCTGAAGTGTTGCCCATAAATATCATCTGTCGGCTCAAGAGGGTGTGTTCTCGGTTGTCAAACAGACAAGGAATCGACCCTGGTGAGCATGCGATAGATCACTGGGAACGCTGCGATCGTGCTGAAGGCGCTATGACTGAGGACTCTGCTGAGCTCTCCTATGTGGTGCCTTAATTTATAGGCCTAGCTTAGCGCTAGCGTACTAAATCCTCTCTGCTCTATTGGTGTGTACCTATAATCTGTCTGTTATATATGCTCTGTCTAATACTTTAAAAGTAGTACTCTTACTTAATGTATTGTAATATAGGTGTATCTTACTTAAAAGGTAGGTAGGTAGTAGGTAGTAGGTAGGTATGGTATATATATAGAAAAAGCTTGGTTTCACCTATTAAGGAAGGGAGGGGATAATTTCTATTAGATTGAATATACTAATAGCTTAAGTATAAAATAATAAAAAAAAAAAAAAATTCCCTATCCTAAGAGTTAAACTTAGAGCTATGCCCTCTAAAGGGTATTAGTATTTATTCTTTATACTATAGACTTTAGAATTACTAGTTAGTATATTAAATATAATATTACTACTATATTAGATAGAGCTGATTAGAGGAAGATTAATATATTTAGAATTAAATACTATACTCTCTTTCTGCTTGCTTTTTACTATTAGAATAAGAATAAAGTATATATTATATCTTATAATCTATTATAGGATAGTGTTTACTTACTTAACCACTCTTATAGTTAATTTAAGTAGAGTATATATTTAAATAACAGAAGTATCTAATATTTAATATAATAATAGAGTAGGATCTATATCTATACTTATAGAAGCTTGAAAGCTCTATGCTTAGATCTAGATATATAGAAGCTAGTAGATTTTATAGTTCTTATATAATCTATCTAGCTTAGTCTAATTAGGTATTTATTATATAGATCACTTCTATAGAATCCTAAGATCACTAGATACCTATTTAAGTAGTTTGCTAATTAGTATCTAATATACTTTAAAGTCTATATAAGGTATAGATAGTAGATAGTCTAGAAGACTAAGAAGTGCTATAACCTATATGTTATATCTATCTAATATCTAAGAAAGTTTTTTCTTCTTTTACTAAATATATTATTACTTTTTCTAATCTATAGTAAAGATGATCTAGTTCTTATTTTAGGGAAAACTTTAATACTACTAAGATAGTATTTCTTTTCTTCTTCTATTCTATCTCTATAGTACTTACTTAATCCTCTTATAGGTTTCTCTTATTTATATTAATATACTATATTAGTATTATAAACTATCTCTTATATAAGTTCTATCTATATTATAATATCTAAGAACTAAAATAAGTAAATACTTTTAGCTAATACTAAGATTTATAGTATCAGTACTTTTAATAAACTACTGCCTAAAGAAATCCTACCTATCTTCTTAAGATTAAAATAATATACTAAGTTGTCTTAAGGTGCTTTTATAGCTAAATACTTCTTTATATTATTTATATATAATAGGCAAACTATAATAGTAGATCCTACTTCTTAGAGCTGTCTTTAATATTAGATAGGCTACTAATATATATACCCTATCCTATATCTCTTTACTACTATTATTATACTATATATTATCTATAGCCTTAAGCTATTAAGCTACCTTAAGCTATTAAGTTAGGATGTCTATAACTATAAGAATAATATCTATTATCTTATAGAGACTTAAATCTACTTAGGTATAAGTCTATTATCACTATCTAAAGACTAGAGATTATTAGATATCTTAAGTTATTAGTTATTATTAAGAAGATTTATACTATCTTTAACTCTAGCTTAGAATTTAAACTTTAGCTCTAGATTAAAATGTTTAAATTCTATCACTATTAAGAAGATTAAGTATTAATATAGCTATATTAAGATAGGTACCTCACTAAATACTTTATAGATTTCTATACATTTAACAGCAGCTCCTTTTATTATAGTACTTATACTTTTCTAGTTACTAGATTATTATTTTATTCCTTCCTCTAGAATAATGCTCTTATCTTAAGTATAAAGCCTATACCATTCTTAATAGAGCTCTTACTTTCTAATAACCCCTATAATTCCTCTTCTAGTTTAAGAGGATAATATCTAGCTGTTAGTGTCTTTATATAAAGGTACTAGAGGGCTCTAGTTTTAAGTTCTAGAGAGAGGAGCACTTCTTTTCTTACTATTTCTAATATTCAATCTAAGGTAAGATGCTATATATATATAATAGCACTTATCTTCTAGTATATTTTTAAGATTAATAGGTAGCTTCCTTCTTATATAGTATCCTTTTTATTATCTTAATAATATTCTTATAAGTTATCTATATATTATAGGCTCTTTAATACTATAGGCCTATATAATTATAATCACCAGCTTAATTACCAGCCTTAATATTAACTTATCAAGCTATAACTATAAGTACAATATAATTACTACTATCTTTATCATCTAAAGCATTATCTAAAATATTATCTAGCCACTCTCTTAATAATAGATAATCATTACTTATAGCTAGAAGATATATATACTTTAAGGAGGCTTTAGTTTAAAGTTTATCTTCTATAGACCTTTAATAAGTCTAATCTATATAGTCTAATCAGCAGCTTAGCTCTTAATGCCCCTATCACTCTATCCAGTCTGATAGTAATAGCACCATATATTAAATCTTCTAATATTCCTCTACACCCAATATATATATCATTCCTCATCTCTAATAAATATCTAGATCGATTACCTTTATCAGAGTCTAGTAGTTCTGACGGTCACTAGCTCTAAGAGCTCTAGCGGTAGCACTTAAGGACGCTCACAGTCTTTTTCGTGATGGCTGTCTTTGTGGTAAAACTTTTTCAAATTTCACATCAATATATTGCAATTCATCACACTTGTGCTGACAGATGCGATTTTGCTCTTAAAAAAAATCATCTTCTGGCTGTCACTCAGACAAAAGGTTGATCCCTATGAACAGCATAGAGCCACGAGAAGTGTGTAGCTTCTGAGTAAGGGGTAGCTAAAAGCTTGCGAAGTGCAGGGGTCTGAACTATATGAAGACCGTTTGGACTGTCGATGGAGAAATGTCCATAAACTTGTGGTTGAGAACATATGGAGTACGGTGGCCAACCAAAAGACAAAGCTGATGGATGGTGAGCGATCTGGCGTGTGAACACTGGGCTCGTTTCTTGGCAGTCGATCCCCTGCGGCCTGCGGGCTGACCCAGCCCAGCTGAGGCGGGCCATGCCCCATGCGGCCTAACGGCTTACTATTGTGGCAAGCAAAGGCAGACTCGCACCCCGGCTGACAGCTGTTTCCTCAACTTTGATTACCTGACGCTTTTGTCGTCCCAGAATCGGGGACGCAGGTACCAAAATACCAAAAGGAAACCAACGGCCACATGGTAATAAAACATGCATGTCTCGGTAAGCAACGGGCGAGCGAACGACGTTTGCGCATCATTGAAGGGCAAAAGCTAGGCAGCTCAGCCACTATTACGGTCCCTCTGGCCTGACACATCCGTTGCATGGATGCAGGTGTGCCCGTGAACAAAGGCCGCAAGGCCGTTAGCCTTCAATGGTTTAGCCAAGCGTACGCGCGGCGCTTGATGCATGGCGCTGGAGTCGTGCGTGCACTTCTTTGGCGATCCATCCACACGGGCTCTTAGTTCTCGCGCATGGTGAGAATCCTGTCAGAGCCGGCGCCCCCCCCGTACACCTTTCGAGCTAGTTGGGCATCCGGCTGCCGCTGTTTTGCTCTCGGTGCATTTCTCTCCTGTGCTCTCATCGTGAACCGCTTCCCTCTCCGACTGCCAAGGTCTCGGCGGAGTGTGCCATGCTTCTCGGCACTCGTAAGACTTGAGCTGTGATCCACCCATTCAACAAGACCGAGATTCCCTCCCCATAAATCCGGCTACAACGGGGAGGTCAGCTCCAACCGGAAAAGGGAAAGGGGGGCCCAAGTTCATATTAATTGAACAACCGCATCGAGGGCATTTAAGCTTAAGGTGTCCCGGATCCCCGGTCGTGCGTGCCCTGGATCCTTACCTTTTGCTGCTGCTGCCCCGCGGTCCTTCTTGCGCATCTTCTGCACACAGATGAAGATCGCGTCAATACCGCTGCTCGCCTCCGTGGCGGCGGCCGAGGTGCTGCAGCTGGGCATCAACAAGATCGCCCCGGGGCACCACACCTCGCGGCTGGCGCGGCGGGCGACGTACATCGAGAACCTCGCCAACAACATCACCGGCGGCGGCTACTATGCCGACGTCTCTGTCGGCAGCCCGCCGCAGCCCCAGCGGATGGTCTTGGACACGGGCAGTAGCGATATCTGGGTCGTCGCCTACAATGCCGATCTCTGCACGAGCCAGAGGATGCAGGAGTATTATGGCGACACCTGCAGCGATGTTTGTGAGTGATTTGACGTGGGACAATGCTTCCCCCCATGTCCCTACCCGCGACAGAATGCGCGCGCGGCAGAGAAGACTGACAGCCGCTGTGCGACGGGCGATGTCTAGTCACACCGAGCAAGAGTTCGTCTTTCGAGCTGGTAGACCGGCGCGCCTTCAGCATCAAGTACCTCGACGGCACCGCGTCGACGGGCGACTACATCACCGACGACTTTTCCATTGCCAACACGACCATCAAGTCCCTGCAGATGGGCTACGCCACCAAGGTCGTGCGCGGCACGGGCATCCTGGGCATCGGCTTCAGCAACCATGTCGCGGCGGCTACTCCCTATCCCAACATCATGGACGAGCTGGTGAAGCAGAACATCATCCCGACCAAGGCGTACAGCCTGTATCTCAACGACCGCCGCTCCCCAGAGGGCTCCATCCTCTTCGGCGGCATCGATACCGAGAAGTTCATCGGCAACCTCGAAGTCGTGCCCATCATCAAGGACATCAGCTCGGGCAAGATCAGCAGTTTCACCGTCGACCTGGAGGGCATCACCGTCGCGTACCCCAACGGCTCAAAGGCGGACATCAAGATGCCCGCCGCCGAGATGCCGACCCTGCTCGACTCCGGCACCACGCTGTCCTACTTGCCGCAGGCCATGGCCGAAGACCTCTTCGAGGACCTGGGCGCCGTCACGGACTTCAAGACCACCGGCCTGACCTTCATCCCCTGCGACTACCTGGGCGCCAACAGCAGGCCCAAGTCGGACCCGCAGACGCTGACCATCTCCTTCACCTTTGGCAACAAGACCATCCGCGTGCCCGTGCAGGAGATGGTGCTCGACGTCTTCGCCGACTACGACGGGCCCGTGCCCATCAAGCTGCCCTTCGACAACGCCTGCCTCTTCGGCATCCAGTCCCTCGGCGGCTTCTCCGGCCAGTCCAACGGCATCGCCAGCGCCGACTTCCTGCTGCTCGGCGACACCTTCCTGCGCAGCGCCTACGTCGTCTACGACCTCACCCACCAGCAGATCGGCCTCGCGCAGGCCAACCTCAACTCGACGGCCTCCAAGATCGTCGAGCTCAGGGCCGAGGACAAGAGCATCCCGAGCCTCACGGGCGTGCCCGCGCAGCAGCAGCAGGCCTCGCCCACGGCCTCCAAGACCGCGGGCACCACCACCGACAAGGGCGGCAACGTCGTCACCGTGACCGCCTCCCCTTCGCCCTCGCCGTCCAACGTGGCGGGCCGCTCCGGTCGCGCGCCGGGAAGCGACAGCCTCGTCATCATGGCGGCCGCCGGCGCGTTCGCCGTACTGGGCGGGGCGCTGATGGTGCTGTGATCTTTATCTCCCTTCTCTGACCACCCCTTTCCCTCCTTCGCACATACATACACGGCGTGAGGGTACATACACACACACACACATACACACACATTGTCGAAATTTCTTGTACATTTTCGCGGCGCCTTCCACACATATGGTCTTGTGCTGCTATGTCTACAAATTTAGCATTGGCGGCTGTACCTACTGGTTTCCAAATAGACTCGGGCCCATCTATCAGAGGTGGTCTTTTCTTGGTCAGATAAACGCATTGGATGTACCTAACCTAACCTATCTAGAATCACTTACCGTGGTTTTGTACCGAAATTTAGATGTTTATTGAGCGCGGTCGAATCGGACAGCCTTCAATGTTAATACAAGTCATCAATCTTGAAAAGAGATATCCCGCTTAGAGACCAAGTCCAGATGTCATGACACTGGGATGAATGTCGACTAGAAAACTCCATGCAAGGCACGTCAGCGATGTATCGCTCATTATGGCGTCTTTTAGATGTACCACTTCAACTTTGCCATGCTCGATAGTCGCCGTACAGAGCAATGCGACCTAGCCAAACCACGCGATGGATATATACTATGTGTTTTGGAAGGAATTGCAGTTTGCAGAGAATCGAAAGACTGGGATCAAAGACTTCTTACTTCTGCCTCCCGCTAACACCAGCAGTAGTAGTAGTTGTCTTCCCACACCGTCGCACTCGTGTCCTTGCCCCCCTTCCACCGAAAGCATGGGATCGATCCGTCTAGCCTCTCGTCGAAGATCACCTTGACCGACCCTTCCATGGCGTTACCTACGCCCTTCGCGCCGAGCGTAAACGCCTCGTCCGGGTTCCACAGGAGGACCTTTGGCAGGTCCCAGGCCGCCGCCTCGGCCACGGCCGCCTGGAGCAGCGCCGCGACGTCCTCGACCCGCCGCTCCTCCGACTCGGGCCTCGTCGTGACGATGCGCTGGACCTTGAGCTTCTTCTCCCGGAAGTCGTGGTCCCAGATCGCCCAGCTCCTGCCGTCCTCGGTGGCGGCGCCCCGCCGCTCGATGGCCCTGGAGAACATGGCGCGCGCCATGAACTCCTCGCGCGCAAAGTGCCAGGCGACCTGGCTCCAGGTCGGGCTGAAGGCGATGTGCGTCTTGCCGTCGTCGGGCAGGCCCGCCAGCCGCTCCTTGAGGTCGGCCACGTCCCTCTCGCAGAGCGCCGGCAGCTCGTCCTTGGACAGGTAGCGGGTCTTCTGCTGCTGCTGCTGCTGCTGCTGCTGCTGCACCACGCCGCGCGCCGCCTCCTCCCTGTCCAGGATCTCGAGCGTCGCCTGGTCCGAGGGGAAGACGTCCCAGCCGAGCTGGGCGTAGTACACCTTGCCGATGTCGCTGTAGAGCGCGCTGCCCTCGCTGTCGAGGTCCATGGCCTCCTGCAGCCGGCGCAGCATGAGGCTGGCCATGCCCAGGCGGCGGTACTCCGGGTTCGTGTAGACGCTGGCGATGGCGTAGGCCGACACCTGGTAGACCTCGCCCGGCAGGCCGGCGCGGCGCACGAGCAGCGTCTTGCGCGTGCTCTCGCACCCGGCGACGATCTCGTCGGGCCGGTCGCGCGGGAAGACGACCCAGTAGCGGCAGCCGCCGCCCGCGGCCAGGTCCTGGCGCGACAGGTGCGCCTCGCGGTCGACGTACTCGGCGATGGACATGGGCTTGGCCCACGACGCGCCGTTGAGCTCCCACGCGAGCTTCTGCTGCCGCGGCGTCGCCTCGGCGAAGACGATGTCCGCGGGCGTGATCGACGGGTGCCGTTCTGCCATGGTGGCCTTGTAAGATCTGGTGGGGCTGGCTCTGTCTGATGTTTCGCAGCGGAAGCCTGAAGGCGCGTGCGTCCTTGGGAGCCTTTTTTATATCTGCTCCCGATCTTTTGCCTCAGGCTCGTTCATCGACTGCCCTGCCCAGCTCGCAGAAAATGAGAGTTAAAGTGACGTGCAGTCTGTGAAGACGACTGCGGGAGGGCTTAATAAGGCGGCGAGAGCCGACACCGGCCCCTGCAATATCAACACGTCTTGAGTAAACAATTTTGAAGTTAATCAATCCAAAAAGCTAGCGAGATGGCAGACCGCAAGGCAGTCTTGAGGAGAGGCTCGAGCAGTGTTAAATATCGCATCCAAAAAGGTGCATGGACAACCGCCATCCTGCAAGCGGCAGCTCGCAACCTGGGGGGTGGTCGTGTTGGAGTGGGGTGGGTTGGGCAAGCAAGTTCCAAGGTTGGGTGGCTGAATGAGATAGCGATTGTTAGTGCTTGCATGACGTACGTGTGGGCGCTCCATCATCAGCCATCTCAGTGCCGGTCTCGCTGGGCCGCCTCGAGGTTGAACAATCCAAGCAGCGAGTAGCGCCCAAAGCGCACTTTTCCCGGCGCACCGTTGTCTCAGCTGAATGCACGTCACTGCACTCCGCCTCGCTCTCGGGATGCACGATGGACGACGGTCAACCCGCCATGCCACCGCCTCGTGGACGAGTTAAAAGGACAAACAACATCGATTCTCTCCTAAGAAGGCACCTGAAAGCTTACCCGCCTTATTCTCCCTCCTATCAAAGCAGGCGTCATATGCTACTGGCCCTATGAGAACACTGGGACTTGGTGATACTAAGTAGAATGCAGAAGATCTGTAGGAAGAGTACAAACACGACAAGACCCAGAGCTATGCGTTTACTCCATGATATCATGCCTTCATTAAACAAGCGCTAAAATCCCGACCTTGACGCCTCATGTCCGCTCGCTAATAGCAGCTCAAGATATGAGCTGTTCCCAGGTCAACAGCTGCTTCAGACCAGTGTATCCTCTTTGATAGCATCAACAACATCCGCAAATCCAACCTCGATGGAAGCCACGATGCCATCAACGATGGGATCCCTCTGATCCAAAAACGTTCTCTTCCACCGCCCGTTCCAGCCAAATTGTTTCTTCTGCAGGTCCTGCACGAAACTCCTGGCCTCCCGCTCCGTCTCGGGCGGATCTTCCAGGTACGCATCTAGAGTCTGGCCAATCAGCTGCTTGATGGGAGCACTGAACATCTTGTACGTCCCGGGCCTGATCGCCTCTTGGATGTGCTCCCACATCTCCTCACGCTGTGCGTCTTCCAAGGGCTCGGATTTGCCGTTGCGGAGGGCAGCTGTGACTTCCCTCTGCTCCTCTTCGGTAAGCCTGCTCGCAATCACCTGCTTCGCTTTCTGCTCGATGCGGCCCCGAACATCATCGGGCAGGTGGATCTCGAGAAGGTTCAGGTGCCGCTGGATCTGCTCTCGCATATTGTTGAATGCCCTCTTGTTCTTGACCCATTTCGAGATGCTCGAGTTCCAGAGCGCTGCGTCCTCTTCTTCGCAGTCTCTGCTGGCCGCCAGCTCCTCGGCACGGCTCTTTATCTCCTCGGCGACCTGGTTGGCCGCGATGCCGATGACTGCGTACCTGACCTCGCGCCACAGCGCCTCCCAGAGGACGAGCTGGACAGTCTCGGACAGGTGCTCGTGGACGTTGAGCTCGAGGAGCACGACGTGGTGCAAGGCATCCGAGGTGGTAAGCGAGGGATGCACGTCGTACTTCTCGTCAATGTCGACGCAATCCTCCGTCTTGGCGAAATTCTCATCCCAGGGGTGGATGAGGATGACGTTGATCGGAGGACCGTCCCACTTCTGGCAGAGGTCCACGAACCTCTGTACGATGTCAAACTCCTCGGCCCCCACGGAGCCGATGGAGATGTACACCATCAGGCCGCCGAGCGAGCGGACGAGATGCAAGAACAACGACCAGAGCTTGGGGAGGGAGGCGTTGGCGGCGGCAAACGACTTCATGGTGAGCCCCGTCGACGAGAGGGCCTGCGGCCTCTGCTGGAGCATCTGGAACAAGATCGACGCTATGGCAGACTGTGCCGTCATCCCGCGCGCCCACAGGAGGAAAGTCGACACGACGTGCGGGCTCTCTGCTCTTGCTTGCGCCACCCACTGCAGGCACGTAGCCGCGTCGGGTGCGTCGCACTCGGCCTGCACGATGGTCGTCTCGTGCGAGAACCTCGAAGGCACGTACTGCTGCTCGATGCTGAGCCAGTATGCCCAGGCCGGCGAGGAGGTCAGCTTGAAGGTCGTGGCCAATTCTTCATGGTAGTTGGCCTCGATTTCGAACCCGTGGAACAAGGTCTTCTTGATCTCCAGGAACAGCGGTGTGACCTGGCCCTCATGGATGTCCTTGAGTGCAGTTTCAAAATCTGGCCAAAGTGTCAGGCAAGTTTGTCTTGGATGAAGAGGAGCAATGGGCCCCACGACTCACGGTTTCGGCGAAGATATGAGTCGACGCGGTGTTGGGCCAGGCTCTTGTGCTGGACGAGTTGCATCACCAAGGCACCCGCACGGGCGTCGTCTTCGATGCATTGCTGCAGCCGCTTTATCCTCTCGACTAGTCTGCCAAACTGGAGGGCAAAGGGCTTGGAAAACGCGGTAAAGTACCTCCCTGTGTTGCGAATTAGCAAGTGTGCCTCTCGACAGAGAATGAAAATTACGTACTCAAGGTCTTTTTTGAGAGATATACGACGATCTCTCCGAGAAACTCGACTATGGCAGCATAGAGCTCGGAAACCAGCTCCAGCATCCGGCCTGTTGGGAAGATATGACGGTAGAGCTCAATCCGGGCCAGGTTCAACCCGATCTCTACGATCATGTCTGTGAACCGAAAGAGCATCTCATGATGACTCTTGGAAGCCACCAGTCCCACCTTGAGCCCACCCCAAATCAAGTTTGTGTAGAACGATCCCGCCTGGGATATCACATCTAGACACCCAGCATAGTGGTCAATGATTTCGACAAACCTGGACAGCTTCCGCTTGTCCAGAACATTCGCCTGCTCGCGTTGTACTGCGACCGCAGTCTTGTGCAGCTCGGCAAGTGTCGACGACGGCGACAAGATGCTGTCGACTTCTTCCTTCTTGAGTGTTTGTTTCAGCTTCGCGACAGTGTCGTTGTAAGCCCCGACGGCGGTCCTGGGGGTTTGTGGGGTTAGTGTCTGATGCCAAGAAAGCCATCCATGTGGTTCCAAGTCTGGGGTATAAAAGGTTATTCGCACTTGATATACTTGTCCGACTTCTCCTTCTCAGACTCCAAAGCCGGTTCAGAGAACCTGCGCACGATCTCCTCTCTGGCATTCCAGCTGTTTGTGCGCGATCCGACAGTTGTCGGAGAATCCGGGAAGGGAAAAGGTGTGCGCCACACGAGAGCGCTGCCAGACGACGAGGACGGTGTGATCAGCGTCTGCACCATCTTGCCCAGGATCGTTATGTCTCCCGATCAGTTGTGATCATGCAAGTCGGCGGTGGATGCATGCTCGCACTAGCTCTCTGGCGTTGAGCGCTCGCGCGCGTCGAGGTTTGGTACCGACCGAGCGGTGCGCCGGGAGCAACGGGAGTTGTTTATTGCACGATGCCAAGTGAACAGTAGATACGCAGAAGAGACCAAGGACATTACAAGGCAGGTCTCCGAAACTAGAGGCGTCTCTTGTTGTTATCTAGAGAAACGTAGGCCCTGAGAGTGTAGGTCCAGTAACGGAGGAAGACGACAGTGAGGGAAGTGACACGACAAGGCTACAGCGTATAATCACCACAGAGCATCGTAGCTGTGCGGGAGCTCACAGGGAGGTAGGATGAGAAGGGAACCCCCTCAAGCAGGACGAGCAGGGCATCGGGGTCAAAACCCGACAGGCCGTCCGAAGAGAAAAAGCGACGGGACAGATAAGAGAGGTAACAACCCTTTTCGCGTGCTCTCTCAGTCTAGACCTGGTCGGCCATTTCCAGATTGGCTTTAGCCCAACTTGCATTATCAATACAAAAGACAACGACTTTCAGCTCGTGGAACCAAATCGTCGCAATCCCTGTCGACTCTCCGTTTGAGGTCCAATCATGTAAGCGGGGACTTTGGCTGCGCTAGATATCCGACAGGGGGGCGGGTGATGCGGAATGTGCGGCTTGACCCTTGCCGTCCGCCATAGAGTTGTTCAGTTCATGGTGGATTGGCTTTTTGATTCTTATGCCCTCCGTGACCCACTTATTTGCCGTTTGTCTTCCGTTATCTCCTTCGTCAAACGTAATGCAAGATAGAGCGTTTTACCGTACAAAGCGAGGTGTTTTCTTAGTTTGATCACACCTAGAGCTGTCCTCAACCATCGCGTTTCGGCTCGCCACTCTGTTAGTGACCCCAATATTTTCTGTGAGAACGCTCTTCTGTCGCTGTTATCAATTGTTTCGTTCTTCGGTGCCTTGGCCGCTCCTTGATTTCTATGTCTGAATTTATTTGCAGCTATTTCTTCGAGTTGTTGCGCAGTGTCCCGAACCTTGGTTCTGGGCTTCACCATCCGGCTGCTTGATAAGCCACAAAGCTACAACGCCACAGAGCTAGGAGACTGAGGTTGTTCTCGACCAGTAGATAGAACCGTGCGTGGCGGGCAAAAGTCGAAGAGAAGAAATGTTGAAACCTGGTTAATTTATGTTATTGGGCTGTGCCTCTGTTAGATCGTCCAGAGAAAGTGCTGGGAGTAGGAAAAGGAAAAGTAGGCTTTCTATAGGTAAATAACATGCCAGGGTGTAAGATTATTGTACGTTTGCAAGCAAGGACCTTTCTGCGCAATTCAGTCATGTATCTATTGCTTCTTAATGGCCTCGTACACCTGCTCCGACCCGGAGATCCACGGATGACTCCACGCATGCCCGGTGGACATGCGCTTCCCAGGTTCCCACTGCAGCATCCCCCGGATGAAGTCCAGAAAGTCGTCCTTTCTCTTGCCCTGCAGCGACGTGACGAGAGACTCCAGCGTCGTCGGCGGTGGCAGGGGAACCACTCCCTTCCAATCGCCCGCGTCGTCCCAGTACTTCTGAGACTTTGGGCTTCTCCGCAAGAAGTCCAGGGGTGGTGGTCCGAGTATCCTCACCATGTGTGCTAGGTGGAAAGCCTCATTACGTTCAAGGTTGTCAAGTTCGTAGATCTGGAAGAGACCTTTTGGTTCGAGAAGATCCCACGCCTGGGGTAAAGGAAGGTCAGCCCTGGGTGAAGATGCCGTGAAGAAGGGCCTTGGAAAACAAAAGGAAGTTAAAAGAAGGAATGGACGTACCAAAATCCCAATCGACCATAAATCGACGGCGAAACCCCATTGCATGTCTAATAGAACCTCGGGAGCTCGGTACTGTGTGGGCATGATGAGCCCAGTTTGAAGCTCACTGTCAGGGCAGATGCGAGCGTGTCCAAAGTCACAGAGGTGCGGTGGGCCGCCAGCAGCCAGGAGCATCTGGGAAACGTGAATCACACGGTCCTCGATGACCTTCCTGGGTGTTGGGCGCGTGCGTTCGTTTTCTTCGAACTGAGCTAACTGAGACTCGTCTGTGATCCCGAGAAGCAAGTTCCCAGCGTGAACGTCTCCACGGATGATCAGATCAGCACAGGTGCTTGCCCTGCTCCCCTTCTCTCTCTCTCTCTCTCTCACACACACACACACTCTTTCCAACAAAGAAGGGGTAGTAGAAGACCTACCGGTATGAATCACACTGGCCTCATGGTGTAGAAAGTTTAGTGCCAAGACAGTCCGCTGAATGGCTGAGACTGCGGTTTCCTCGTCATAGACGCCGCCGGGCTGTAGCTCTTGGAGGAGCTTGACGCTGACGCCAAGCGGAGGCAGGACAAAGACAATGTGAGGGCCGCAAGAACCCTGGATTGTGAAGTGGTCCTCAAGTAATCGGATTTGCTCACGACCGGAGTGCTCTGATTGGATAGACTTCAGGTACTGGAGCACCTCCAGCTCTCGAAGGCGTGATACATGAGTGACGTGCACTTTAAGCACAACGTAACGATGAGTTCTATGAGCGTGTGTTAGAAGACAAAAAGAAGGAGGAGGAGGAGAAGAAGTGATATGATGGCCGAAGGAAGGGGGCGGTCTTACAAGAGGTCCAGGGCTAGCCATGTGGTGGACGAGGCGCCATATCCAAGCTTGGCTATGACCTGGTACTGATCGCGGATGACCTCGCCGATGCGCGCAGGATAGAACAGTCCTTCTTCATAGAAAGGGATCGTCTCCTCCTCGACCTTAACCGACTCGTCTATGCGGTCAAAACCGCCCTGTGGAAAGTTCTTGGGGGACACTCGACGATGGGCGGCCAGGGAGGTTGACATGATGGTCCTACGGGAAGGAGCCGTGCGAAAGAAGGGAACGCGTCGAGCCGCTGCCGCCGCAACAGTGCGTGTGCCAAACACAGGGAGGAAAGGGGAAACTGGAAGCAGCCGGGCTTCAAGCATTCTTTGTTTGTCTCGCTCATCCCCATCGGATTATGATGCTCATTTTTTCGGCGCGCAGAAACGACTTTGATTTTGAGTTGGCCGAGATGTCCAACACTACAGAAGGCAGACGGTGGTAGTTCCGTCTTTCTGGAAGGACGGTGAGTCTGACGGACGAAAAACGGCCTGGTTTGCCACTAAAAATTCTCCCCGCTTTTCTTCTGCCGACTACAAGTACAAGTAGTTATGTGAAGAAATGATGGTGCACCTCCTACCTACCTTGCAGCGCTACGCTCCGTTGAGGATCGTACCGAGAACGGAGCTGGAGACGACCAAGGGCTCTAAGACGTTGAGTCCTGGTCGACCGGAGAGATTCATCCAGGCTCATCCAGGCTCATCAAGGCTCCTCGTTGGGCGCGGCGGTCTCAGCGACCGAGTCCGTCACCTTCACTCCCTTGAGACCGTCCCGATTAGCCCGCCATACTCCTTCCTCACCCTCAAATTCCTCTCGTTTCCAGACCTCAACACGCGATTTGCACTCCTCAAGAGCTTCTTCACCGGCTCGCCAAGCAGCCTGCCGGTGAGGTGCGGAGACGGCAATCAATATGCTTTCTTCCCCAATAGGAACAACACCCAGCCGGTGAACCATGGCGATTCCCTTGAGCGAATGTTTCTCACGGATCGTCTTGGATATGGCCATCATTGTCCGTAGGGCCAGCTTTCCGTAAGCCGAGTATTGGAGTTCTTTCACTGGCTTGCCCCCGAAATTGTCTCTCGTGGTCCCTGCGAGGGTGTTAACGCAAGGCAAAAAGCCTGACAAAGCTGGGGGGGTCAATGAATAAAACCACGAACCAGCAAATAGTACGATGGCACCGGCCTCGGGGCTCCGAACTTTGTTGATTACATCTTGGGCATTGAGGCTGTCGGTAGTCAGAGCTACAAAGCACCCATCTTCGACAGCTTCATCAGCTGGCTGGTCCATCTGCTCCAATTCGCCAGGCGAGAGATACGAGGCGAGGCCAGGGTTCAATTTCGATCTTCAGCTGGGGATTACCTCATAAACTTTGAGAGAACATGGATTGTAAACGATAGAATGGGTCCGAAGATTCAGGGTTTGTTTGTTAGACTGACGGGGTTCCAAAGCTTGACATTGGAGGTGGAGGGGCGAGCTACCTACACCTTCTGTATTCCAGCTGAGTTTAGCGCACAGCTCTGGCAAGTGGAACAACTGGAGCTGGAGACCTTTAAACGGAAAGCTATGACCCGACCCACGTTGCGCAATCTCTCAATCCAAACCTCACAAGGCTCTACACATATCATTTTCTTCCGCATTCCGCAGAACTGCGTTGCGCAACACGATAATTCGAGAGCATTGCCCTATCCCTCTCCAGGGCCATTAAGGGATGATGCTCGATTCGGCACCGTCCCACCATGTATGACCAATCCCAGTCGACGTCGCGCGACGACGCAGGTTACCGGCGAGATGACCGGGAACACTACAAGACGCGGAAGGGTAAACCAGCGAACCCGGCTTTGCATACCGAGCACTCTTACTCGTGACTCTCTTTTGCTGACCCTTGGAATTTTGTGCGATGAAAGACCGGTCAAGGAGCCCGCGCAGAAGTCCTCGTCGCGACGACCAGTTCTCGCGACGTGGGCGACAACCCAACCGACGCGACTTTGACGAGCCTGGCCACCGGAGAGCGAGGAGTAGCGATCGCACGCAACCGGATCCCTCCTTTTATGATGACGACCCTCGGTACGACGACCAAGACCAAGAGCGTCATGGTAACCGTCGAGGCGGCTTTGGGAGATCGTACCGTTCGCGGGATCCGGACCACTATGGAGAGGAACGATACGGTTACCGGTCGCGCGGGGACAGTCAAGATCGCCGCCCCAGGTCGAGGTCTCCTCTGCGATCAGAAACGCTCATCCTGGAAGGGCTGCCCGATGATGTGACAGAGAAAGACGTAATGCGCCCCTCCTTAGCACCCAAGACCAAACTACCTGTGGCTTGCTTGGCCTTCTAGTTGCCGTGCTGACAGGGCTTGTAGATTCTTCAAGGCATCGAGATTATTGCAAACTATCCCGAGTTCTCTACAGATTTGATCAAGGCAGTCCGCCTCAGATCAAACAAGAGAGGTTGGTACCGCGACCCTTGGCTGCCCCCTGGACCCCGAGTAACATGAGATACAGGTCGCCGAATCGCTTTCCTGGAGTTCTTCCGTGCTGCAGATGCTGCGGACTTCCTTGAGCAACACCCGCCCACAATCTCACTTCCTCTTCCTGAGTCGAGAGGCCTCCAGTCCGAGCCGGTCAGGGTGGGCATCAATTATAGTCGGACGAAGGAGGATGCCGACCGCGGAGGCAGGTCCGATGACCTGGACTGGACATGCAGCGAGGTGAGCCAGATCTTGGTATGCTTGTCAAGGATGCCGTGCTCATGCTCTTCAGTGCTTTGCCACCAATTATCCTCAAAGAAACGCATGTTATAAATGCAGGGCTCCAAGGCCAGGCAAGTGGCACTTGCAGGCACCTTCGGCTCATGCTCTTACTCTAACCTATATTTTGCAGACCGTGAACTTCAGTATGGCAACGGTGGTGGGCTCTTGGGCCTCGCTCGGGATCAGATTTTAACGGGCGAATCGGATGAGGAGCCTCAACAACTTCCTTCTCAGTATATCGTGATCCGAGATCTCGAGCCCTCAGTCACTGAAGAGACATTGGCAAAGGGCGTCATGAAGCTGTTCGTTGAGGACAGCTCACCCGCCAAGGACTCGACCTCGGCACCACCGAAGCTAAAGTCTACTGCTCCCGTCGGCAACACGACAGGCCTTGGAGCGCGGCCTGGCTCTCTCCGACGGGTCTTTTTAATTCGTGATCGAGCCTCCAAAGAGTCCTGGAAGTACGGCTTTGCGGAATTTGCAACCCTCGATGATGCACATGGTGCTGTTTCCAAGTATCGCGCTTCTCCCAAGTTCACGATCGCTTCCAAGCCTGTAATCGTGGCCTTCATACACACGGGTGTCTTTGTCCCAGTGTTTGAGCCTTTGACATCACGAAACGCGCACATTGGATTTGCTCCCATATACAACCCATCTATTACAGTCAAGTACTGGGATGATCGAGCATATCCGAGCCCATTCATCGTCTCTGATGAACCTCTCCCTGACCAGGGCAGTCCGGAAAAGGCTGCCGATGCCGACAAAACCGCAGTGGCCCCAGGCTCAGCCGCGTCCGATGCAAACAAGAAGCTCAAGAAGGCCAAGGACAAGCCGGCCATCATGGCACCTCAAATGCAGATGTGGGCGAAGAAACGCGCCGAACTCCATGGAGGGCCTAAACCCGCCACCACAGGGCAGGATGATGATGCTATGGATTACTCCCTCGACCGCGAAAATAGCGGGCCGCGAGCTGCTCACTGGCGGGATACATTTGTCTCATATGCAGACAGAGACAGTATTCATTGTCATCTCTGCGCCAAGAAGTTCAATACGGAACAGGAGCTGCGAGACCACGAAGTTCTCTCGAAGCAACATCTGCTCAATCTCGACAACATCGATTTGAAGATCAAGGCCACAGAAAAGCTGAAGGAGCTTGACAAACAGTGCGACACGATCACCCGAAGGACACCTCGCGATCGTACGGCTCAAGCTCCATCCTATTTGTCCTACGCCGATAAAGAGAACTTGGTCTGCCTCGTCTGCGAGCGCAAATTCAAGCGGCTTGCCACACTTCGCCTGCACGAGAGAGAAAGCGAACTTCACCGGATCAAGAGCGGGAACGAGAAAAATGTGAACCGGGCAGTCGCAGAGTTGGCGAAGCTGGGCCAACGGCCTATGCGGCTCAGGGCCAAGCAAGCCGCCAACCAGAGCTCATATCGGGACAGGGCTCGGGAAAGAAGAGTGGCATTTAACCAACCGAAGCGGCCCAGCGGACCGCAGGCGGCGAAGACGTCCGCGGGCAGAGACGGTGAAGCAGCAACGCCGAAGAAGCCAGCCAATACTCCTGCGCCTGCACCGTCGAAGGGTGCGGCCCTGCTGGGCAAGATGGGCTGGTCGGCTGGCCAAGGCCTGGGGTCGGAAGGCACAGGCAGGACCGAGGCGATTCAGACCGACCTGTACATGCCAGGAGTTGGCTTGGGTGCGGAGGGTGGTAAATTAGGGGACGCGGCAGAAGAAGCGGCTCGCAAGACTGAGGGCCAGTATTCTTCGTTTATCGAAAAGACAAAGGATAAGGCGCGCGAGCGGTTTGAGAAATTATCATGAGGGCCGTATCACTGGGCACCATTTGTATCTGTTTATAGAGCATTGTAGAGCACACATAGGGGCCGGAGCGTGATTGATACCCGAGCAATGCGAAGCTACTGCGTGGATGAACGAGATTGCTGCTCTTCCTGACCTTCTAAATGATACTTCTACCTGGTCTTTCAGGTTGTCGTTGCAGTGGATTCCTCGTGATAATTAGACAGCTACAGACAAGTTTATTCCGCCCGTACACCGGGATTGTGACAGAGATGTGTATGTCTTTGCTTGGCAGTACATTGAGGGATGTCGTTGTATGAAGCCATCTTTGGGATGAAGCCAGCCAGTTGAAACCAGGTGCCACCGTCTCCAATGTCGCTCTTCAAGGTGGGACCCACCTTCCTTGATTGATGGCTGTTGCCAAGTGGGCCAGTATCTGATTGGCCATAAATCTGTAGACCGGCACCGGCAAAATTCACAAGCCGAATTTTCGTTAGGGCAACCAGGCGAATTTTCAATGTGCGCACCAAAAAAATCCCAGCCCCATTTGATGTACCAGCTTCGGATCATCCTCAACTCCAAATCTCGAATTACTGACGACAACAGGGAAACGTAAGTCGGCACACCTTACTTTTCTTTCCTCGATTTGCACTTCGACCTTCGGGCTTCCGCGAGACAATACCATCAGTTTCTGACTCTCCTTTTCAGATCACCAGCAAAATGGGTGAAGCCAACATCGTCGGTTCGAAGTGGCGCCAGGTCGAGGTCGGCCGTGTCGTTCTCATCCAGGGCGACAGCCCCTACGCCGGCCACCTTGCCGCTATCGTCGAGATCATCGACCACAAGCGCGTACGTTGAACCCAGCAGGAACCCGAGCGCGGACGAGGGAAAGAAGACAGATTGATTGACATGGAATGACTATAGGCTCTGGTCGACGGACCTTCCTCAGACGCCAAGCTCGCTGTCCCCAGACAAGCGATCTCCTTCACCAACTGCCTGCTCTCTTCGATCGTCATCCCCAACCTTCCCCGTGGTGCGAGAACCGGTGCCGTCCAGAAGGCGTGGGCCAAGGCTGAGGTCGACAGCAAGTGGGCCGAGACCAACTGGGCCAAGAAGCGCCTCCAGGCGTCTCGACGAAGTGCTCTCACCGACTTCGACCGATTTAAGGTTATGAGACTGAAGAAGCAGCGCCGCTTCGAGGAGCGCAAGGCTCTGGCCAAGGTCAAGGCCTCCGCATAAACGACTTGAACGAGGAGGTTGGTCTTGGAGGAGGGGGACGAGGGGAGCTTGTCTTTGGGGCGGACGGTTTTCTCGGATTGGAATTGCATCAAAGAACAGCATTTAGGGTTGCTGGATTTCACTGCTACTCTCGGGAGACCTGTATGTCACATCAAAAGTGACGGGGCGTCAAAATGAAATGGAAATTCTGAATCAATTCTCTGCATCATCATCATACCGGGCCTTTGTATGCCCTCGGGGCGTTCGATCATAGATCTCGCAGAAATGCAGGCAATTTGTGACCATCCTGGTATGCTCCATAATGAAACTGAGTGATTTGCCCTTCTACGCCTTGTGCATGTGTTGCATAATAATTATACCTTAATTCGTCAAGTCTCTGTGGTGAGCATAGCCGACCCATCAAAGTACTTCGTGCATACATTGGGTTGATGGTCATAAATCGGGGCTCCTCAAAATGGCCCAATTAGGCTTAGCGGCAAGACACATCCGCAAACCCTACCTGGAGATTTTGACCTTGTCAAATACTCTGGACAACCGACACAGCTCAACTTGACGAACACTTTCTAACGGAACAAGTCGCATCCTGCTCAAATCCCCCGTAAGTGCTGTCAATTCACATGATTGGATGCGAATCCAGAGAGTTTCGGTGGATTTCTTTGCTCGACCGATCCTTCACCGACCCATCAGCTGGAGAGTGAAATTCAGCCTGGGGAACCGAACATTTTGTGTGAAAGTCGAGCTGACGGGCTCATTCTCAATCTAGGCACCCACCCTACCAATCTACCGAAAATGGCGAACCCCCGCGTTGAGGAGCTTCCCGATGAGGAGCCTAAGAAGGTCACCGTCGAGGAGCACGACGACGACAGCAGCTCCGACTCCGAGATCGAGGCTGGGGACGCCAGCCTTCCCGCGGGCTCGACTGCCGTGATCCACAACCGCAACGAGAAGAAGGCCCGCAAGGCCATCGAGAAGCTGCACCTCCAGCGTGTCGAGGGTATCACCCGTGTGACCCTCCGCCGACCGAAGAACGTGAGTCTTTCTTTGCTCGATGACGGCATAAGGCTGTATTACGGGGAGTTGAGGAGTCATTGGGGGTACCTTTCGGAGACGAGATGGTCCAAGGGTCCTTCTTGTGGCATTCGCAAGCCTCGATACATATACAGAGCCTGCCAAGCTCTCGAATATTGTGCAGGACTAGAGAGAACTGACACCGCTTCAACCAGATCCTCTTCGTCATCAACCAGCCCGAGGTCTACAAGTCCCCCAATAGCAACACCTACATGTGAGTCGTCTGAACATCCATCGCATCCCCGGTAGCTTGCGGATAGGATATTGACAGGTAGATGTACAGCGTCTTCGGTGAGGCCAAGATTGAGGACCTGAACGCCACTGCCCAAGCCGCTGCTGCTCAGCAGCTCGCCAGCCAGGAGCACGACCACGCCGGCCACAGCCACGGCGAGGGTGAGCACAAGGAGGGCGGTGAGGACAAGAAGGACGACGACGATGATGACGAGGAGGTCGACGCCGAGGGCATTGAGGACAAGGATATCGAGCTGGTTATGACCCAGGCCGGTGTGTCCCGCAAGAAGGCGATCAAAGCCCTGAAAGAGAACGACAATGATATTGTCAACTCAATCATGGCGCTGAGCGTCTAGTCTTTTCCCTCTTCTTTATAGCCGGCACCCGAACTTCATCAGCCCTTCTTGCCTGGGGTGAATGATCATCATAGCATGGAATTGGTGGTAAAATGGGATCAGGGTTTATGCTGTGTACTACTGCTGCGGGACTTTGCTCAATTGGCCGCATGTTGAGCGGCCCTGAGGAAAATCTTTCAAAATCTCATGGATTGAGACAAGCCTCGTACTCTACTGTTCCATCTGCGTTCATGTGCTCGTTATTGGCCTACGACAAGCCAGCCTTCTTCCTGTTCCTGTTGGCTGCTTGTGCAGGCTGGCTTTGCTATGGAATTGCCCTGGCCACCTGCGATGTCTCTTTGAATAGCCTACAAATCCTGTATGGGAGGAGGAGGCTTGCAAGCTTCTTCTCGTCGAAAAGGAGAGCAAGTATTTGTCCTCAGTACAGCATTATTGCTTGCATCAGTGCTTGAGCTTGGCGGAGCTTCTCCGTTTTTCGGGAGAAAGCGCTTGGTGAATTTGAGGTGGCATCACGTGACTCACACCCGTGCTTCCGACCCGAAGCAAGTTCGGCAAAGTGCGACAACATTCTCGACGAACCTCACTCTCCACTCCTTTGCACCTCCAAATCAATCGCGATCATGGCCGCAGTAAGTACCCTTTTGCCAATTGATGCATCTGAGGACGATGATTGCTCTCCTCGAGCATTGCTTTACCCCGAGCGCCCCTTTTGGCGGGAACACCCGCGCTGTTCCAGGAGGCAGATGAGCTAATTTCGATTTTGTCCCACGCCTGCAGCGAAACGCAGCCCTCAAGCTCGACTGGGCCAAAGTCACCACCTCGCTGGGACTGCGCGGCCAGACCGTTGCCTCCCTGCAGGCCTTCAAGAAGCGCAACGATGACGCCCGCCGCAAGCTGATGATGCTGTCGGAGCAGCCGACAACGGTCGATTTCGCCCACTACCGGGGCGTGCTCAAGAACCAGGCCGTCGTCGACGAGATCGAGAAGCGCTTCAAGGCCTTCAAGCCCGCCACCTACGACGTCGACCGCCAGCTCAAGGCCATCGACGCCTTCGAGGTCGAGGCCATCCGCAACGCCGAGGCCACCAAGGAGAAGGTCGACCTGGAGCTCAAGGACCTGGAGAAGACGCTGAAGAACATTGAGGATGCCAGGCCATTCGAGGACCTCACTGTTGTATGTTTTTGGGAGACTTGGAGAGGGGGCTCTTTTGAGAAAGAGTTATATGCTGATCAGACTGTTTCAACCAGGACGAGGTCGCTGCTGCCGAGCCTTCCATCGACGAGAAGACCGCCAAGCTCGTGTCCAAGGGCCGCTGGTCCGTTCCCGGCTACAAGGTAATTATCAACTCAACCCCACATGCTTTGATCTTCGGACCAGTTACTGACCCCCCTACAGGAGAAGTTTGGCGATCTGTCCGTCCTATAGACAGCCTAGCCGGTCTCTTTCCTTTGTGTACTCTAGCATTGTAGATAGGAGAAGCCAGCCAAGCGGGGCAGTAAAACTCGTTGTTTTCGATACTACCTATCTGATCGATCCATGACACTGTGGCAAGCTGTTCAGAGATATGGTATTGCATTGTCTAACAGGGTTACAGCAAAATATGTTTATACATGTTTCTCGCTTCATTGCCAGCAAGCAAGTCACTTACTCAGCTACCCATGCTAACCCGCTCAGCATCTTCTTGTCTGCCTCGCGGGCCTGCTCGAGATGAGGAGCTTTTAGCCAAAAGGTATGTGGCCAACCCTTCACAACGTCGACCTGCACCTCGACGCCGGCATCCTTGAGAGCTCTAGCATAACACACGCCGTCCGAGTAGAGCATGTCGTTGGTGCACACCTGTATCCAGTGCCGCGGGAGCTTCCTGAGCTCCTCGCTCGAAGCCTCGAGCGGCATCTTGGCGAGCCCGTCGCGGGGCACCTTGCGCTTCATGATGCCCAGGAGGCTGGTCAGGAAGGACATGTCCCAGGCGCTCGTGTGCATGTCGCGCAGCTGCTCGGGGACGTACTCGGGCCCGCTGAAGGCGTCGCTGGTGACGGGGCATCGCAGCAGCACGCCGTGCAGCCGGCTGCTGCTGCTACTGCCCTCGGACTCGGACTCGGACGCGACAGCCTGGGACACCAGGGCGGCGAGCTGCCCGCCGCTGGAGCTGCCCACGATGAGGATCTTGGTGTCGGTGCCGCTGTGGTCGACGGACAGCTGGCGGATGGACCTGAAGGCGTCGACGCAGTCGGCCACGCAAGTGCTGGCCGGGTGCTGCGGCATCAGGCGGTAGCCTACGGAGTACAGGGTCGTCAGGCCCGGGACGCCGGACTCCTTGAGGATGCGGCGGCACTGCAGGTCCTCGCTGTCGGCCTCGCCGACGTGCAGGCCGCCGCCGTGGTAGTACACGACGATGGTCCGGGGCGAATTTGTTTCGCCGTCGTCGGCGGCGGCGGCAGCAAGGTCGTACCGCAGGACGGGGATGGCGAAGCCGTCCTCGCCGCTGGAAGAGGGCACGGTCATCTCGACCGTCGTGATGCCCTGCGCCAGGTGGTGGTCCCGGGTCCCCGGCGCCGTCATCTCGGCGGCCAGGGCCCGGCACTCCTGGGCGTAGATGGGCTGGCGGACGACGGGGTCGATGACGGGCCGCGGGGTCGGCAGTTTCATCTCCCGCTCGTACTGGACCCAGGCCGGGTCGAGGAGGGGCGCGGTCTGCAGCACGAGGGACTCCATGGCTGTGACGGGCTCGTTGTGCAGCACGGCGGGCTGGGGAGAGGAGAGGGCCGCGTCCACCGTGTCGGTAGTCATTTTTTATTCTTTTTTTCTTCTTCTCTCTATTGCATTCGACTAGATAGATGGTCCCGGGGGGGTGGTGGGTTGACTCGGGAGGGGAGGTTTATACGGGGCGGCGGAGGCTCCGTGTCTGTGAGGATTGGTGGATGATTTCGTTAGCTAGGTTGTTAGAGAGAGGCCTAAGGGAAAGCCTTCTGGTCCCACCTTGGGGGGTCTTCGCGTGGGCTAGCAGTGGAGTTGGGGAAGCTAAGTAGGTAACAAGTGCGAGAGAGCGAGAGAAGAGAGGAGACAAGGTATGGATAGTTGGGCTTTGACAAAGGTAACGAGGCTGGTGTTTGGGCGGAGGTCCCGCGTAACGTCAAGTGATGTCTGTTGGTGTTGCTGTCGTAGTTGCACGATTTCACAAAAAGGGCAGTGCGGTGTTGTTTCTCATGGGAAATGCAGAAGCCACAGGGTTTCCTAGACTGGGACACAACAGGGCCCTTTTAAACACAGACACCAGGACACATGCGATCCATACATGGCATGGAAGTGTGCACAAGCACATCATACAGCATCAGCCTATGGTGTGTCTCTTTGCAAGGGCTCTCGAGGGAGGTGGCAGAAGAATTCCCTCATGGCTCGGGCACATCTCTGGCTCCTCCTCTCGCTCTTGGTCCCTCGCTCGCTCGCTCGCTCTGCTCCTCGGTCGGGCCATTACTATCTATCCCCTCAGTCCGTTCATGTCCGCTTCCTCTGTACTATCCTTGACTTGAGTGGTTATGCTCCCTCCTTGGTCAGTTGGGCCTGTAGTCCACAGTGCGTGCGAGACTGATTGAAAAAAACAGTTACCAGAGAGAAAGTCCTGGCCTCATTTGTCGACCTTGGATGGTGAGAGGGGGGGAAGCAGGAAGAAGAAACGACTCCGCACCGGTCAGTGGCTTGGTCTGTCTGGGATGAGGGATGCTGTCTCTCCAAAGTCTAATTCGTTTTCATGGCTGCAACACGCCCATCGACCGGGGTTGGTTCTGGAATGCCTTCTGGAGACTTACTCCGTACCTAGTTAAGTGGTCCCAGCTTTTTTTTCCTTCTTTCGGCCATTCCCACAACACGGTACAAGTACGAAGTAACTTGTTGATGGGCGCAAGGACCCATGGACAACTTTCCCGGTTGGCGGGTTTGGCTAGGTCTCAGTGCGGCAAGGGCATTCCCGTTTCCCCTCTCTATGTCTCTTCTTGGGTCTGTCTCTCTCTTGTCTAAGTCAACGTGTGCTGTCTGTAAGAAAGGCGGTGACTCGAGCCGGGGCTGCTGCGATTGGTCTTCCTCTTGCCATGATACCGGTTGCCTGGCTACGAATGGTCGAATGGATGTCTATCTCAAACAACCCATGCTTTTTATTTTCATCATCATCAGCTTCTTCATTTTTTTGGGGGATCCCTTGGGCGGAAGATGAAATGACCGGCGTTCTCCGGCATCGAACAATCACAGGCCATTCATCGTATCCCATCACCCCAGGTTAGGCCCCCTTGTCCTTCCTGCTGCGCCATGGCTTCTCTCTGCATCTCTGCATGCCGCCCTTAACCGCCGCCGGGTGCGAGGCGGGACGTGATGGAACGTCGGCAACCCTGCCTGCCACATGGGTCCATGTACACTGTTTCTCTTTGGGGAGGGCGCACGGCGACGGCAGCATCGAAAATCCATGCTCCTCAGCTCCCCATTTCCCATGTTGCGCCCAAAAGAATGGAGAAAGGGCCTAGACCGCGACACAGCATGGGTGCAGTGTACGGAGTAAGGCCGACCTTGTCAGAAAGAAGCAATGCTCTTTCCACCTTTACCTTCGCTCCAGGCACGAGCGAACAAAGGGGGCCCTTTGTTCTTTTTTTTTGTTTCGTTTTTCCCGCTTTGAATCCCTTCCTCGCCGTTTTATGTCAAGACGTGCAGAACACTCCCAAAACCCCCCACACCACACCGGGATATACTCTTTTCTCCGACCAGTCTGACCCTGACCACTTTCGGTAATCACGGCAGATTTCCATACTGCTTTCGGCTTGGGCACACATGAGTGTATGAGAGAGATGCAGCCCAATGGACCCCCAGCCAAGCGGTCCCCCCAATCTTGTGTAGTTTTATTTTTCCTCTTTTTCCCGCGTGACCCTGTAATTCCCGTCCGACCGAGGAGAGAAAAGTCGGTGACGCAGATTTCGGGCAGGGAAAGGGAGAGGGAGAGAGAGAGAGAGAGGCCAGGGGGACGCGAGTCGGCCATTTTGCGTGCGGATCGGACATGTGGTGCCAGGCACTCGCTCACGCATTTCCACGGGGCTCTCGCTGGGAGCTGTGGAGAGAGAGAGAGAGACCCAGTCGGTAAAGACCACTGGTAACTAGTGTAGTTACGTAGTTGAAAGGTACCCTGCCCGATTATCCAGACGCACGTCACAGGGCAGCAGAGGAGGACCCGAGTCCTGCCAATGATCGGTGCCCGGTCGGCTGATGCGCTGACGGGCAGCTGTTTGGTCGGAACTTCGCATGCGAACAGGGTCATCTGATTTGGGCCCCCGAGGCGTGGACATGCTGTTTTGTTCTTCTGGTTATCAGCGCAGCCAAGGACCCCCTCCCCGGCGTCGCAAATGAAACCCACGTCCGCTTTGTGTGTCTTTGATGCTCTTCGGAGATGATCAGCGCTGGGATCAAAAGGTGAGGCGATACGAGGCGAGGGCAGAAAGGAAGAGAGGAGGAAAGACTGTCGAAGAATTCCGATCCTGGATTTGTTGTCACCAATCGTATAGCAGTGAGGTCAGCAACATCGAATAGGGACATGACAGTTGTTTGGGATGGGCCACTTTCGGTCAATATGACTCTTACTTTCTTTGACGCCCTGGGCATATTGGGACGAGTGCCCCCAAGTCCGGACGAAGCTCAATGTAACTCGCAACCAGGCTTCCGTTGGCAACCGAGGTCGCAGACTTCATAGATCTCGATGCCCTGGTCAGGCTCGTTCTGCACGGGTAACCGGGTTATCCAACTACCTAAACACAGCGCACCTCTGTCCATGACATGACATGACGCGGAAAAAGACGATGCGTGTCGATCCGACAACTTGTTTTTATTCTAACTTGAAGCAGGTTTGCACAGAGCGACAAACAGATCGTTGAGTCAGCCTCCAGCCTTGTTGGACTGATCTGCGTACGCAACAAAGCTTGCAGACAGTCGGGGCTTCCAGCAAACAACTCTCTGCTTTGATCCCAATCTCGCTCACCAGATTTTTCAATGGCAAACGGCACACATTGGCGGACGTAGTCTTTTATATTAGGGTTGCTAGAGCGTGGCTACTCCTTTATATACACTCTCTTTGACGCGATATTACCTCTCTCCTGATTTCAAAACATCTTGAATCCCAGAGAGACTCTCTCTCTCTCCCTCTCTTCAGAACAAGGCAAATATGGCCCCAAAAACTTGACCAGATAGTCCATCCTCGTTCGACATGCAAGTATCTCTCTCCTTGAGTTTACTATAACCACAGGAGAGGGAAAAAAAGGTTCAAACATGCCCACAATCTTACACATACACACACACACTCTCTCTCTCTCTCTCTGTGTGTGTGTGTGTGCGCCATTATTCCTCCTCCGCAGACCTAGCCTGCGTCGCAATGTCCTTGCTCAGCGCCATGATCGACTTGCCCTCGAGGGTCGGGACCGTCACGCCCATCGTCCGCAGGATCCACGAGATCATGAACATGGAGTCCATCGAGTCGATGCCGTACGCGCCAAAGTAGTGCTGCGGATCAAAGTCGGCCGGGACCATGCCCTTGCGCTTGGCGAGGGTGTTGATCACCGCCGAGCAGACCAGCTCGGCGGCCTCGTCCGCGTCGTCCGCCTCTCGGAGGCGCGTGGCGAGGTCGTTGCTCTTGCCCAGGCTCGTCGGATCCTCAGTCGGTGGCGCATCGACGAGGTTGAGGTGCCGAAACATGGGCGCTCTCGCCCAGAAGGGGTCCACGACCTTGTTCTGGAGCGTCAGACCTCCTGTGCCCACGGCAATGACGACCTGAGGCGGGAGCTTGAGGGGGCCTCCTCCCTTGGGCGTGAGAGCGCGCTCGACGATGAAGAGGATGTCCTTCAGGCGGGTGCCAAAGAATCCGCCGGCACGCATGACATCAAGGAGCTCCTCGTCTTTCGCGACCATTCCGACCTCCAATACTATTCCCAGGTCGAGTGAAATGCTTGGTTGTCCGAGAGAGCTCCGGTGCTTGGCCAAGGCATCCTGGAAGCAGTTACCTGCCGCGTAGTTGGCCTGGCCACGATTTCCAATGACTCCGGACGAGCTGGACAGGAAGACGAAGAAATCCATGTCCGGTGGAAGCAACTCGTGAAGGTTCCACGAGCCGATGGCCTTCGGAGCGAAAGCCGTGCGCCATGCCTCGAAGTCCATGGACGAAAAAGACGAGTCTCTCAGTACAGCCGCGCACTGGAACGCGCCTTTGATGGCAGGCATCTCCGCCGCCACCTGCCTGAGGATTGCTCGCAAAGCGGCCATGTCGCAGATATCGACTTGGAAGCTGCGGACATCGGCGCCTTTCGCTCTCAAGTCTTCTAGACAGGCTTGAGATGATGCACTCGACGCGCCGGACCTGGAAAAGAATGCCAGGTGCTTGGCACCCCTCTGGATGAGTAGTCCTGCGATGCTCACTCCCAGTCCGCCAAGGCCTCCCACAAGAACGTAGGTGGCAGACGGATCGAGGACTGCCTCGCGGACCGGGCCCAAAAGTGCTACCTTTGTGGTGTCGGTGATCGTCAAGTTGTGGATGCCAAGGAGAGGGTCGACACGAAACTTCTTAAACGCGGCGTCGAGCTGGGTGAAGTCTGTTGTGTTGTTGCTCAGCAGGTGTCCGTGACCAGCTGTAGCAAGCAGAGAGTCGGCGTCGTGCAAGAGCTTCTCGAACTGGGCTGGGCGCTCGTGCAGGAATGACCAGATGTCGAATGTCCAGATTTGAGTCATCTTGTATTCGATCATGCGATTCATTCCATGTTCAGCCTTGGTCGCCGATATCTGTGCGATATGTCCGGATGCACAGACGTAGTGGAGGCACTCTTCGACATGCTGCCTGGTCGGGTTGAAGACAACATTGACCCCTTTGCCACCAGTGGCTCGGCTGATTTCTTCCCTAGACTTCTTGGAGGTCACGTCGATGAGCAACGCAGCCGGGACACCCACAACTGTCTGCAAGAACATGCGCTGCTGCTCGCTCGAGTATCCCATGAAGCTCTCTGCGCCGATGGCCCGGGCGATCTGGATTGCTGCTTGTCCGCATGCCGATGCCGCCCCGAGAATCAGCACCGTTTGGCCCTCTGCCAGCCTGCCGACGGTTTTGAGGCCATACATAGCCGTCATGAACGCGCTCAGGCTCCAAACAGGGACTGCTTCAGTGTCTCCCAACAAGCGAGGCACCCTACGGACGAGCTCTTTCCTAACACGGACCGAGTTCTTCAGTGTGCCTTTGACGAGGGCAGTGACGAGGTCTCCGACTCGCACATTGCTCACATTGGCGCCGACAGCAGTGACAACGCCAGTGACGTCGGTACCAATCGCCGCACGTTCTTCCTCTTCATCCATAATTGCGGCATCAGTCGGATCGAGATATGTGCTCTGAACAGAGATGCGAATCTCGTCGGGCTTCAGCTCGACGTTCGACAAATCCGGGTCCTCTCGGAAGCAGAGGCCTTCGGAATCTCCAATGGAGCTCGGCTCGAGCGCCAGGCACTTGCTACCTTGCGCCAACAGCTCTGCATCGGAGCTCTGCACTTCAGATTTGCCATTCTCAATGACGCCATTGAGCGTGCGTAGATGCTCTAGTCTCGGAGTGTAGAGTCTGCCACCCCGAATCATGACTTCAGTCTCTACCTTGCTGGGAGAACCGCCGCTGAAATTCATCCTGATGGCGAAGTACATCGCCCTCGCGGTAGGGAGAGTGTCGATGTTATCGGCTACATCGATGTCGACAGACAAGATGTTCTTCTTGGAGTCCTCAGACCGGAGAGACCTGGCAAGACCGATGAAAGTCGCCGCCTGGGGAGATGGGCCACCGCGCTGAGCGCCACGAGTGACCCACACCACGTTGTTGGCCGAAGTGAGCAGTTGGTTGAGATTGTTGAATCTCATCTTGTCGAGAGAGAACAGGAGCGGGCCTTCCAGCTCGGCAAAAGATATGCAGAGGCTGCGAGGATCGATGTTTGGCATCGCACAGAGCAAGCCTAGGTGGCACCGCTCCACCAGCACTCCAGCACGTTCAAACAGGTTGGAGAGTGCTCCTGACAGGAGCAGCGCTGGCCCTGAAGGGCATTCTGGTAGAATGATCACTATTCCTTTGCAACCGAGCTTGGACGCCCGGTCGGCCGGCTTGCTGTGCGCCACGACGCTCTGGCCTGGGGGGCAATCACGCCACAGTACGGCGCGCTCTTTGAGGCTGCTGGAGACCTCTGATTTTCCTTCTTCTTCTTCTTCCACGTTGGTACCCATGTGAGCGGGAAAGCGCTGCAGGACCCATCCTCCGTCCTTCATCGATGGGATCAGGTCAAGGGCGTCCGATGACTCGCCTGGACCGAGGATGACGAGGTCGTACTGTCGTTGTGTCAGGGCTTGAGTCTTGTCCTCGACAAAGTCAAGACGTTCGGAGAGGTAGCCTGCTGAAGGGTGTCCTCGGAACTCTTGCAGCTGGGCCTCAGGCGCACAGATCGTGTATCGCGAGAATCTTGGTGTCTCGTGCGGCTTCGCCAGCATTTCAAACACCCCGTTCATAGTCTGCATCGGGCCGCCGATCTGCAGGATGGTCATCGCGGGATTCTTATGACCAATGAGATCCAGAATTTCCTTCACTGTCGAGGGTGTTACAGTTGATAGATCTTCCTTCCAGATGATCTCGCTGCATAAATTGCGGTTCGACGGCAAGAAACCAGCCCCTCCGGAGCTGGAACCGGTCGGTGCGGCCTTGAGGTGGAGTCCCTTGACGACAACCATAGCGGTTTGCAGTGGCTCGTCGAGCATCACGATCTCTGCTGAGGCCTCGGTTTGTCCGACTTTCTGAGCTGTGGCGTAGCCCCGGAACGTAGCGCCCGCTCCCTGTGAAACGTTTGCCGCAATGACGACGCTGTCAATAGCACAGGGAAGCATCGGGTCCTGTCCAAGCGCAAATACTGACTGGAACATCGAGTCCAGAGTGGCAGGATGAATGACGTGGTCGTACTCGAAGTTGTGAGGCATAATAGCCTTGGTGTCGGGGATGCGGACCGCTGTGCAGGCAACTTGCTCACCACTCCGAACCTCGGTCAGGTTGCGGAAAGAAGGGCCATAGCTCATTCCCACCACGTCCAAGCACTCGTATAACTGTCGAGGAATCTGGATGGTAGCGCAGCTTGCGTCAAGATGGCGGTACTCGTCCGGGTATGCCGTAGCCTCGGTTGTGCCCTCTCCAGCGTAGCGGATGTGGAAACGACCGATCGCGTTGGTAGTCCAATTTGGCACTTCAGGACTGGACAAGATTCTGAACCCATAGGTCCATTCAGCCAGGAGGCTCAGTTTGGATTCCGGAGTCTCCAGGTGTGCGCACAGCATGTTTTCCAGACCGTAGGAAGTCGACGGGATGACCATGGGCTTGGTGATTTCGAGTTTGGAGACTTCATATTCCGAGACAACTCTCTCGGGGTCTGCCATCTGCTTTGCCGCCTCGATGGCCATCGAAACCATCCCTGCTGCAGGGTAGACGATTGTGCCTTGCACCTTGTGATCCTCTAGCCACGGATTCTCGTGGAGTCTGAAGAATCCGCGCCAGCGAGGCTCCTGCTGTGATTCGTGCTCCATAGGAGCGCCTATCAGGTCTTGGCGTCCATTGGCACGGAATCGATTCGACTTTGACCGGTTCGACTCAGACCAGTAGCTCTGGACGTGGTCGAAGGGGTAGCGAGGCAAGTCAACGAGAACTCTCGGAAGACCGCCAAAATCGCTGCCAAGATCTGTTAGTTTACAATACGCAAGGTAGAGAAAGAAGAAAGAACCAAACAAAAGAAACAGAGGAAGGGAGGAGGAGAAGTTAACAATGAAACAAGATAGAGAGTCATCAACTTACGTCTCGTTTTGCCACATCAAATTCACGGGGTATTCGTATCGCCAGAGATATCCCATCATCTGCATGGATGTAGAAGAGGCGTCTCGACCACGCTCAAGGAGCGACGTTAGCCACAGTGACTCGTACTTCGGATCAACAGACAGCGCTGTCTGCTTCAGTGCGGCCCGCAGGACATGGTGAGGGCCGACCTCGATCACCGTGTCTACCGAACACTCCTGCTCCTGGAGCATAGCGGCAACAGCCGTCTTGAACTGGACAGGGCGGACGAGATTCTGGACCCAATACTCCGCGCCCAGCTCCGCCGCTTGTACAGGGCGGCCCGAGACTGACGAGTACATGACGCAGGGATTTGCCGGATCGGCCTTTCCCGGGCGGATGGAGGCAATTGCGTTGCGGTACGCGTCTTCCACTTGCTGCATGTGACGCGAATGGTAGGCTGTCTGAACCTTGAGGCGCACCGCCGTCACGTTGTCCGCTTGGAGAGCCTGTCGAATTCGGTCGACGCCGTTCTCATCTCCCGAGACCGTGACCGAGACCGGGCTGTTTATGCAAGCAACCTCAACCGAGCTCTGGCCAGCCTGGGCAAGGTAAGGCTGCACGTCGGCCTCCGAAAGAGGCACAGCGAGCATGGCACCAGTGACACCCGAGTCTCGGAGATCGGCAACGCATCGGCCGCGGTGATATGCAATCGTCCATGCATCCTCTCTGGTGATGGCTCCAAGTGCATAGGCGGCGGCGATTTCACCCGATGAATGGCCGACTATGGCTTTCGGCTTGATGTCAGTTGCTTTGAGAAGGTCTACCAGCGCGACCTGAAGAGCTGTCGTCGCTGGCTGTGCAATCTCGGGTTCGTTCATTCTTGAGACGTCCTTCTCCTTGAGAATTTCATCCCAGAGGTTGAAGGGGCTGTTCAACTCTTTCTGAAGGAACAGGGTCGCGTTGGCGATGCTGTCTTTGAACTTGCGGTAGTGGAGCAGCTCGACTCCCATCCGGGCCCACTGAGCACCTTGACCCGAAAAGGCGAGGGCGATCTGGGGTATGCCCTTGGTGTTGTTGGGCCTCACCGTTGCCATGTTGGCTGAATCTGATGCGAGGTGCTCCAGAAGTTCGCTAGACGAACGGGCAACGCAAAAGGACCTGTATTCGTACTTGCTTCGCCGCGAGGATAAAGTGTAGGCGTAATTGGCAAGAAATTCTGGGGGGGAGTCAACCCGATCTTGGAGGTATTCTGAATGATTTGTGTGGATCTTGGTGAGGCCGTCTTGATATTTGCACGAGTAGATGAAAAGTCGGTTGGGGGGCTGCGTGTGGTCCTCCTTGGTAGGCGAGGGTGTTGCTTTTAGTAGCTTGTCGCCTGGGAAGAGATAAGAGACGTGATTGCCTTCTAGGCCGGCCTCAGCAAGGGCATGGGCAGCGTCATCGACAACCTTAAATAGCCGATGACGAGTTAGCAACATAAATGAGTAAAGGGGAGATAAAGGAGGCATGGGCGTACGCAGTGACCATTTGTCCCTCCAAACCCGAATGAATTAACACTGGCTCGTCGAAGACCCTCGACAGGCCATGGCATCATCTCCAGTGGGACCTAGGGCAGTGTTAACAAACAACGAGCCTTGATTTTTGGCATTGTGACATTGTGTCAGGACACTTACTTTCAGTTTGAGTTGTTCAAGATCAATGTCAGAGTTCGCCTTCTCAAAGTTCAGGTGCTTCGGGATATACCCCTTTTCGACTGCAAGAACAGCTTTGATGAGGCCTGCAACTCCTGCGGCACCTTCGAGATGTCCGATGCTTGTCTTGACAGAGCCCACAACCATAGGATTTGTCTCATCGCGGTCCTGGCAGAAAACACTCGACACAGCATGTGCCTCCTTTCGATCTCCCACGACTGTGCCGGTACCGTGCATCTCGAAGTACGCTGTGCGGTCAAGGCTGAGCCCGGCGCGCTCGTACGTGTTCCTGATGTTGTCGATCTGCCGTGACTCGCTCGGAAGTGTGAGACCTTGTGCGTTTTAGCTATGTACAAACGAAAGGCGCAGGTTCTCTCTTATTACCTTGGGTATGACCATCCTGGTTGGTTCCTGTTGCCTTGATGACGGCACGGATTGTGTCATTGTCAGCGACAGCATCTGCGAGCCTCTTCAAAACGACCACTCCGACTCCCTCGCCACGTCCGTACCCATTGGCACGTTCATCCAATGTGAAACACTTTCCCTCTGGATTGAGAATACCGAGCCCACCCATTGAAGCCAAGGTGTTTGGGGAGAAGATGAGGCCCACGCCCGCGGCAACAGCCTGTCTGCGTCAATAGGGATAACTCAAAGACGACTATCTTGAACGCCGGACTTACCATTGAGTTTTCTCTATATATTAGGCTCTTGCAAGCCAGGTGGACAGCGACCATGCTGGCACTACAACCAGTGTCAAGGGTCAGGCTTACACCGGTCAGATCGAACTCATAGGAGATCCGATTTGAAAGGACGGCAAGAGAGTTTCCTGTCGCAGAATGCGGTGGGTTTGTATCCGGATCTCTCATGCAGGTTTGCTCGTAGTCTATGGATCTCGTAAACTTATTGACTTCGTCAACGTTAGTGGTGAGGGTTGACTTACCTTTAGTAAAAGATCCAACGAAGACACTGGTGTTGCTCCCTTTGAGTTTCTCTTTGGAAAGGCCGGCTGTTTCAAAGAGTTAGAGAGAGAAGCCACAACTCCTTCAGGTCGACTTACCGTTCTCAAATGCTTCGTCGGAAACTTCGAGCAGCATGCGCTGTTGCGGATCCATGGCGGCTGCTTCGGCCGACGAGATAGAGAAGTGCTGTGGAAGTTAGTATCACGTATGAATGGTGAAGGAGGTTCCAGGAAGGGGCATTACGCGTGCATCAAACTCGGATATGTCGCCGTGCAGAAAGTGGGCTCCCTTGATTGGAGTCTAGACAGGGCTGTGTGAGTAGCTCGAGGTCTCTATCAAGAAGAGAGGGAACCTACACTCCCAACGCGGGTTGGGTCTGCATGGTACCATCCCTTAGCATTGAATCGGGCGGCAGGAACTTCGGAGAAGGCACTGGTCTCGTCTCTCAAGTTGTCCCACAGCTCTTCCGGGCCATGGGAGGAGCCAGGGAACCTACAGGCCATGCCAATGATGGCAATGGCCTCGTCTGGGTTCGGCGACTCAGCCATGTTGTTGTCTAACGAACGAGACAGGGATTTGGCCCGCAAGACAAGTTACATTGCCATTATGGAAAGAGTGGACTCCGAGGAATAAGTCTGTGGTGGCGAACAAAGGCAGGAAGACAATGGCAGGAAGACGAGGGGAGACAAAAGAGAAAAGTGAAGGCAAAGAACCTTGGAAGGCAGAAGTGAAGAGTTTCAAAATTCAGCAGTGGTGGTCAAAGGACGGGATGAGCCCTAAGACGTCCATTCACTGATTAATCTGAAAATTCACTAAATGATGACATCGTCAGCTAGAAAAGTGAATGATGGCGAGGACCATGCGGGTCCAACTGAACAAGGTTAATTGCCCAACGGTCGAGGCTATGAGCCAGGGTCCTCCAGCATGATGGGAAAGGTTGGGGAGAGCTTTCCAGCTTCAATTCTGCACCCAACGAACAGTCGGTCCCCCTTTGTGGCAGCAGTCAGGATGATCGTGAACAAGACATGCTGAAAGAACATTGTTTCCATCACAGAATCTATACTGTACCATGTGCCAGGCTGTGGGAATGGCAGTCTTTTCGGTGGCAGTAGCCAGGGTCCAGAATGAATAAATACGAACTGCTCCCGAGTCCAGGCGAGTCGTAATGAATAGAAAGGGGGAAAGCCAACTAGACTCTACGGATATCCGCACCGAGGTAGCAAGTGTAAGCAAAGCTCCTTCCTGCTCGAGGATCTCGGCCAGGGAGAAGCTCTTGTGCACCGGGAGTGATTTCTAGACGTATTGTCAACATGCTCGAACTCGGAGCATCCTTGTTGAAGGGTGCCCAGGGAAGCCAGACGCGAGCCGAGAGGAACCAAGACCACCGTGACTGACGACGACGACGGGGCACGGAAGTAAAACAAAGAGTGAGGCGAAGAGACCATGATGTTTTTGCATCCAGAAAGCGAGGTTGAGCGCAGCATGCTTGTTTTCGTCAACCGACCACCTCCTACATGCTGCTACCAAAGCCTCTGAGACGGACTCAGAGATGTTTGAAACTAAATGGATTAGGGTTTTTACATGATGGAAAAAAACCTACCTTGCAAATATTCAGATGCAGTTGAAAGTGCCGACCCGGCAGGAGAAGTACAGACGAAATGGAGGAGAGGGACTAGGAAATCATAACCACGAGGCTACAGTAGCTGTAAGTGGATCTCAAGAATGCAAGAACTGCTTGCGATCAAGGTTCGATGGACTAAAGGGAAAATAGTTGTGGTGCCTTGAGTTATCAAGGCGCGCCACGAAAGACTGACCATTAAGCCCGTCAATATCAACTGGGTCAAACGCTGGCGAAGCTAGTATTTGTGGGATTGAAGTTTGACAGTGAGATTGGCGCTCCTTGATTCAACTGGAATCATGAAGACCAGAGGGCCGAAGACAGGACGGTTCGCTCGGGGGAAGGGGCTGACAGAAATGGACTCATGTGTGCTCCCATTCTCCCAGCCAAATGGCCATCCGGCTCCGGGTAAGCAGCTCCCGTTTGCACGATGCTTCGCAGGTTTGGGGGCGATACGGTCGAGGCCTGCCAAACGGCCGAGAGAGTCCTCAATTCTGGGTGCAATCTCTGAAGAAAGGGCCACCTGTGTCGATCGGTCAGTCAGTCCGTCTGTCATTGGAATCGATCACCACTCGAGGGTACGGCTCAGCTCGGATGCAAGGACGATCCAGCTCGACCGTTTTAGAGTTCCTGGGATAATTGAAGGGGGCTCAGTTGCAGGAGCCGCGGTGCGCGAGGTTCGATTGTGAGCAATTTACCGAGCGTATGGCAATAATGTAGTGTCAGTAAGAAGAGGCGGGCAGCACTATTCCTGCTCAGGACTTGGCTGCTGGCGTGGTGTTTAGTATTTGTCCACTTGCAGGTGCGAGGCAGTGACGTTCAACCGCTGCGCCCTCCTTATCGGGCGTCCGGGGCGTGCATGTACGTTGGTGGACCGTAGGTAGCTTACCTAATTTTAGTATCATCGCTATCCTGGAGAGAGCCTCGATGACTCGGACGGATTCTTCGTGATCCTTTCTACTCTCATCCTACCTAAGGTATCAAACGTCACCTTTTCTCTTCTTCCATCGCGAGATATGTAGAAATGTGCTTCCTTGAATCATGGGCAGATGAATCTGTTTGTTTTTCTTCATCTGGCCAATCGTTTCGCGGTTCCAAGACCCATTATTTCTCCTCGAAGCATCCAAGAGACTTGTCCTCGAAGAACTCGGCGTCCTTTGTCTGCAGCCGCGAGGCTTAGGCATCAGGCAGTGTGGGATGAGCAAGCGTGCGACGTAGAATTCATCCCGTCTTGCCTCACCTGACCTGTGTACTTCTCACATCGTCCCCATCCCCACGTCCGTCCCAAGTGCCACCCTCGCAGCATGCGCTCCCAGGTTGACAAATCAGACACAGCCAACAACAGCCAGCCAATCATTTTATAGCTACGGATTGATACGTAAAGGCGATTGGGTGAAGCTGCTCATCCGACGGGAGACTTCCGCCTCGCAGTGTGACTAGGTCCCGTTCTTGGAGAAGGCATTGCAAATAGCGGCGTCTGTGGTTCGCTCATGTCGTGGAAGCAGCCCCTGCTCGAAGTTTGTCGGGAGCAATACGACGACGAGACAAGTTGTTACCCTGATCCGGGTTCGGTCGGTATTGACTTCTTGAACCTTCATTGGCCAAGACTGTGTCACATTCATCACCCCATAGAGACACCGCCTGCCTCAAATCGGGGTTTCGTGTCCCCATGACCGCGGAGATGGCAAGTTGCTGGGCCAGGTATGGTTCGTAGGGAAACATTCTGGTGTTTGACCTGCACGCTGTCGTGGTCTGAGAAAGCCTCTTTCCTACTCTTTAATAGAAAACTGATGCATTGCACCAGATCTGCCAACCAGTAAGCCATAGCTTGCATGGCCTACTCTGAGGCTGAGAAAGCCAGTTGCAGGACCCAGCAGGTAAAAAGAGTCATTGCCAATCCGAGGACAACATGATACAGCTGATTGTGGGACGCATCACAGCCGTGCAACGCTACACCTCACCTTGGACTGTGGCCAATAAGCCGGTGAGAATCTGAGTCCCGGAGTAACGCTGTGCGACAGGGGCTCAGCCTGTCAACCAGCCTCTTCTCCTCACTGACAAAACGTTGTGCCTTAATCTTCAAGCTTGAGAGCAATACTCATAAGGAGCATCGTTAGGCTTTTAGACTTTCAAAATGTCTGTACAAGCTTGCCAAACTTGACGAGAGGGAGAAAGGTCCAGTTTTGACTCTCTTACCATGTTGTAGTTGAGAGCGAAGGCTAAACCGACGTGAAACCGACCCAGTTGGCGAACGGATCACGAGAAGAGAGGGATTCGTGGGAAATGACTGGATTAGACACAGCCCACGTGCAATGGCAATGGCCAAATATGTTAGAAGATGGGTCGATCAGTGCTCAAGACAATTTGTCAAAGGGTGGTGATTCACTTGGTAGTACTCCAGAAAAAACATCCACGTACTACCTCAGCAACGGCACGGCGGGTGGTGGAGCAACGCTTGCCATTGCCAACTCTTTTATACTGTGGCTAGGCCTGCGTGTGTCGCCTGAATCCGTCCTGAGTGAGTCCTTGCCTGGAAAGTGAGCCAGCCCATCGCTCTTCACTCACATCGCTGCCCGCCCAAGTGTCTGTCTTGCTCAGAGACATTCCCCACCCAACGGTCTGCTGCATTCACTGATTCTGATCGCGTATCGAGACAAACATCTTGCATGAAGTGTTTATTGCTTCGCTTGATAATCTCCTAGATCCATTCAGCCAAGGCTCTTGAGTGGATGTGTTCGCCATCACTAGGTTCATAAACCCAAGGCACTCGCAGCCTTCTTTTTTTTTCTTCCCCAAGGCCTCTTGTACCGAACTCTAGCAACTAGTTGACGAGCAAAACAGAGACACAAGAACTAATTTCGAAAGAAACACCACGGTCACGAGTTTTGGCCACTTCTCACGCGCTTCATCAAGACCAATTGAAAACAAGAAGACGGCAACACGCCCTCTGTGCCATCATGAAGCCACCGCGCCCGCGATTCCGGATCTCGCAACTGTCTCGAGCCCAGTCCAATGACTCAATGCGACAAGCCCTGAACTCTCCTCTGAGCGATGCTAAGCCCATCCCAGAGGTGGCGCTTAGCCCTTGGAGGAGGTTCTTCCTCATTGCGTGGTATGCAGGATTTCCCAGGGTCTTTTTCACCACAGTGTCGAACTACTCAGCCAGACTAACTCGAGAGTAGCTTGTTGATGGGATTCCTCTTCTCGATCTTGGATACGACTATCGTGTCCACATCTCTGTTGGCCATTTCATCAGACCTTGGCGGATTTCGGAGCAGCCAATGGGTCGTTCTGTCCTATCTCCTGACTTATATGGGTAAGGTCTTTGAGGAGTACCTTGCCGCATGAAGGGTACTCAGTCCTGACAACTCTCAGGTTTTTCAATGGTTCTGGCAAAGCTCAGCGATATCTTTGGCCGTTTTTCCATACTGATGGTCTCCTGGACCATCTTCACTATGTTTTCTGTGGGTTGCGGATGCGTGGCCACTATGACTCAGCTGTAAGTAGTCAACCCGGCATGTCTGTTGAGACTCTCTGACCCCTTTGGGATCATCAGTGTCATTTGTCGAGCATTTCAGGGCATCGGAGGCGCGGGCCTTTACAGTCTGACGACGATTGCTCTGCCCGAAGTTGGCCCAGCTGACAAGCCCGAGATTATCGGCTCGTTGATCGGAATGACCATGTCGATATCCTTTGTACTCGGACCCGTCCTTGGCGGTATTGTTCCTCAGTATACGTCCTGGAGGTGGCTGTATTTCATGAAGTAAGCGTTCGACAACCCCCTTTCTGCGTCGTAACTCCGACTAAACAGATCGACTTTTGTGCTCAAGCTTCCCCTTTGGACTTCTTACCATCATTGGTCTGATCTTTCTCTACCCTCGCCATCCCAGAACCTCCCGCTGGAAGATCCTCCTCGGCCGGATCGACTACCCCGGTAGCATCCTGCTTCTAGGATCAAGCGTTCTTCTCGTCTTCGGCCTGCAGCAGGCCGGATCTCTGACGTTGAGCTGGGGAAGCTGGCCCGTGGTGCTGACACTGACAATAGCCCTCGTCCAAGCAACGGCTTTCTGCTGCTGGGAGTGGTGGCTGACTGCCGGGTCCAGGGCTATGGAGCCGATCTTCCCCCTGAGGTTGGCCAAGAACCGGGTCTACTTGGCGTGCATGGTGGCGACATTTATGATCGGATGGGTCTATCTGGTCATGGTCATCGCTCTCCCCGAGAGGTTCCAGATCGCCAACGGCGACTCGGTGTCCCTCGCCGGCCTGCACATCCTCCCTTTACTCGGGTCCATCGCCGCGGGCTCCGTCGTAGCAGGCCTCTTGAACGCAAAGAAGAACCGCACGGCAGCGGTGACGGTCGTGGCGTGCGCCCTGACGCTCCTGGGCATGGGGCTCTTCAGCCTGCTCCCGGGCTCCTCCTCCTCCTCCTCCCCCGACGACTCCTCGCTCCGCACGAGCCAGAGCCAGTACGGGTTCCAGTGCGTCTTCGGCGTCGGCGTCGGCCTCTTCCTCTCGTCCGCGACCATGATGTCGCAGGCGCAGGCGCGGGGCGAGGACCACGCCGCGGCGCAGGGCGCCATCGCCCAGCTGCGCGTGCTCGGCGGCGTGCTCGGCCTGGCGGTCAGCACCGTCATCTTCAACTCGCGCCTGCAGAGCGGGCTCCTCGGCGGGCTGACCCCGGAGCAGGCGGACGCGCTGCGCCGCTCGCCGCTCGCCGTCGTGACCGTGGCCCCGGAGCTGCAGGGCCCGCTGCGGCAGACCTACGCAGCTGCCTTCTCCGAGACCACCCGCTGCGCCGTCGGCATGGCCGTCGTGGCGCTGATTGCGAGCCTGTTCACCCTCGAGCGCAACCCCCCGCCGATCCGGAGGAATCCTCCTCCTCCCGAGAAGCCGGCAGCAGTCGCTCCGAGCGTTGCCGGCCAGAACGACCTCGAACTCAATACCATCTCGCGAGGTACATCCACTACCGAGCTTCAAGAGCCCCTTCCCGACGAGCCAGTTCTCCCACCACTCGCGTATACGCGGATGAAGGTCCAAGAAATTTGTTAAGGGCACCCTTTTCTGTTTCCAGGCGCAATATTAGGATCAGTGAGGCGTATGTAGGGCTTCAAAATGGTTTGGTCCGTTCCTTTCTCGGCGCAATCTGCAGTCGTTGGGCTGGCTTCCCTATCTCGTCTGAGACTTGGCCAACAACCATGTCACATTGTTCTCTTATAAGGGTACCTTTTGGTGCATCGAGGTGTTTTATATCAGCTTTGGGGACACTAATGCATTTGGCGGCAATCTGTACTTCTTTTCCCGCATGTAGGAGATATTCGTCTGGTGGAAGACGACCCAGATAGTTTGTCTGTCAGCTTGTCAATACAGAATGAGACTTTAATGAGCCCAGAGGCTACCAAACTGGTGATATTACGAAATGAAATATATATACATGCCCCAGGTATATACAGCTCTGACCACGGACACCTAAAGCTTGGAGCCGAGAAGCCTAATCATCCGTCTCAACACGTCAACATCCTCCGCACTAAGAGCTTCGTCGCCGGTCCTGTTGCTCGTTGACGCCTCCTTGCCGAGAGGCTTGCGACCCCACACAATCTTCCTGTAGTGAAGAACTTATTAGTAGGGCTACTCCTTTCGTCAGGTGCATCGCACTGTCAGAGGAACCTACAACTGATACGCGATTTTCAGCTCGTTGTCAAGCATCTCCTTCTTGGCGCCAGCCATGATCCTGTTGAGATCATCCGTCGACCAGGCCTGCGAGCTTTGGGAACAGCCTTGGTATTGGTTCTCCAGCAGGCCGGCTTGGATCATTTGCTGGTAGAGCGACGCCATTCCCCGCTGCCTGTCTGTCGCCTCGTTTCCAGGCCAGGACGGAGTCGTCGGCATCAGTTCGCAGGTCTCCGTTGCCGGCTCGAACCCGGCGTCCTCCAGGCACCTTCGATACCGGGGCACGTTGTACCAAGATATGCCGTTCTCCTCGAGGTCGTCCTCGATTGCCCACCTGACCTGGTCCAAGCAGTGCGACTGGCCCGGCCCGAGCTTCTTCGGCTCGTCGAAGTCTTGCATCTCGAAGAAGCCGCCGGGCCTCAGAGCGGCGTAGGCGGATCTGATGAACGAGCGCAGGCGCGGTATGCTGCTGCCGAGATCTCGGGCGTGAATGTAATCTAGTTCTCCAAAGGAAGGCATAGCACTAGCCCAATCTTGGTTGAAGTCGACGGGGACGAAGATGCAATTAGAGGGCAGGTCTCTAGTAGTCAAAATCAGCTTTTCTGCCCCTCCCCTTGCTCATCCTCGTTCGATGTAGACACGACTCCGTAGAGCGGCTTACCTAGGCACTTGCTGCTGGCTCACATCCACAGCGTATACGATGGTCTCGGGGTGCTGGCGAGCTGCTTAGGTGTCAATACCGCACACCGACCACCACGAGGCGAGGACTCCAATCTCACCAAAATCGGTAGCCCACCGGCAGTCTCCCGATCCGACGTCTAGCACGATGGGCCGAGCGTCATTCTTTTGATGACCGCGAACTGCTGCGTCCTTCCGGATTGATAGCCACGGCTCTATTGGTGCTCCGTACAATTTATTGTTGAGTGCCAGTCTCCACAACGTGTGCCGTAGACGAGACAAGTCGCTGGGTTGGGTCTTTGAGTAGCCTTTTCTTCGGTATTAACTTTCTTGTCGCGAGTATCACAAGGGTAGCAATGTGAACTTGCCTGTCGAACAAGCCAAAACCCTGCCATCCTCACCCGGATGACCACTAACATCAAGTCTCGCCATGATACGCCTGAAAATCCTTGGGCCTCACTATTCGATGCTCAACACTGGATATTCTGGCAACACTAGATAGACGGTACCGATGGGTCGCGTATGGGAGATAAAGGTTCAATTTGTAACAATAAAAATTTGGGAGACACGACCGGTGCGTCTTAAAGAAGAGATCCAGACTTCACCAGTAGGGTTCGCACTATTTGCAAAATGGCGCCAGAACAGTCCTCTGTGTGCGTGACGTCTCTGATTTCCCCGCCGACCTAACCGGCCGGTGACGAGGGGCACACCGGAGCCCGCCGCCACACTGTGGTCGTCATTCGCCGTCCGTGTCTCTCCAGTCGTCTACCGGGTAAGTGGCTACTGCCCAGCTTGCCGGTACAGTAGGCACGGGCAAGGATGAGCGGTAGAGGGGGCTAAACCAGCCCTGTGGGAACGGGAAGCTCAAGTTCCAGCACTCCGGAGGGGGGGGGGGAGCCTAGGGCTGTGTACACTGGCACCAAGCCAATCCCGGCGGCGGCGTGCCCTTGTCTCTCGGTGAACACCTATTTGCGAATGACTAGTGAAGCATGGCCAGTCTAGTACCGCAGTGATGGAGACGCTAGAGCTGTCAGTTGGTCGAGGCCAACAGTGTTTCACTGTCCGCAAACTGCTCCAGACGGGGGGAACGGGCGTGTACGGGGGGGGATCGAGGCTAGACTTGCCCTGAAGAGGCACCTAGGCCGAACATCGCCGACGTCCTAGTCATTGGCCTTTGAGGGTCCCAAACGGGCGATTCCCTCGTGATGGCTCAGACAATTGTGTTTCAGTTGCAAAGATTGCTAGGCGAATGTTTAGGCAGAGATTAATTTATGCTTCGGTGGCTTCTGCGCCAAGAGCCCCCTGCAGAGGTTCCCCGAGATCGCCGAACGTAAAAAGTGGGAATCGAGCTTCTTTGAGCCGTCCTGGTCCAGGCTCTCGGGACGAGTGTCGCGTGCGTTGGAAAGGAAAAAATGACTTTGTCATCAAAGGCACTCGAGACTCTCTGTCTCTGCTGTGGGTGCCGGGCAGGCTGAGCAGCGAAGAGATCGATTCATGACAAAGACTGTACGAGGTGAGGCGTGGACCCTGCGCCAAACCTTAACGTCCCAAAAATAGGCACTGGTAGTAGCTGGCTTCTGGTCATCCGGGAACGGAGAGTTTTTCTTCCTTCTTTCTTTTTCTTGTTTTTCTTTCTGGGTGCAGGGGAAACGATCCTAGAAGGCCCAGCACTCATTGCCTGAAGCCGGGTTGTCCCATTTTCAAATGCGACTCGATAATTAGATATCGAGGTCTTGGAGTGCGTGCAATTAAAGTAGTGGAGCACAGAGCCGATCTGCAGCTATCCACACCTGTACAAGTACTTGTAGATCCAATGCATTCCTGCATGGCCAGTGGGTGGTGGCGCCCCCTCCCCCCCACGACAGGCACAGTGCTGTTCCCCACTCCCCTGCAGCGACAGCCAAGTGAGCCAACCAACCACCTCTCTCTCTCTCCCTCTCCTCCCCGCCCCTTTTTCATGATACTGATACAGCACATCAGGCGGGCGGGGATGCATCTATCGCCCGTCACAGGCAAGTGCCGTTGATTTGATGAGTAGATAAACCCGCTTTTTACGAGCCCAGCACCCAAACAAAAAAAATCATGGCCTCCCCAATCGAGACGCACTGCTCCGTGGCCGTGCCCAACGACCTCCAGACCCGCCTCCTCTCCGAGGTCTTCCCCACGCCCACGTACGGCCCGTCGGGCTCGTGGAGCCTCGGCTGCAGCTGCACCATAGCCGCGCCGCTGGACACCTGCGTCGCCGTCGTCCTCGACGTCGACAAGTACCCCTCGTGGAACCGCTTCGTCCGCAAGGTAGACATCAAGTCGTCGCCAGAGGGAACAACCGCCGACGACGCCCCAAAGGTTCCCGGCCCAGGCGTCCTCCGGCCCGGCACGCTCATGCTCTTCGACGCCCACATGGACCCCCGCAGCGGCGACGACGGCAAGAAGGGCGTCTCCTCCCCGGAGGAGGTGACTGTGCTCGAGCCCTTCGCCGCCGCCGCCGCCTCCTCTGCCTCCTCCGCCCCCGGTGACGAGCTGCAGGGCTGGCGCGTGGCGTGGAGGTCCCGCATCTTCCCCGACCTCCTCCTCCGGAGCGAGCGCGTCCAGGAGTTCGTCGCCGGCCCGGACGGCGGCCAGACCTTCTATTACTGCTGGCAGACGTACTACGGGCCCCTGGCTCCCGTCGTGAAGTGGGCCGTCGGGGCCAAGCTCGAGAAGGCCTTCGACGCGTGGATGGAGGGCATGCAGGGCGAGGCGGAGAAGAGGGCGGCGGCATCTTCCCGCGTAGAAGCAGCATTATGAGCATCAATCTCCGTATTATGCAGCTCCAATCACGACAGTCATGAAACAATACACAAAGCGGCTTTGGTACTTGTGCCTCTGCTGGTCTCCTATATACCACCATGGATAGACTGACTTGCTCCTTTTACAAGGGAGGGGAACAACCGTGCGTGTTGCATTCTCTTCTTCAGCTCCTGTAAATGACTACCTATATTTATGAAAAAGCTCTCTAAAGACGCCAGAAAAAAAAGAGCCCGAGGACCCATGTGCCCTCAGGGACTCAAAGATGCCCATCCATAATGCAAAGAGTCTCAATGTCGTCCACGCGCCGTGCCATCATTAAAAGAAAAAGAAAAAAATGCTAATCAATACAAACCCAACTCCCAAGCAACATTCTCTCTGCTTGGGGGCTGCGAACCGTCCTGTGTGACAACGAGCATGTTTACCGGTTCTTCCCCATTCACTCACTCCCCCCTCTCGCTCTCTATCCGCGCGCCACAGAAATCTTGCCCGACTTCATTCGAACCACACGAGTGTGCAATGCAAAACAATGAAAACCCCAGACACCAGATACTCTTCTCCCCCCGGTTCGCCTCCCCGAACCACACAAAGAACCGTGTGCCGCAGGGTAAAAAAAAGGGTATCACAACAGAAAATAATCTTCCTCTTGCTTTGTTTCTTTTTTGTTTCCCCCCCCTCAAGTCTCTTCTCTTCTCTCTCTCAGTCACACTGTTGTTGTTGTTGTTGCTTCTCCTCCTCCGCCTCCTCCGCCTCCAGCGCCCGCAGGCGCGTCACCACGACGTTCATCTTCTCGATGAGCTCGGGCATGCGGTACGGCTTGACGAGCACGTCGTCGCACCCGGCCGCCTTGGCCTCGTTCATCTGCTCCAGGCGCGCGTTGGCGCTGACCGCGATGATGGGTATGCGGCCGCCCGCGATCTTCCCTTCCTTCTCCAGCTGCCGGATCAGCCGCGTGCACGTCAGGCCGTCCTGGACCGGCATCTCGATGTCCATCAGGATCAGGGACAGCGGGACCGTGCCCGGCGGGCACCGGTCGCTGAGCCGGAGCTTCTCCAGCGCCTCCACGCCGTGGTTAGCGATGTCGACCTTGTAGCCCCGGTCCGACAGGCCCCGGCGCGTGATCTGCTGGTTGATCAGGTTGTCCTCGACGATCAGGATGCCGTTGATCTCGGGAGCTTGGGGCAGCTGCACCGGCTGGGCGCTGACGGCCCCGTTCACCGGCTTCCCCGCGCCCGTGTTGATGTGCGATGGCAGGAGCGGCAGGTTGTTGTGCATCGATGCAATCGAGGCCCGCTTCGAGAGCGCGGCGCTCGCTTCGGCTTCTCGCAGAGCTGTCTCGTTGGGCCGGAAGGTCTCAATGTAGAACGCAAACGTGGAGCCGACTCCTGGCTTCGACGCGACCCCGATTGCGCCATTCTGCATCTCGGTCAGGCGGCGGCTGATGAAGAGGCCGAGACCCGAACCGCCATACTCGACATGTGTACGGACGGAGGCTTGAACGAATCGCCGGAACAGGCTGTTCTTCTCGTCCTCGGTCAGACCCTGGCCCGTGTCCTTGACCTCGAAAAGCAGATAGACAGGGTCGGGCCGCCCTCTGCTGGGCAGCACGAGGTTCAGGTCAGGATCGTACTGCTCCTCGGACGGAGGGATGAACTGGACAGAGGAAGTCGCATCGCTTGGCCGCGCCTTGGATGCCAGCAGAGTCACAGACACATTCCGCGTCGGGCCCGACTTTGTGAACTTCAACGCGTTCGTCAACAGGTTGATGAGGACCTGCTTGAGACGCGAAGGGTCGAAGTCGAGGAAGGAAATGTCCAGGTCTCGATAAGACCGATCGACCGCCATGCTGAGGTTGATGTCTGTCCGGCGAGCCTCGACCTCAAACATCTTGAGAGCCTCTTGCATGATGTGCACCGGATCCACCGTTATCGGAGTCACGGCCAGCAGCTTCGAGTCCAGCTTCGACATGGTCAGGATGTCGTCAACGATGCGCTTCTGGTGCTGAGCGCACGCAATAATTGTCTCGGCGTTCTCGATGCTGTTCGAGATCAGCTGCCGCTTCTGGATGTGGCTGTCCTTCAATATGCCATTCACAAGCACCGGAGTCTTGTGATCGGCCTCGACGACAGAAGCCACAGCGTGCCGCGCAGTCAGTTCCTCCACCTTGGCCAGCGAGGCGATGATGGCGTCTGCGCAATGGATGATGGCGCTCAGCGGGTTGCGCATCTCGTGCGAGGTCATGTCGATAAAGTTCTCTTGCCTGCGTTTGGAGGCGATCGCTTCATCCTTGCGCTGCCTCTCCCGGTCGAGCTGCCACTTCTGCAGCGAAATGTCGCTCAGACATCCCGTGAAGGAATGGATCAAGCCTTCAGAAGTCCTGACTGGCATAAAGGTTGCCGACACCCACCTCGGCGCAACGAATTTGTCCCCGCCGCCATCTTCAGCGATGAACGGAACCTTCAGGCGGATCTCGGCAGTCTGGTTGCGCCCTTCCTCGACCATCCTCGCCACGCTCTGCTCGAGCACCTCCAGATCCTCCTTCACAACGCACTCCTCCCAGGGTTTGAGGACCGTGGTCGCAAGGTCCGTCACCTTGTCGAGCCCGCACATCTCGAAAAACACATTGTTCGCCCCCACGAGACGGCCATCCAGGTTCATATCGTACAGCCCCACGGTAGCAAACTCTGCCATTCGTTTCAGGTTTTCGGCTTCTTGTGCTCTGCGCACGGCCTCCTCCGCTGTTTTCCTATGGAGGGTCACGTCCGTCAGCGAAGTCATGACCCGGACGACGCTGCCGTCGGGGGCTTGCTCGGCCTTTGCGGAGGCCAGGACATGCCGTTCGGTCGGACGCCCTCCTATCTCGATGAGGTTCAGTGGGGTTTCCTCGAAACTCGGCGACGTCTGGATCGATGCAGCTTCGGAGTCTCTAGACTCGTGCAGCTTCACCCTGAACTCGAACTCGACGATATTCTGCGTCGCGAGGCCCTCGTATGCCTTCATGATGCCGTCCCTGTCCTCCTCGACTACGCACGAAAGGAAGTCCTGGAGAGCAATGACGCCGCTTGCCTGAGGTTGACATCCCGTGATCCTATACCAAGCATCGTTGGCAAAAGTAATGTCGCCCAGGAAGTCTCCGAAACACATGCCGACCGGAATGAACTCGGAGACTGCCTCGAATCGCCGAATGAACTCTGTTGCTTCCTTCGTCCGGAGATCAAGCTTCTCCCTAAGCATGGCTTGATCATATTCAGCCTGCTGAGCTGCGTTGCGTCCTCGACGCGCTTCCTCCTCAAGCAAGACCGTCGAGGCCAGAGACGTCGTCAGTTTCTGGTTCAACAATGAGATGTACTGCTGGTAGTCATTATCGTAGGGCCTCCTGGGATTGAGGCCCAGAAACAACAGGCCCATGACGTTCTCTTCTTTGGTGGGACGGATGGGGCAGATGATTGCCTCCGTGCAAGGATCGCCGAAACCCCGCCATTCGAGGCCTTCGAGTAGGTGTTCTGGCAGACTCCCATCCCTAGTTTGAAGCAGTAGCGGACGTCGGTCTGTTAGTGCTTCGCGGAACATGGATGATAGTCCGATATCGCTATGGCGTAGTTCGAGGACGGGAGGGCTGATTTTGTGACGGCTCGGGACTCCAAGTGTGCCCTCGAGCTGACAAATCTTGGTGCAGTCGTAGGTACGAGGAGCATCCGCTGGGATATCCTGCTCGTCCTGAACAGAGTACAGGATGGCTAGAGGAATGTCATACCGAGGCTCGACGTCTTCCAGCTCCTCGATCGTCTTCTGCCAGTACGACTTGATGTCGCGCGACGTCACAAGGCCTTCGCCAAGATCGATGAGCATCTTCATTCTCCTCTCCCAGAGCCTCATTGACGTCGTCTCCAAGACGGGATGCATGAAACCGAGGGCCGTGTTTCCCTCAATGATGGGCATGATTGACCAACGGAGATAAGTCTCTTCGGGGCAGGCATCAGCTCTCTCGACAAAGAACCGCCATTCGTCCTCCAGGCTGGCCCTCTGCTTTTGCGCGCTCGTCTTCATTGCTTCCTTGAGGCGAGCAGCGACATCAGGCCAGGCCTCGTCGACTGGCTTGCCCAAAAGGCTCGGGTGCTTGCTGCCACAGAGCCTGCTGAAAGCCTCGTTGTATACGGTGGTATAGTCGTCCCCCCAGTAGATGGCGATGGGCCGGGAGTCGGCCAGTATGTGGCTGAACGCCTGCTGCAGCCGTGCAGGCCAGTTTCGCACGGGGCCTAGGGGGGTTGAAGCCCAGTCGATGCTGTCGACAACATCGAGGAACGGCTCCTGGTCCGGCATAAAGTCTGGCGGAGCTAACTCTGGCTCCATCGCCGCCGACTTCTGCAGTGCTTGTATGACCGTTTCTGGTTCGGAATTCGGCGTCATCGAGCGTCGCCCTTCATGGTGTTTGAGATGGTGCGGTAGGCTCCCAGTCAGCGCGGAAAGCCCAGAGGCATTGTGAGCTAGTGAGCCCCTCCGCGATCTCGAGTCCTCTCTGTTAGAGAAAGTAAACGGGCGTTCGTCATTCGTGGACACGACGAGCAACGTCTCGCTGAGCCGGTACTTGGTCCAGTATCTCCCCATGTAAGCGAACGAGCGGCTCTCGTCCTGTATCCAAGCCCACAGGCCGGCATGGTTCGTCTTTGGCGACCCGACAATCTCGACGAGGTCGGCATGGTCTGCGAGGGCTGGGTTCGTGTAAGCGACACAAGGCGCCTCTGGGGAGTCGTCTGCCGAGGCTGTCGAGACAAGAAAGAGAGGCCGGGGGTCAAGCTTGAACGGGTCCTCCACGGCGGCGCCCGCCAGCGGCGGAATCATGGTCGCAAATCTCTCTCTACGACGGGGTTGTGGCCAGTCGATTTGCTACGCGTGAGGCATGTCGTGACGGCATTCTCGAGCCGGGTGTGGGCAGAAAGGGTCGAGTGTGGAGTAGGGAGCAGTGATGTCTGCAGCGTTCGTGCAGAGAGGACAAGCCTGCCGTGCAGAGGCAGCACTTTCTCGTTGGACGTTGGGCTGTGTGCGGCACGCGGCGTCCCCGCGAAACCTTGACTCGAGCAGACGGAGCAGGCTCTATCGTAGGAAGGTTAGGACGCGGGAGAGTAGGCAAGTGGGGTTTTGTAAGGGCAAGTATACCGGGCTCGAGGCTTCTGGAACGGGTAGAAGACTCGACTCAGGGCCAAGGCCGCTGCTGAGGCAGGGCAGAACAGAGCAGACCGGCGGTTCGGTGCAGCAGCTACTACTAGCCAGCTCTTGTTGTGCGGATGCTGCGAGGAGGTGTGAGGAGGGCCGGCCAGGAGGTATGCCCGATCTGGCACGAGACATGCAAGGCGACAGGCGATGGACGATGGGAATGGAGGTCAAGCCACACACACGCACACACACGCACACACTCCAGACACCGACGCAACGCACGCTGCACGCACGCACGCACGTTTCTATGGAGTCGAGCCGAGCGGATCGGGCTGTCCTTCCTTTCCCATGACCAGTATGTGGGTGCTTCAATGTTGCTTGTGCTGGACCAAAAACCCACACAGAGCCCACTGTTTCCCTCCTTGACAAGATGAAGATGGAGCCTCGGAGAGGGCCAGAGAAGGCAGAGAAGGCCTGTTCCGCCTTCCCACACTCCCACACACCCCCCCGGTTGACAGGACTGGGCAGCGAGGGCGGGTCGGCCAACGGCACTAGAGCCGACTTGAGCGAGGCCAAATGGGGGATTCACGATTCAGGGCACCCGTACGTCACAGAGCTCACTCGCTTAATTTAACACCCCCTGCTGCGTGACGGGTCTTGGGGGCCTGCAAAGTCCTGCAATGCCAGTGTGCGCGTGCTTGGTGCTGGCGGCGGATGGCGGATGGAGAGAAGTGTCCGGATCTATTAATTCCCAATTAAATAGATGCGGTTTCCGTCTTTTCCACCGGCCCAGTGTCGACCTGCCCGGGTTGGCCTTGGAACAGGAGCAGCCAGTCATCGGCATCAGCGCCCACATTAGCCAGCCACGGTGGGACACAATCGCGATGGCCAAGACTGACCGGGGTCGATTAGGAGGGACTGCAGTCCTGGCTTGCTTTGTGATGACGATGGATACACAAAATGAGGCCCTCTGTGGCTTCAGCTTGCAGTCTACCTACTTCATGAAGCCACAGACAGGATCAAGCTGGCTTCTAGGCCTCTTATCTTAGCACTACCTAGGTACCTACTCTCTTCGTCTACTAACCTTCCTTGACGACTTCGCTGCTGTGAGAACAACCGCCGGGTCTTGGGAGCAGTGAGGTGCCGTGGTCGAGAGGGGGGAGGGGAGACTCGCCGACCTACCAGCCTGCTTACAATGCAAGACTCGATCTCCACGATGCGCTTTTTAAAGGCGGCGTGCCGGTTTGATTTAGCACAGGTCCCAACGTAGAATGCCGGTTCGTGCCCTCCCCACTCACGCCGCTCCACCGATTCCGATGGCGTTCTGCGCGTGGCACGAATATTTTGATCCTTGGCTTCTTATTCTACACCCACAACTTGCCCCTTACTAACCACCTCGAGCACTCCCTCGACTTTTCCACCTCTCGGGGCCATCCCGCGTTGGTGCGTGTGACGAGACAAGTTGCACGGCATTTACGCTCTCTCAGCCATCGTCCGCTTTATGTCTCTCCCATTTGCCATCTATCTCTATTGGGTCGAGCAGGACGAATGCCAGCTCAGCATGTGTGTGCGTGCGTGCCTCCTCCGCGCAGTCGTCTGCAAAGAAGTACAAGCAGGTAAAGCAGGGTACGGTCCGGGGTGCGTGGAAAAGACCAGCAGCAGTTTGTCCGAGCATTCGGGAACTGCAGCAGGATGATGTCATTACCGGTAACGGACCAGTCAGAGGCTGGAGCGGTTAATGCGCCAGTCGGGGAGGCATGCAAGCCACCAAAACCCAATCTTACTGTTGGCTCGACAAATTTTACCTGCGAAATCAGGACGGAGAGAGAGAAGGGCATGCTGTCTGTTCCCATGTTCCTCAACAATGTGCATCCCGCTCAGATCGGCTTTGCGACATGTAGGTACCTAATGTACGGAGGAGGTAGGTCTGTTGGTATGGACCGGGCAATGGAATTTTCCAAGGCGGCGTGCGGGTCGGTCACATTTCGAATTCCAAGCCCTGTTCCTGGCCTGGGGCTTGCACTTTGCGGCAGACTCGATTGGTGGGACGCCGAAGCCATTAGTGCAATACATTAATTACCCTACCATTACAAGCAAGGCATTGCATTGAATTGACTGAGGCCAATTGCCAACAAATGGACAAAGCCACTTGCAGGCAAGGGGCTGATCCGAAAATGGCTATCCCTCCCACTTTGGTGTGCCAGCCAGTCGGGTCAAAAGTCGATGCTCCCGTAGCTGCGTGGTGCAATCACTGATGCTGCCAATGCACGCATGTAGGTAACCAGCCCTTCCACTAGATCCATGGGAATCAGCATTTCCGTGCTGCCTGCTGATACGCTGTGATACATGAAAGAAGAAAAGAAGAAGAAAAAGCAAAATGCGGGCCAGAGATACCAGAGATACCAGCAGCCGGGTCGCCGAACTTGTTCGGCGAGCAGAGCATGTCTGTCCGTCCAAGCCGTCCAACCGTCCCCTCGAGTCCCATTCCCTCCTACGAAGGATGCAATGGATTTTGGCCCCCAATTCCTTACACTCTCGGCCACTTGTCATGCATGTACTCTGTATCAATTCTACCCACGGTATATTGACGTAAGCTACCTCTCCTACGAGACTATCAGCTCTTGTATCGGCACGACTATCCGGCACCTCTCAGACATCCAATCCCTTGATGCCGCCCTCGCCCTCAAACACGGCGATTTCCTTGACTTCAAGAGACCAATCTGCAACTGCCCCCCCTGAAGGAATCATAGCGTGTCATGACTCGAAAGGGCCATCGGGGGAGCAAGAACACGATCCCTTCCGCTAGCCATGTCCACCGTCTAAACTACTTCGTACCTGCTCCTGGGAAATCCGCAAGCCTCCCCCCCTCCCCCTATCGGCATCTGCCGTGGACCACCACTACGCGCAACGCAAGCAGGTAACAAGCCTCGCCTACTGCGCAGCCATCATGCTCATGTACACCCCCCACGCCACACCCGCGAGGCTGCCCACCAGGGTGCGCATCTCGGTCGTCTTGACAAAGGCGAAGCTGCCGAGGCTCACAAACGGCCAGAACTGCCACCCCGCCTTCATGATGCCCCAGTACTCCGCCCTGGTCTTGGCCACGACGGCGGCCCCGTCGATCAGGCTGTAGTCGAACGCCTTGCCGGACGCGAGGAGCGACAGGCTGCCCGCGAGCGAGGTCGAGGCCGCCGGCATGGACTGCTGCATGGCCGCCGTGAAGGTGCAGAAGAGGAGCGTGCTGACGCCGGCTCCGAAGGTCTGGTCCAGCACCGTCTTGAGGATCGTGTTCCTGATGCTGAGCTTCGGCTCGACGAGCTTGCCCTCCCTGGCCTCCTCGTCGAGCTCCTTCTCGTCCCCCTTGGCAGCCGACTTGAGAGCCTCTTCCGTAGGCGCAATATGGTGAGCCGGGAAGCTCTGCTCGAGATACTCAAGCCTTTTGCCAAGGGTTAGCACAATGCAATGCCAGTATGTAATTGTTGGACCGTCTCCACTTACCATAGGATATACGGCGGGGTGTTCAGGACAGAGAACATGAAGAACTGGAACACAGGAATCCAGTTGATTATGAACGGAGACTATGAGAGAATCGTCAGTCAATGTTGCCTGTAGGGCAGCCCCCAACAACCGTATCTGCGTGAGACCTGGCCGTAGTAGGGTTGCGCTCTGAAACAAGAGTTCTTCGTACATTATTTTGATATGCGGAGATGGCTTGTGCAAGCACATTTGACAGAGCAGCGATCACCGACGCCTGCAGTGTCGCCGAAACAAGCGGTGACAACGCCATTATCTCGTTTTTTTTTTGGGGCACTCCAGCCCGATGCTCAAAGCAAGAGGTCTGCTACAACAACGGCACTGCAGAGAAATTATCCTTGAGATATTTTATCTAGCTTGGATATCAATGCTGCGCGTGATGATGGGACAACATGGATTTTCGAGGGAAACGTGGTTTGTACTTTGGGGCTAGGGACTATTCTGGCCAGGTAATCCCGGCCCCCGCCACTTCCAGGCCCGGAATACCTCAGCCGCTACTCACAATGTCCAGCTCACATACACACATAATGCATATAATGCATGTATGGACTTGCTGGCAGGTCCTGCGTCAGTTTCGAGCGATATCATTGTTGCTATTGAAATTTTGTTTCTCTTTGTTTCGCTAAGTGCCCTATGCTTTTGCCTCTCTCTAAAACCCCATGCATTATAAAGTTAGTTGTCGCACCCGATGACTCCCAACTTTCATCCACAGAGCAACAATGGGCTCTCGACAACCATCGCCACGGGGATTCATCAACCATGGTATGATGTCAAATTCCTCATATATCCTAGTCATACAATGCCATGTCCTGCGCGTTTGGTTTGGTCAGAATCATCTGTCCTGGCCACGGAAATATTGCTTGAAGACGGCCGTGCCCGATCTAACCAAGGGTACGTTGTTTGCCCTCTCTTAAGCCCTGCTCAGAATCCACATGAACAAGAGCTGCACTCCATATGAGTAGAAGAACAAAAATTGTGTCCGCTGGTTTCTCTTCGCCCGCGTATCAGTCTGCATAGGACCTCTACTATCTCCGGCGTTCTCAGGAAGCAGGACATATTTAAGCGACCGCATCTGCAAGCATCAATTAGCCGACGACTGCTTGACAGGGAACTGGGAGCAGTCACTTACCAGGAACAATGAGTTGGCAAGGAAAGTGTAGAGGAACACCCCCCAGCCTATCCAGCCGCCAGTGCCTTTGCCGCCGTTGATGATCTCTGCAACAGAGACTGTGACGATCACGCCGACAAACTTGTATCCTGAGTATGCAACCAGATCCAATAGTTGCGATGTGTTGGAAATGCTCAGCAAATAACACCCAAGCCTGAGACCTAGGATCTCGACTCCCACGACAGCCAGCGAGATGGTCGCAGTGTAACCGAGAAGCTCGGGTTGGAACTGCCCGCGGAGGCCTGCGATGAGGGTCGAGAGCAGGATGTAGGTCACCAGGGACATGACAGGGATGTACATATCAGGGCTGTTGATGTCGTCCCTCGGGGGTAGGTACCATCCCTCCTGGCCATTCGGACCGACGGCCTGCTTGCGCGACCAGGGCTTATGCCTCCAGGGGAACAGCACGAGGAAGAGTTTGCTGATGACATACGAGTTCGTCACGTTGAAGTAGTGTTTGAGTGCTCCGACATTGACATAACGGTTGAGCTACAGCCACGGTTTAGTCATGGCGAAGCAGAAGTGTCATGGACGGGCTCAAACCACTTACGTTTTGCTCCACGTACTCCTGGCCTTGTTTGAAGGCGTTCTGGGAGAAGTGCGCCGCAACTTGCGCTGCCGGATCGTTCATGAACTGGCCATACTGTCCAAACATACTTCCACTCGCAGCGCCTTGTTGCTGCGGCTGTTGCTGCTGGTAAGGACTGCCATAGTTCTGCGACTGAGGCTGCGAGGATGTCGGCGGTGGAGGGGATCGGAGTTGTGGAACAGTCGAGACGTGCTGAGGGACGGGATGATGGAGGGGAGGAGACTGCCCGTAGCCCGGTCGTTGCATGTTCGCGATATGGTATGGAGGCTGTGAAAAGACCAGACTGCAGAATAAACGAGTGTGTGTACGTTGAGGACCACGAGAGGGCCAATGCAACTTGGGGGTTGTGATGATCTCGAAGCCAAGATTGTGGTGCCTGCTGGGAGAACAAGGTGTTTTCAGAGAAGCATGTGCTGTGCTGTCATTTGGTAGGTGGAGCTAGCCGCACGGGGACCTCGAGCTTATTAGCGCTTGGGCAAGGCGTGGCATCAACAGCCCAGCCCAGCTGGGTACACTCTGTGCTGAAAGGAGCCCTGGATAGGGGGGTGGAGGGGGATTTAATGACACTCTTAATGAGTATTTCTAGGAATAGAGAAGCGGCACAATGGGTCAAATAGCACGAGCACTGGTACTTCAAAGGGTGCTGAGGACTTTAACTTGGATCACAATGCTGTAGGTCAATACTGTGAACTGAAGATGCGCTGCGTCACCAGACTGGCGCTGCTGCTGCGCAAAAAGGATCTTCCTCCAACCGATAATTGATGCTTATCGCGCGCCTAACAATTGATAGCACGCATCTTGATCCAGCTCTAGTCTTCTTATCAGGTCTGGCCACATGCTAAAGTAGTGTCCCGCACAGCATTCATTCATTCATTTCTTGGTAAAGAGACATCTCCTCCCACCAGCGCACTTCGAAAGACTTGGACACACTGATTGGATTATTGATGCGCCTCGGCTGACCTACGCCATGTTGGACACCTTTGAGATCCTGACCACCTCGGGAGTCGTCCTCTGGTCCAGGTCCTATGCGAACGTCAACCCAGCCGTCATCAACACCTTCATCTCGGATGTGTTTGTGGAAGAGAAGAGCTCCGCTGCCGGCGCAAGCAAGCACTCCTCGGCAGCGACCAACTCCCCTTACAAGGCCGACCAGCATACACTGAAATGGGCCTTTGTCAAGGAGCTCGGCATCATCTTCGTGGTAAGTGTGACCGCCGTCGCTATGATACTCGCGGGCTAACACCTTCGTGCGCAGGCAGTCTATCGATCTCTTCTGCATCTCCAATGGATTGACGACCTTGTGGACCACATCAAGACTATATTCGTCAAGCTGTACGGCGACCAGCTGACCCGGCCAAATACCACCATTATCGAGTGCGAGAGCTTTGACGAGTACTTCAATCAGCAACTCCAGGAACTCGAAGGCGCCGGAGCCACAACGGCCGAAGCCCGTGGCTCACGCAAAGAAGCAAGCCTTGAGAAGGAGCAGCTAGATCCGCCGGGGTTGGTACACCGAAATGTGGCGAAGGACGACATTTCGCCGGGCATCACGGCTTCGCCTGCATCACGGCCGATCACACCGAGCGGCAAAAGCCATCTTGTTGTAGCCAAGGCCGGTCCAGTTGCGAAAATGTCCAGAAGGGCGCGCAAGGCTCAGCAGCAGAGCAACTCCGCCCCTGCCTCGTCGGGCGATGAGTCTCCCGCCCGGAGGGCAAAGGGGGCCAAGGGCGGAAAGAAAGGAAGAAAGTGGGATGCTGATGGCCTCGCTGATGAGGAGGATGACGTGCAGCTTGACTACTCGGCCCAGGCGATCACAAGCGAGAGCGAGGCGGAAGGCTTGGCCCGCTCGACGGCGCTGGAAGAGGTCGATTCCTCAACCTGGGGCCAAACGACCAAAGGAAAGTTCGTGCTCAGAGATCTCGGCGACGAAGTGCACTCCATCCTGGCGTCAGCCGAAGCCGAAAACGCGGCATCCAAGACAGAGTCCTCGTCTGGCCTTCTGGGGACTGGGCTCAACACCATCTCCGGCTTGTTCCGAAACGTAGTCGGCGGTAAGACCCTGACGAAAGAGGATTTGGACAAAGCCATGAAGGGCATGGAGGATCACCTGTTGCGGAAGAATGTCGCGCGGGAAGCTGCCGTCCGTCTGTGTGAGGGCGTGGAGAAAGAGCTGGTCGGTGTCAAGACCGGAAGTTTCGAGAGTATGTGATGTGTGGTTCATTGCCATTGCCCCATATTATCCCTCTAACAATTGTCCAGGCATAAACTCTAGGATACGAAGTGCCATGGAGAGCTCTTTGACCAAGATGCTGACACCCACCTCTTCGCTCGACCTTCTTCGGGAGATCGACTCGGTCACTTCACCCCCGGCAACTTCTTTACGAAAGCGAAGGCCCTATGTCATCTCTATCGTCGGAGTCAACGGCGTCGGAAAGTCAACGAACCTGTCCAAGATCTGTTTCTTCCTGCTCCAGAACAAGTACAAGGTCTTGATTGCGGCCGGTGACACGTTCCGCTCTGGTGCCGTTGAGCAGCTGGCTGTTCATGTGAACAACCTGAAAGAGCTGACGAAGAGAGAGGGCGGTCGAGTCGAACTGTACCAGAAGGGTTACGGCAAAGATGCGGCAGCTGTCGCAAAAGATGGGGTGAACTTTGCCGCGCAGGAGGGCTTTGATGTTGTCCTTATTGACACCGCTGGACGGAGGCATAATGATCAGAGACTGATGTCGTCGTTGGAGAAATTTGCCAAGTTTGCGCAGCCCGACAAGATCCTCATGGTCGGCGAGGTACGCGCATCCCGTTTCCTTTCCTGCCTCGTCTTTTACTCTTCTTACCAGTTTTGCTGACATCTCACAGGCTCTCGTTGGCACGGATTCGGTTGCGCAAGCTCGAAACTTCAACGCCGCGTTCGGCTCAGTCCGGTCCCTGGATGGATTCATCATCTCCAAATGCGACACGGTGGGCGACATGGTGGGAACACTGGTCAGCCTGGTTCACGCAACGAATGTGCCCGTCTTATTTGTCGGCGTGGGCCAGCACTATTCTGATCTACGAAACTTCTCTGTGAAATGGGCGGTCGAGAAACTTCTCGGCAACAACTAAATAGTTTGAATAGCCTCGCTTCCACCAGTCTGCGCTTGGACATCCACGTAGAAGTAATCTGATAATCAGTACCAAAAATTATCTCCAAAAAATAAGAAGTTCCTACGTTCCTTTGCCGTGCAGGTCGAGATGAGGACCAGCAAGTTCGACCGTCTCATCGAGTCTACAAGTGCCTAACCCTGTCTTGACGAGACATGCTCTCGGTGGACGCTCGAGTCGTGTCCTGGGCCCTTGAGGAGCTGCTCAAGCCTTGGGCGGCTGAGGCTCGGCCGGCTTTGTTTGTTCCGGCTGAGGCTCTGATGGCTTTGGCGCAGGTTTCGGCGGCTTGAATGGGCCGTTGGCCCAGAGTGGAATCTTCTTTCCGCGCCCCATGGTCGTTGGGTCGATGTTCGACGGCCTGTATTTCGCAGAGCAGAACTTGGCTCAGTAAGTAATGCTATTGTGCCCGACCTTGAAGAGCTTCAAGTTCAAGAGTTTCGTGCCCAGTGATGCTCAAACCTTACAATGCAGTCTATCGTGGTAAGAGAGCAGCCTGTAATTTACAGTGGATGTTGAGTTAAAGAACCAGGGTGGACTTCCTCTGCAATTTATAGATAGGGATGACAATTTCCCAGTGACACACTGTCATGGCAAGTGCATATAGATCCAGTGTCGTCACAGCCTTCTGTGCAGATTTAAGCACCTGAAGGTGGTCAGTGACTCGGCAAGCACATGAAACGTCCCAGCATGCAACAAAGAAGCCTTCCTATGGGCTCCATCCACAGAGGTCAAATGGCAAAAGATTCTTCATCAATTTGCAACAAAAGTTGGAACTTGTCGGTACCACGAGTACCACGAGCGGCATAATACCTCAGTAACCCCCCCACCCCCTACCGTATCATGCTATGGCTACCACATGAATGAGTGTGTCCAAAGAACCATGCTTGATGATCTCCACATAGACCAGTCCCTCAGGGCCAAGTAGAAGGGCCAAAGGTCTCTCCCTTCGGTACCTCCTTCTGGACAGCCTTGGACAGCATGTCCAGTGTACTAAGAGCGTCGAGATTTCCAAACCACTGCGGCGGTGTAGCCGACGTGAGGTAGAGAGTGAAGAAAATGATGATGGTGGAAATGATGAGGCCAGTGTCAAGTGCCGCAGACGTGATGTAGTTGTATTGCAGCCACCAGCCGTTCCAACGCCGCTTGATGAAGAAGTTGAAAATGGTGCCAACAATACCGTAGCAGCTAACAGGAGCTTCGGGTTAGTAGGGCGCATGGGGAGTGATCTGAGAGCGCTCAGAGTGCTGAGATGGGCATGACTTACAAGTATATATACACCGTTGCAGGTGGAATCCAGCCCGAACCGCCAAAGAAAAGGGGTGTGTTGACGTATCGCCAGATGGACTTGGGATACCGCCGAGCGAAGAACCAGGTGACAACGGGAGCGAGAGCACCGACGAGCCAAAACCATTGGAGGCTCGAGTAGAGCGCATCGCCACTGAACATTCGCTTGGGGCCGATGGCTCCCCAGATGATGGAGGCGGTGTAGAACACCTTTGCGTTTGCACAAGTGTACGAGTTCTCCTGGTGGTCGTCGCACAGGTCCGGGATGGCACCGAACGCCCAGTTCATGACACCTATCTGGACGACAGCGGACCAGACGGAGGCTATCAGCTGCGACCAGAACATGGTGCGCGGGGGAACCTTCATGTAGTGGCCGAGCTTGAGATCCTGAGCAAAGTAGAGCGCTTGCGACATGCAGAGATAGCCGTAGTTCTTGAACATCATCATCGCCAGGGGACGGCCGGGCAGCATGTAGCCGACGATGAACTCGGTCAAGACGTTCAGCCCGATCTGTATGTTCGTGATTGCTTGCACGATGCCGATGGGGATGGTCCAGATCGCCGGCAGCACCATGCACACGACGTATCCCCACCAGGGGAAGCCGGTGTCCCAAGCGCAGACGACCGCAAATGACATGCCGAGCATGATGACGAAGAGCACCCCGTACCACCAGTCTGGGGCATCTCGATACTTCTTCATGAGGCGCATGTGTACGTCGTCCTCCTGGGTCCGAGCCTGCTTGAACTGGGTGTAGACCTCCCTTCCGTGATAGAGCGCGACGTGGACAACCACAGCGGCGACAGCAGCAAACGCCAAGCCGTACGCCAGCGCGAACTGTGTAGGGAGATAGAGTGGAGAATAGGCATTGTACCTGGCTTCGTCGAACTGGAAGTTCTCATCCAGAATCCTGGTGACGTTGTACTGGTGTCCCGTGTTATCGTACGCGTGCGAGTTCTGAACAGGGAGGTACGCCGCGTACCACATGCCGCTGAAATGAATGCCCATGGATATCACCACGAAGAAGACAAAGATGCCAGCAATCATGTTAGCGATAGCATGGAAAGGCGGGATAAGCGGCGACGTCAAGTAGCCAGACACGATGGTCCAGTCAAAAGTAATTGGCAGCAGACCATAACCGCTCAGCCCGCCAAAGACCTGGTTGACAACAACGCTGTTGGGCCAGATCCAGGTGACCCAGCAGAACCAAGAGAGGCCTTGGAAGATCCAACCTGGGAACCAGTACCAGACGAAGGAGGCGGCAAAGACTATGAGGAACCATTTGTACCGTCCCATCCGCCATCCGTTTGTCGTAGTCGGATCCGATGGTGAGTGGTCATGGAGAGCATAGAAGAGTGCGGCGTTGACCAGATCAGCAGGCCAGATCATGGCCGCGGGCCAGACAAGGAATCGACGGCCGAGGCCAGCAAGGCCATAGCCCGTGCAGAGTGTTGTGATGCCGAGGAGAATCTGCCAGCCCCAGCCAAAGGCCTGCTTGTACCAGACCTGCTGGGCAATGATGACATCGGTTGCATAGAGCGCACCACCGCCGTACGCGGCCTGTGTAAACATCAGCTGGACCGTTCTGCACATGCTCCCTTCTAATTTCATCGACTCACGTTGGACATAACCACGATAATGACATGCTCTTTGAAATTGAACCTTCCGGGTCGCAGATTGAACTTCAGGCCGAGAATATTCCACTCCCGGTCTGGGAAGATGAGATCCCAGAGCAGTCCTATGGGGTACGCCACCAATTGGACAGCATAGGTCGTGACTTGGATGCTAGGGTTGCGGAGTGAGAAGAGCATATTGACTCCGGATCCGACAGTGCAGAGAAGAAGGCCAATGAACCAGGCCCGAATCGTATTCACCGGTAGATCAACGTCGTAGTTCCGCACCGAGGCTCGCACCTAGAGGATGTAAGTCGTCTGTTCTAGGAGGAAGGCTCTCATCTCGCAGACAGGGACCTCTATGAACCTACTTCTGGATATGGGGAGTCGTCCTCAACAAGGAGACGCTCCACTTCAATGCCCTTCTCGGCATTTCCACTGTCCAGTGCGGCATCAATGTCATTCAGCTCATCAATAGGCAGGTTGGGGTCAAGGTGATGCATCTTCTCGAAGTGCTTCAGGTTGGTGATAGCCTCAGCCGCCTGGTCGTCAGAATCCGTCGTGCCAGCCGGGCTGGCACGCGCCGGGGTGATGTGGTCACGGTCATGACTTTTTCGCAGATTCAAGACCATCTTGACGGTCCCAGTCCTAGATTGTATCCCCTTAATGTGTGAGATGTCCAGAGGGGGATTAAAGCGAGGAGTTGTCTATTCGAACCCGACTTGAGGTTCACAACACACCATGGGGAGAGACGATGGATAGGAGAGGCCAAGAGAAGCCCGATCCGAGGGAACATGGCATATGCAATATATATGAGCTTGATCACGGCGATGGACCCCTCCTCCAGGATGCTGCTGATGCAACCCTTGGCAAGCCCGGCCAGCGGATATCTTCTGGGGTGGCAATCAATGGGTCCCCAACACACAGGAGACATGGTGTTGGTTACGGACACCTGCGGTCTCGGGTTAGATTCTGAGGGCCACATGGTGCGATATCAGCAATATACGAGCAGCCAATAAATGCCCGATCTCCAGAGGGCGGGGATCGACACATACTGAAGGAGGTCTCACGGAAGATGCGATTCCCAGAAACCACCGACCTGCCTAAATTGGGTGGCTATCAATCTAATCGACGAGGCGGGTCGTGAGACCTGGGGGCAAGAGAACAAGGATGTCGATATATCTGCAGCTTCCTACGAATGGGACAAAGCACCTGGGTTCCACAGAAATCTTGGGAGACGGTACAGACGTGCCATTATGTACCTTGATATTATCCAGGTTAGCAAGGGCCAATGAGCTAAAAAAAGGAAAAGAGATGTAGGCTCTTGTCAATATCTCCTCGGTCTGTCTGGAGATAGATAAAAGGGAGAAGAAGGGCTACTGGCTGTACTCACGTTCCCAATGTCCAACGACACTCATCGGGCAGAAGGCACCATTTTGCTATCGTCGACTTTCACTGGGATCTGCTTTGGGACGGCTACCTTGGCGGTGAAGAGAAGAGATTACAGGCTCGAAAGGGTTATCCCCCATGAGATCCTTGAACATGCTAAGTCGGTGACGCGTTCAACCTTGCGCCCAGCTAACCAACAAGGATAGCCTATGCTCGTGAAGCTTTTTTGAGATCGAGAGCATTCCCTCCCGACTCGAGGCTCCTTGGACATGTGTTCAGATAAGCCTTGGCCCTCCTCCAGTCGAGGTTTCCGGGCGAACATGTGCCGTGGGAGTATCGATATTAACCGCTCAAGCGAACCACATAAATGTTGCCGCTGTTGGCCTCAGTTCCGGCCCCACCTGCAATGGTAGGATGCATGGAAAGTCTTGCCCAAGTCGAGATAACTATGTCGAGGACGTCAGTCTAGGGTGTACGGAAATCCATGAATCTTGTCACCCAAGTAAGGTAGTATGGCCGCCGCCGGACCCCTCCCACGCCGACTTTCTGTTTCGAGGTAGGTGTCGACTGGACCAACACTCCGGTCGAAAGACCAATCAGAATCTCTGGATACAAGTATCGATATGGTGTTTTGTTTTCGAGTTCCCGCTCCCAGCAAGCTTTCATGCTGAGGAGCCGAACAACTCGTCATGTTGGCCCTCGAACCCTGGCTATTCCCGAGACGAGGGCATCGAGGGGCCAACCTAGGTGGTTCACTCCACCCGATCCATGTCTGGATGTGCCAAGAACAGAAGCTCGTGACACGCACGCGACAACTAGTCCTGGCAGGTTGCGTTCACTGCATATCAGCGGAGCAGTTCCGCAGAAACGGGACCCCGGGTTGGAAGCTCAAGTGCAAGGGAGGCATGGTCAGATGCTGGACGAAATGAAGTGTTGATCTGTAGACATCTGGCCCTAGCGCGCAAACAAGCTTTCTGTCTTCGATGCCGTCTCCACTGGGTTGGTGCCGGAGACCCCAGGTCTCTCTGGGGCACACTAGAACACGTCTGGAAGTTCCTATCAACCATGCCCACACACTCCCTCTAGATGTCCTACCCTCATCGTCTGCGACTGTTTTGTACACGCGTATGGCCGGAGTCGATTGGCTGTCATGAACACGATACCACTCGCTAAAAGAATTCCCCTGAGATAAGATTCTGACATTGACGCTTTGGTCTATGTGCCCGTGCGGCAGAGCATGGCTATTGCGGAGACGGAGCTGAAGACACGTCAGCTATCCTCTCCCATCTTCGGATCATCGGCATCGTGAAAGGGTTGCAAACTACCTGCCTCACAGGGAATGGAGAAATTACGAAGTATCTCTCTGCTTCTGCTCCAACAGCCCATACCCTTGCTGATTTCAATAGCAGCGCGGACCATAGTTGATCCTTGATTAGCGAAGACATCAAATGAATTAAACACCAGACTTGACCCATATCAATACTTTTGCTTCATCTTCCCTCCTTGGATTTCACATTGCTGAGTTCTCGCAGAGCCGCACGGTCGAGACACCGGTGCTTCGCTCCTACAGTGCCGTCTTGAATCCTGGTTCTGTCCCAATACGCCCGAGCCAAGAAGGCCAACCGATGAGTCTGATTACGCGAGGAATCAGCGTTACTATTTTTGGAAAACAGGGTCATTGGTTGAGGGGAAAGGGATCGATGTCCATCCGCAGCCCCAGCTCGGTGCTTGGCCTTGACATTGCAGGACATTGCAGTGGTTTGCTGTTAAGGAAACTTGCAGCCTGGTCTGAGAAGAAAAGGGTCTATTCTTTGTATTTGTGTTTCACCAAGTGCACGTCAGCATATATTGCCAAACATTTTGATTTTGATACAGTCTGAGTTCGTCATTTGGAATAATCAATGTCAAGTTAGTGCAGCACACTTAATGATCCCCAAGTTCTAAATTGTTAATGAAGTACAGACTCCCGGCAACCTCCAGGGCTGCGAGACTTGGAGATGCCCACAAGCGCCCGGTACCGGCCTAGCGTGGGAGGCGGCGCTTACTTTTGGTGAGCAACCGCGCCAGCGACTCAGCACACCACCCCTAGAGACCCTGACGGCCTGGGCTGCATCCCATGTGTTATCTCTTATCGGTCGCCACCAAATCAATGCCTGTCAGCTCGATTTCGTTGACTTCAATGATTCAACACCCCGTGCGGATGCTCGATACCTAGTATGCTAGAGCAACCCAATCGGGCCCAGACCATACTGTAGTGGTCTTGGAACAATGACAGATTCCGTGTGAAACAAACTCACAAGTATTTCGATACACTGGTTATCCACGACTCATCTCAACGATGGCGTCCGGGCCGCCCTTGACGATCCCGACCTCCGAACGAAGGGATAGCACTCTCCTCTCACCCGTCGAATACGATGCAGATGCCGTATCTATACGCAGCGACCAAGACACAGATAGCGAGGATGACGAACTGCAGATGCGGGCGCGGACGAGCGGCGAACTCAGAGCTCGCGACCGTCTAGTCTTCATGGAGGAGGATGAGGTCGACCGGCTGGTGACGGATGCGCGACGTAAGCAGGAGCGAGAACGCCGAGGGTCCGGCCTACCAATTCCCAATCCCCTCAAATTCTTGTCCCGACGCTCGAGCGATGCGAGCCTGTCCCGGAGCCCTGCTCGCGCCGACGCGGCATCCACCGAGAATCTAGTGCCCGAGAAGCGGCAACAAAGACGGGAAAGGAGGCGGAGGAAGAAGGAAAGGCTACTAGCCGATGCCAAAGATGGCGAAGATGGGGAACTGATGTATGAGATGGAGCAGGGAGGGATGAGAGATGGAAGCTCAACCGGCGAAAGCAGCGACAGGGAAGACAGTGACGAACTCGACCGGAAAGGCCTGAAGCAATTCGCCGACGCCAAGTCCAGGAGAAGGCGCAATTGCTGTCGCTGGCTCATCATTCATGCCCTGATCGTCACCTCGTTCGCTTTGTTGGTGTTGGTGGCTTGGAAACTTTCACTCGCCAAGAAGGCCGAAGTCGCGCGACAGTTTGTTAGCAACGGCACCGCACTGTTTGCACCTACGACCATCCTTATCAGCCTCGACGGATTCCGTGCCGACTTCCTCAATCGTGGTCTGACGCCGAGGCTCAACGCGTTCATCAAGGAGGGAGTCTCGCCTCTCTACATGCTCCCGTCCTTCCCGAGCGTTACGTTTCCCAACCACTACACTCTCGCAACAGGGCTCTACCCAGAAAGCCATGGTGTAGTGGGGAATACCTTCTGGGACCCGGAGCTCGAGGCCGACTTTTACTACACTGACCCGGACCGCAGTCTCGACCCCAAATGGTGGGGAGGAGAGCCGTTCTGGGTGACGGCAGAAAAGGCCGGCATTAGGAGTGCTATCCATATGTGGCCTGGAAGCGAGGCTCACATTCTCGGGGTCGAACCCAGCTTTTTGGACAAATACAATGGAAAAGAGAAGTTGCCAAAGAAGGTGAAAAGAATACTAGAGTTTTTGGATAAACCCGGCAGAGAGGATCCCACCGCAGACCCGGCCGATATGCGACCGCAGCTCATTGCAGCCTATGTCCCTGACGTGGACTCGGACGGTCATAAGTATGGACCGAACAGCACAGAGATCCGCAGCACTATCAAAGCTGCTGATGAGATGCTGGAAGAGTTATTCGAGGGGCTGGAGCAACGGAACCTGACGCATATTGTCAACGTCATTGTCGTCTCTGACCATGGCATGGCAACGACAGACACATCGCGCTTGATGCAACTTGACGACCTGGTGGACCTCGATCGGATCCGGCATGTTGATGGGTGGCCTCTTGTTGGCCTACGTCTACACAACGACTCGGAATTGCAGGAGGTGTACGACGGAGTCATCGAGAAAACAAAGGGCAACCCAAATATCGAGGTCTATTTGCGCGATGTCAACATGCCCGAGCGTTACCATTTCTCCAACAACGACCGAATCGCTCCTCTCTGGCTTGTGCCAAAGACGGGCTGGAACCTGGTTCAGAGGCAGGATTTTGATATTGAAGAGGCCAAGGCCAACGACATCGTCTACCATCCTCGCGGCCTGCACGGCTATGACCATGAACATCCCTTGATGAGAGCTATCTTCGTGGCCCGGGGCCCAGCGTTCCCTCACGAGCCTGGCAGCCGCCTTGAAGCCTTTCGTAAGTCTCGGCTCCCCATTGTCAAATTATAGCTTGTTTGACTGACATTGGTTTAGAAAATATCGAGGTGTACAACATCCTATGCGATTCAATTGGGTTGGCTCCCATCGCCAACAACGGAACCCTACGTCTACCTCTGCGGCCTATTGGGCTTCACGATCCTGAAGTTGTCATGGAGGAGCCACCTGACCCGGTCTCTTCATACACACTCGAGCCGACGCCTGTGCGCCCGACTTTGGTGTCTCAGGCTCCAGCAGCGACAACTGCCAGTCGTTCATTGGGTGTTGACCCAGTCCACACGAGTTTGTCCACTCCGAACCCGGTACAGGTTGATCCCGCAACACCACAGCCAGCAACACCACAGCCAACAGGGCAAGCAGCCGATGAAGGAGACAGTAAAAACAGCGGTACCCTGCTTGATGACGCAAAGTCAGCAGCCAAGGGATTCTGGGATTGGCTGACCGACAAGTTTGATGATATTTGGGACAAGATCACTGGGTCTGATCAAGGGGAAAAGGGGAATGGTTGACGTCTGCTTTGTGGTGCCAATGCATGAGAGATACCTTGTTTTGCGACTTGCTGTTTGTTTGATCTTGGTATATATACGTGAAGTGCCAATCCATTCATCAGGCATGAATAGGCACGTAGAGTGAATCTGCTTTTCTCCAAGACCACCCAGAGGGCATCATATGGTGCGCAATGGCAAGCCGAGGAATAAAAGAATGCACAAGAATGCACAAGATGTTCTCGAATACTCATGTCTTCCTCGGTCTTCCTACAAAATATGAACCGTTGAACGCTCAAACCCCACTGCGAATCATGGAATGGCATCAAGGTATCAAGGTCCCCAGGGGTCTGATGTCTGATACATCCTCCGCAGTGGATCCGGGCTTCCATCTTTCTGCTTGACTCGCCTGATTCAGGCACCCCCACTGATGTTCTAATTTATGACAGGGGATCTTGCGGAGCTAGAAACGTTTAGGCTCCACTAATTGAAGCACTGAACACAACGCGACGCGACGGGTGGCAATGGAATCATTTTGATATTCACTCCGCCATCACCGCACGCGCAAACCAGCACTGAGATTCTTTGACTGTCCATCTCATCTCCTTCCCCGACTGTGGGTGGTGCTGTCCTCCCGCCTTCCGATCGACCCGAAAGTCTCAACAAACCACGATTTCGATCTTACCCCGGGACCAGACGCGGTTCTCCTGTGGGTTTGGATGCACTTTTGCCCGCCTCACTTTGGTCTCTCATCGCCTGCCAGAATCTACTCTACCTGGCTCTCATCGCCTCGTCGGACTTTCCAAAACAACAGGGCAACGTTTTGCCCCACCTTGTTCGTTCGACAATGTGCCTGAACATCCCCTCTTTGACAGCTCGCAGTGCCTGAACATCCACTCTTTGACAGCCTGCAGTATTTAAGCGACCTGATTTGACAGCCCCCCATTACACAACGTGAAGCAAACATCACCTCACGTTAGCTGCTGCGGTCATCCCGGTCATCGGCCCAAAACCTGTCTGCAAATCTGCAAGGCTGGGGTTACCTCGGGCCCGAAATTGGCCATGGCGACGCCACGTAGCATGGAAGGCTCTGCAAGCAGAGATGCCCACTCTGCGCAGCCTTTCGACATCGAAGACATACAAGAAGACTTGGGCATCCAGCAAGCCATCCTTGTGTCGCTCAGGGACTCGACCCAACCGTACACCATCGACATACAATGTCGAATTCACGAGGCAAGCGCTAAGATCCGACGTCTCACCAAGCGACTTGCAGAGGCTCGTCGTGCGATTAGTCCTGGTCCCAGCGGCGGGGAGGAATCCAGCAATCCTACACCCTTCACCCATCAGTCCACAGAGAGCAGGAGCCACGACATGGACATCGTTAGAGGCCGACCTGTACAGATCGGTATGTGTTTTTTTGCATCTCGGTTTACCCATGCCTGAGATTTCTCTGACACTCTGCTGACTCTACCTTCCGGCAGAACACCGTTCGGCTTCCTACGCCACACCCTCCAATAGAGCACACCAAGATTCGACACGGGAGCCTGTAGATTTTTCTACGGCCTCGAGGAAGGATATGCGCAAGCGCACATTCAGTACCCACCTGGACGGAGGCTATTCCGTCTCTTCTGGAAGCAAGTCGAGGAAGACTACTCCAAGCCCAGCGCCTTCGATCTTCTCTACCAGTCCTGCCTCTACCGACTTCGACGATGACATTGATGTTGTTGACCTTACAGGAATCGACGGAGACGAGTTCCTAAGCCAGCAGCGTCAATTGGAGCAGCGCTGGGGCCAGCAGAAGCAGACTGCTGATGAGGATGCTGCTCTTGCCAGGCTGTTGCAGGAGGGCTCAGATAGCGACGATGCCCGCATCGCACCTGCTACTGCTACTGCTACTGCTACTGCTTCTGGCACAGGTACCTCCATCAGAACAGCCTATGATCGCTTTCTGGAGAGGTCACAAGCATCTCGTTTTGCTCCAGGTCGAGCACCATCATTGCAGCTGATCCAGACCTTGGCTGCGCGTCGTGCCGACAGCAACATAGGTCATCCTCAAGTGAAAGATGAGCCCATTACAAGGCCCTCGCCGAGCGGTCTTGCGAACTTCCCACTTGGGCCGCACCGCCCTCAACAACATTCACCGATGCCCGGCGGCTTTCCCTCGTTCGAGACAGACGAAGAGGAGGTGGACTCGGATGATGAGTTCAGGAGAATGAACAACTTGCCTCCGCGCGCTCGGATCCGACCACCGCCTGCTCCCCCTATTGCAACAGCTCTGTCTGTCGTCAACAGGGGCCAAGTAGGTGGACCCGCAGCGATGCCTCAGAGGCCTGCCCTTCCAGAACGACCCCATGGGTCTCGCGGTGCATTCGATAACGTCCCTGCATCTGAGCTGGCTCGACGAGCTGCCCTCAACCGGCAACTCCCTGGAGGAGCATTTCCTGGCATTGGCGGTATCGACAGTTTTGGAACCGATACGACGTTGTTTCCAGGTCCTCCGTCGAATCAACAAGCTGCTCTCTTCTCAAGACCCGGGATGCTTGGTGGTGGCCGCTACAACCACCTTCAAGCCTCGCCGTTCCCAGTTGCCGGGCCTTCGAAACAGGGCGGCTCGCTTGCCAGTGTTATCAACAGAACCGGTCTGTATGACTTCGAAAACCTTACGGACGGATTCGGAGCACCTCTGCCTGATAATGTGCAGCGGTATGTGGAGGACATTGCCGGAGATACCCGAAAGAACGACGAGGAGATTAGGGAGCTCCTCTCCAACATTCGGCCGGATATGGAGATCCCAGTTGAAGAGCGTGAAGGGACTCCTGAAGAGCTCCGCTATGCATTGTACACGCATCAACAACTGGCCTTGAAGTGGATGAAGGACATGGAAGAAGGCTCAAACAAGGGCGGCATTCTTGCTGACGACATGGGTCTTGGCAAGACAATCTCAACCCTCGCTCTTATGGTATCACGTCAATCACCGGACCCGCGTGTCAAAACCAATCTCATCATTGGCCCCGTTGCCCTCATCAAGCAATGGGAGAACGAGATCAAGAAGAAGCTCAAGCCCGAGTACCGCCTCAGCGTCTTCTTGTATCATGGCAAGAAATCTACCTACGACACCATGAGGGGCTACGACGTTGTGCTCACCACCTATGGCACCCTGGCACAAGAATGGAAACGTTACGAGAGGTATCGGGAAGCGCACCAAGGCGCCAACAACGAAGGAAATGCTGAGCTGACCAAGATGTTCCCTTTGGTGCATGGTAAGAGCAATTATTACCGCGTCATCCTCGATGAGGCCCAGTGCATCAAGAACCAGGATACACAATCCGCCAAAGCTGCGCACAAGATCTCGGCTACGTATCGTTGGTGTCTGACCGGTACACCAATGATGAATGGAGTGCACGAACTCTTTTCGTTGATCCGATTCCTGCGAATCAGACCGTACAACGAAATCACGCGCTTCAACGCGCAATTCCACACTCTAAAGCCTGGCAGCAAGGAGTGGAGTGTCGATAAGCGCGACACGGCCATGCAGAGGCTGCGAGCTGTACTCAAGGCGATTATGCTCCGACGCATGAAGAATTCCCAGATCGACGGCAAGCCGATTCTCAATCTGCCGCCGAAGACAGAAGAGGTCAAACACGTCGTCTTTTCGGACGATGAGCAAGGTTTCTACAAGGCACTTGAAACCAAGGCGCAGCTGCAATTCAACAAATATGTTCGGGCCGGCACCGTTGGCAAGAATTACTCCAATATCCTCGTTCTTTTGCTTCGCCTCCGGCAAGCCTGTTGCCACCCTCACCTGAATCTCGACTTTGAGAGCACCGGGAATGGCACTGAGGGGATTGTGGAGGAGGACATGGTCGCCCTCGCCAAGAAGTTTGACGCCTCTGTTGTTGAGCGCCTGAAGGCTGTTGAGGCATTCGAGTGTCCCATTTGTATGGACGCCGTTCTTGACCCTCGCTTCATCGTGCCCTGTGGTCACGATGCCTGCCAAGACTGTCTGATCAAGTTGGCCGAGAATGCAGCACAGAACGGCCTCCAAGCTGGTCGAGAGGAGAATGCCAATGCGAGATGCCCGCAATGCCGAGGTCCTCTCAAATTCAAAGAGATTGTTTCCTACACAGTCTTCAAGCAGGTTCACATGCCGGAGTCGGTGGAAGGTGAAGGCTCTGGAGATGCTGCCAAGTCGCTTCCGAGCCTGGGAAGCGACACAGAGAGCGACTATTCTTCAGATGAGGAAGAGTCGGATGCGGATGACAACGGTGATCTCAGGAATTTCGTAGTCCCTGACGATGTGGACGATGATGACTTTGATACAGAAGTGGCAAAGGCCGCTGAGAAGAAGTTGAAGAGGAAGGCGAGGGGAAAGAAGAGCAAGAGCTCTAGAAAGTCCAAGGGCAAGCGCCCTCAGAAAGAGAAGCTGCCAGAGGTCAAACCTCACATGCTCAAGCAGTTGCGAAAAGAGTCGAGCAAGAACAGGGAGGCTCGACGACGCTACATGCACTACCTCCGGGACAATTGGGAGCCTTCGGCCAAGGTGACCAAGGCCTGCGAGCTCCTCGAGAACCTGAAGGCCACTGGCGAAAAGACGATCGTCTTCTCCCTCTGGACTGGTCTCCTCGACCTTCTCGAGATCCCCATCAAATACGATCTTGGTCTGAAGTACACCCGGTACGATGGCGGAATGTCGCGTAATGAGCGAGACGCCGCGACCCAAGCGTTCATGGAGGATCCTAGGGTGAAGGTCATGCTTGTGTCGCTCAAGGCTGGCAATGCAGGCCTCAACCTCACGGCCGCATCTCAGGTCATCATCATGGATCCTTTCTGGAACCCTTTCATCGAGATGCAGGCCGTTGACCGCGCTCACCGCATTGGACAGCAGCGGGAGGTCCAGGTGCACCGCATCTTGGTTGAGGGTACGATCGAGGACCGCATCGTTGAGCTCCAACAGCGCAAGCGGCAGCTGGTGGAGGCTGCCCTGGATGAGGGCGAGATCAAGGGGCTGGGCCGGCTCAATGCGGGAGAACTTCGTTATCTCTTTGGTGTCAGGGAGTAGACGCCTTGAGCACCTTGAGCTGGGTTTTGTCTTGTTTGCATTTTTTTTTCTTTCCACTGCTCGTTTTGGCAACATGGTCCTTGCTATCATGTAGAGTGCAGCTTACGGCGTTGATCTGGCTGATACCCCCTACCCCCCCGGATGGGCTACACATGAAGAGAATGCAACGCGTTGATTTTTTTTCCCCCCTTTTGGGCCGTTACACGGATCATTGATCATGGTTTGCTGGTCTTCACAGTGGGGATCTTTCTAGAACAGCCAGGCGATGGACATTTGCGATGCATACAATTCAATAGCTTACCTTTCTCGCAGTAGAACGAGTCTAGTCTGAAATGAAACGTCTTTGCATTGCCTCGCTTGAATTGCTTGTGACAAAGGCCATATGGGCAGATATTAAGTTCCCCGGGCCGTTTCGAAGAACGTTGGCTAGTCTATGCGTACGGAGTCTTCTCGGCAGGCTGCGTAGTACATGAACGATCCCGCCTGCCATCGCCGCTATCTGAAGCTCGCATAAAGGACCGAAAGTTTATCTGTTAGTGTTCTTGGATCGAGCGAGCTTTTGTCCAACGAAACATGCTGGTGTCTATCGGTTGGACTATCGTTAGATGTGTCTGTGTCCAGATCGAGTAAACGCAGATGCTGACACACAAGGAAGCTGGCTCTCCTGTCTAGGGCCAGGACGAACGAGGGAGGAGGGATTTCTGGGGGGGGCACATGCATATGCTTTCGTGTCATGTTTCGTGTGTCTGACAAGTTCTTGATGCAGCAGGACCTCGATGGGATCGACCGAATCTCGATGATGTTCTGATTCCCGACGGCTGCAGGCTGCACACCCACACTGCCCGTTCGCTTGGACGTTCGTCTCTTCTTCTAGAGGACTAAGGAGTCCCCATTTTCCCACGTTGCCACTCGAGCTAGCCACTGGGTACTAGATCCAGTCGTTTTGCTCATGGCGTGGGCGTGGGCGTGGGCGTGGGCGTGGGCGGGCGGTGGCGGCGCTTGGTAAGAGTGGTATCTACCTACCTACCGGTAGGCTTGCACTAGGTGACTCAACGGCGACGATGACTGGAATGCATGTTTTTTAAGGTGTGGAGGAGGATGGCAAGAGGAGAAGGATGGCAAGAGGAGAAGGAGGCGTCATGTGGGCGGCCTTCACCGCCACCGTTGGTTATTCGAACGCCGAGCAGAAAATAAGATAGTGCAACGCAAGGGATGAGAAAGGCGGTCTAAGCGAAGGGACTTGTGGCATGCGTGAAGGAGTGGATATGCTACACTTTATATGGGGAGTTCAAAGAGGCGGTGACGTAGGATGGGAGAGGTTCACAAATCGAGGAATGTAAGAGAGAAAGAAGTCTGGTAGATTCGACGGCACTAGGTACCTAGTATATTTTGCCAAGCTGTCCAAGCAGGCGGGGGGTATTATCTATCTATCTCGATGGAAAAATATCCATACTATCTCGGGGTCGCAGCCGAGATACGGTGCATAATCAAAAGTATTGGGCTCAATGGCCGTCCGAATAGGATCCACGGCGTTCAGTGCCGAGAATCTTGGGTCCTTGATACAAAAAAGGATCGAAAGCAAAATCGCTAGTGACCGGCGCCTAATCCCGTCGCTGATATACCCATTTAAACGCCGGCCGTGAGAATAACCCAGTATGAATTTCTGTCCCAGTCGACTTGGAGAAGGTGGTGAAATGTATTCCGTGGTGATACAAAGTGGTTGGTGTTGTGGTGTATGTTGTTACACGCCCAGATGAGAATGGGCCTCCCTCCCCAGGAGGGGTGTGGTTGCGCTGGCTGCTTTGCTTTTTCAAGGAATCTCGAAGACATCGTCGTCCGTCGCCACGGGCTCGTCGGTGCAGAATACGATGCCGCGGCGCTTCCAGCCGCCGCGTTTGAGGAAATAGTCGGCCTCGTTCAGGCTGGCGGGCAAGGGCCGGCGGCGGCTGGGGGACGGGGGCTGGGACTCGCTGCCCCACTCGGCCGGGTCGGGGCTGCTGTGCCTCTGCTGGTGACGTAGGTCCGCCTCTGAGCTTGGCGCTCGCAGGGTCCGCCCCGCCTCCGCCTCCGCCACCACCACCGCCACGGCGGCGGGCAATTTCTTCTGCGCAGCGGCACCGAATCCGAAATCGAAGCCGTCGTAGATCTCGAGCGAGAAGCCCGGCTGCCTGTTGTGGGCGAGGCGGTGGTGCTTCTCCTCGGCCTCCTCCTGGTGCTGGTACCGCCGCTCCACGCAGCGGGGCGGCGACTGCTCGGGCGCCGCCATGGACGGGTGCAGCCTCAGCGGATCCCACTCTACCGTGCTGCCGTCCCTCCTCGACGACGACGATGACGAAGAATCAGACCCGGACGACGACGACGACGCCCTCGACGAGTCGCTCCACGCGCTGTTTTGTCGCTTGTGATGATGATGTGAGGCCGGGGTCTCGGCGTCCCGCAGCTTCTTGTGGCTGCGCCGGTGCAGCAGCTTTTGGCTTGCTGAGCAGAACATTGTGTGACGTATGGCGGTGTTTGACGAGAAGGGTGCAGCAGCCCGTTTCGTCGGTTGGAAGATGGCGAAAGAGGTAGGAAATAAGGTAGAGAGCGTTGGGGGAAGGAGAGTAAATGAGTTAAAAGTCCGGAACTTGCGGGCTTCACTCGATTGTTTCCGGCTATATGGTTCAGATCACAAGGACACACCTAGCAGGGGGGGGGGGAGGGGATGGAGATGGGGTGGGAATGAGTTCATGATTTATAAGGTCGGATTGCACTCTCACAGACAAGGCCCTCGCCGCCGGAGAACCCGTATTGGGGGAACGAAACCTTGGAAGGCTGACCTCAGGTCATAATGTCACAAGTAGGCTTGGGGACTGGGGGGGATTTCCCGGTTGGGAGGGTCGCCAGAGTGCGGTAGTGTCAAAGTCACTTTTAGTGTCACGAAGTGGTGCCTTGCAGCTCCATCCGCATGGGCGCATGGGCGCATGCACGGCAAAGCTCGCCGAGCTAAAGATGTAAGCCAAGGTGCCGAAGGGCCCGTACCTTACCGCATGCGAGATGCACACCCACGCATCTGATGCGTGAACTCTGTGTGTGTTGTGCTGAGTGATGTGCAAGGGTATGATGCCTTTTGGGATGCCACACATCGTACGTAGGTACCGCACTCGATAAATCTCAGGAACTTTGGTCATTCGATGCCTCACTGCCGAGGCCGATCCGGAACGGGCTTCTAGCACTCTACCTTGGATGGAAGGGAGGATTTTGGGGCCCTTCGTGTGCGAACCCTAGTGGTTGATTGGGTACGTCATGGTGAGTGCCGGGTAGTCTCTCATTCCTCGTAGCGACTCCGTAACCACCTGGGGAGGGGGGCGCTCTTCGCACGCGGGAGTGGCGCACGCATTCAGTCATCGGGTGGGCTCGATGTTTCAGCAGGTACATACAAGTTCAAGTAGGCCCAGGCAGATCACTTGTCTGCAGGTGGACAGAGGCCATGCGAAACATCAAGCATTCAAGCACAAGCGAGAGGCCGGTGTGTGGCCCGGACTCTTGGGCAAGAATTTGCGGATGATGCACATGTTCATCCCTGGCGACCTGTGGAGTGGGGATGGTGTGGGTGGGATTACAAGTACAAGTAGTTACTTGATTCATCAGCTGTACGAGGGCCCTTTTCACCTGTACATGTGGGTTTTTTGGCTTGCACGAACGCAAGCTCGTAACTTATTAGCTGCCAAAGTGCTTAAGGTTGGGTGGGCAGGGTGGGGAATGACACCAGGCTTGGAAAGTATCGTATCTTCTTCCAGACCGTCGTATCTTTCTTTAGGACAGCGCCGGTCCCAAGCCTCGGCGTCGCCCCAAGGACCTCAACGTTCGTAATAGCTAAAGTGCTTGCATCGCGGGAGGGCGCATCAAAGTGTGCCGGGCCACGCGCCGGCATGAAGCAAAAATGGGATCGATCGGGGCTGCTTGGTTGGTTTTAGTGAGTGCCCCCGAGCAAAAAAACTTGGTAGTTGGCGTCGCAAGGGATGAGGAGCCAGATAGGGAAGAGCAGAAAGCCACAACACCACATCATCACACCCATTCGAGTTGGTGATAGTCCTGTCCCCCCTCGGGTAGTCAGGGCCCTAGAGCTTGTGATTGGGCGGTGTCGAGCACGGCTAAGCCTGCGACCTGCCCGCACTTGGCCTGAAGGAGGGTGGCTCGGGTGGTTGATCCCACGCTGATCATCCTATCCATTGATCTGTTCGCACCCATCGCCTGCGTTAGGTATCCTCAGCCTTTCTCTGACCTTGCTGCCGCGTCCCGGAGGGATGCAGGTACCAAAAAGTTGGTGTTGCCCACCATCCATCCCATCGTCGATCACCTACTTGAAGCTTCATCGCCATCGAAGATATCCAGCTGCATCGCAGATAGACCGGCCAAAAAGGCCAGTTTCCCGTCTTGGTTTCATCTTGCTCAACAGATTCCGACGGCCTCTCGCATTCTCGGTCAAGCTGCACACCATCTTCTTGTGATCAGGATATTTCAAAGCTTATCGAATCAAGGGGCAGCACAGAAGGACAGACGAGGCAGTCCGTAGAGGCGCCGAGTTTGACGGCGGGCGGCAGACGCGCATATGCATGCACGTATTCATCCAGCATTGCATTGCATTGCGAGTCTAGACCATGTAGCTGGCTAGAAGCCATCACCAGAACCACGCCCAGCCTCAACCATGGACAAGCTAACTGGAAGTGTACCGAGTTGGTCTTGGTGAAAGTCGGTGAATGCGCACTAGTTAGACGGCGTTCCCCGGTCCTCTTTGCCCGAACTTGCGTCGCTAGTCCAGGAACCAGAGCTGCAAGATCTTAACGGAATTGGGTTAACAGCCGTGATACCCCTCACCGACAGGCTTGGTATTGCCCTCGCCCGCAGAGCCGGAGGACATCACATGGTCACACTTCCTAGGGAACCTGGGAACCAACTCGGAACCTCATGACATCCACTAAAATTAGATTTGCGGGGTGATCTCAGCTCATCGACCAGGGTGTTGGGAGAAGACGCTCCGCTCTCTCAGCTCGGTAGGTTTCGCAATCTCGGGACTCAGCCAAGCAGGCCCAGCGCGAACTCGACAAACAGGATAAGAAACCAAAAATACAACATTATGGCTTTCGCGAGGCATCAGCCGTGCATAATTCTACAGAGAGCTGGCATTTCCTGCACTGTCTGGTTCGAAGATGCCTTGGCACACTACGGAGTTCCCACTGATGTCTTCTCCTTATATGTCCTCGTCGCCGACATAGACCAAGCGAGGCAGGCCTTGGTTCATAATGGCTGGACAGACGCATTGGAGCCACCCGAGACCCTGACTCATTTTCTCCTCTGCCATCCTGAAGTTCAACGCCGACGGCTGAACCCCCCAGCTTCCGATGCAGCAGCACCGCATTGGATGGTGAGCACCGTCCTCCTCCCGGCCGACGACTGGTACTTTCCCGCCCAAGAGCTTGCGTGGTCCGCCTCGCAGAATCACTTCTACCCCTCGCTGCCACCGTTGACCAACAGCCTGATCTCTAAGCTCCTTGATGCGCCCCATGCCAGTCGGCTGCAGAGTACTATGGCGTTGTATCTGGTGTACCTCTATGGCCACGTCAAGCCCCTGAAGGATCGGGAATTCACAAAAAATATCATGTATGAGAATCGCCGGTTTCATAGCGATGCCGTCGCTGGCCTCTCTGTTGGGACATTGCCAGTGATAGAGGAGGAGCGCCGGTTCCGGGATCAGCTGCGGAGCGAGAAGCACTAAGCTGATTACCGCTCCTGGTGGCCACTGTAGGTGCTTTACAAGTGACAAGCAACTTGCCAAGTAGACAGGTACCAAATGTGCCCTGAACCGCAAGCTGTTCCTTGGAAAAAGAAATGTGGTCGCGATGACAGGTCTCACCGGCGATCCAAATCAATTCTTCAGCATTATCAGAGGACGTGGCACGCACCATTGGACGATAACGGGTAAACACAGCTCAGCCATCGAGGTCATAATCATCTCCTTGCAGGGATGATCACTAAAACTTGTGTGCCCAAATCTTGTCGCTCCTGTCGCTCCTGTCGCTCCCATGTTTGAGAATGTTTCGGGGTCCAATTAAACTGCGTGTCTATCCCCAGAAGGCGGTGCGAGATGACGTGAGGCTAGCCGATCGGTGATGCAATAAAATGCCATTCACCACCACATCAGAGGGCAACGCAAAGTGCATATCAAAAGCCCCCCCCCCCTTGTAATTGACATAGGCACCTGCCGCCTGTGTATTGGTGGTATCATATTCAAGGTTGTACTAGTACAAGGTATCCAATAACATGGAAATCCTGCTCGCCCAATTCTGTGCGTGCGTTTCGCCTGCTTCGGTCTGACCTGCTTCAAGGGCAACACTGCGTGGCATCTCTGCCCGCAGAGCAAGCCTATCTATGTCGTCAGGAACATGTTTCGGGATGTGCGCCACAGCATCAAGTCCTTGGAGATCTCAATTTCTTCTGCCTGCGATGACCGACCGACTGGCCTCCAGCCCAGCTCCAGGAGCAATGCCTTGCGTCGCGACTCGCCGCAACTCTTATGCTGCACTGATTTCGTTTCGTAAGGAGTAGGGATTGTTGATTCGTCTCAAGACGTCTGTTCGGGCGCGACGTCCAGGACCCTTGACGTATTGCGGAACTTGATTGAGCCGTGCGTTTATAGCACACCATCGCTTTCGCCAGCGAGCCGCTTCACCCGCTTCTGCTCCCAGTCGTCGAGGTCTTTCGCCGCAAGTTTCTGTGCATGCAGTTAGCCCCAGCAATAGTTGAATGCATGAGCTCGCCCATAGGTGGAGCTTACGTAGTACTCCTCCCGCATATCGACTCGGCGTCCCGACTTGCCGACGCCCAGTTCTTCGTCGCGGGTCATCTGGCGGACCTTCCTATCGTGCTTCTCGTATCGAATGGCCGTCGCAGGCGTCAGGACAAAAGACCCTGCGATGATGACGGACATGAAGGGAAGACCAAAGAGCAGGAAAGGATGCTTTGCCATTGCCGCGCGGTACCGAGCCGCAAAGGTGTTGGCATCGGCCGCTGAACGGAACTTTTTGTTCTGAAAGACTGCCATGATTGCGACAATGCTTATACTAGAGCGTGTGCGTAGGAAGGTTGTTCTAAGGCGCAATTGGCTCCTTCAGCAACTGAGGTCCTTGCTTTTAGACCGAGAAACCCTCACACCTTGAAGAGCTCGAGTGTCAAAGGATGAAGAATTTCGGAAATCGTCTGATATGCGATAACGTTTATCTTTATCTGGATGGGGTGACATCAAACTCCCAGGGTCAAGCTGTCTCACTGGTTCCCGCTAGTGTCCCGGATCTGGGTCCTAACCATCTATTGGCGGAAGCTAGGATCGTAATGGAATCATGTGACTACGCGCTTCCCTGCGCGTCCTTGATTACCCTCCAAAAAAGCCCATGCTGAGGGACAACACGACCTTGGCCCCGGACGACATAGGTGCACACTCGCTGATCTTGGCAACAGACATGCTCCGGGAACAATGGCTCCAGAATCCCACGGTCGAGCGGGCCTGCCCGTCAATGGCCTCTTCTCAGATAACGACGACACGAGCATGCCGCCACCGTCCACTCTGGCTGCCCAGCTGGTTGGCAATTTCTCCAACTCAACCAGGACCGCTGCGCGTTCAGATGAAACGCAAGAACTAAAGCGGTTGTTTGCTATCATCGAGGAAGTGAAGGACAGCCCCGAGCTGCTCAAGACATCTGCTGAGCGGATCGAGCATAACCATATGCTGATCTACGTCTACACCCGAGTTGCATTGGATGGCCTGAAGTGGGACAATCCATTTGCCAGCCAGGCCACCGCGACGGCCGAAGCCCTCAAGGCGATCAGTTTTCTCAGGGTCACTATCAAAGAGACGCCGTCAGTGCTCAACTTTTGCTCAGAGCCGGGTGCTCTGTTACTCCGTGGCCGTGAACCGCTCTGGGTTTGGATGCTTCCGCGGATTCTGCGCATGCTCGGTCAAGTCCAGTGCCTAGACCTGACCTCTGCCATCACGAGCTTTTGCGTCTTCCTTTTCCAGATATCTGATCACTCGGGTGCTCTGTGGGGCACTGTACCCCAGCTCATTCGCTATTATCAAACATGCTTTACAGGTCAGTTCTGTTCCTGACCTCCCCATGGCCCTATGCTTACACACAGCATCAGCTATTCTCAATCGAATTCAGGAACTCTCTCCCAATGGGAGGGACAGCTCACTCAGCTTATCGCTTCCACCAAGCTCGTTCCTCGCTGCTACCCTTGATATCTCCGAGCCCAGGCCACATGCTTGCGTCTATCGGCTACGGAGCCTTTCACACGCCTTACGCCATGCTGATAGCATTCTCTGTATCTTGGCAGATTCTATGCAGACAAAGGGTTTGGACGGCAGCGGAACTACAACGGCGAAGCTGCACATACCATGGGTCTTAGATGCCTTGTTCACATTCCACCATGTCAAAAAATCATACCGTGCATGGGTTCCCGACCTTGCTGTTTCAGCCCTCCAAAGTATTTTCAAGTTGGTCTCGAACCACAAGGTGATTTCTCGACTGGACACAGCCTTGACTCAAAAGGGTTACACAATCCTCGCGATACTCTGCAGAGAAGTCCTCGAAGATCGGATCCTGAGCTCGGACGACGAGCCTGGTCAGTCGCATCGCCGTACAGTCTGTTTTTGCTTGCTTAGCCTTGCACAGTGTACAGGCAATCACAAACCGACCTCTAGGTTCGTCGAGAACTCGCTTTTAGGCATCCTTGACGAGTTGGCCAGGCAGCATGCTGGGCTCGAGCCGTGGAGCGATTTTCAGGTATGGACATAGTACAAGTTTAGAAGGAATTCCTTGAATGCGACGATGCTGACATTAGATTAGAAATGCGTGCGTATCTTACGTCTTGCAACGACAGGCCAGACCTCATCACAGGGTCCAGATATCAACTTGAAAGATTTCAAAGATGTCGAGCTTCTGCAGTATGCTGGCTCCTTGCATCTTGACCTTTCTTCTCAAGAGGCTGCCCCAAGGGCTTCGCAACCCCCATCAAAGCGCCAGAAAGTCTCTGGAGAAGCCGATGTGCTATCCTGTGTCATTTCACGAACTTACGCCGTCCTTCACACATCCCCGTCCAATAGCACTGCTGATTTGGAGGGACTGATCTTGTAAGTTATTTCCCGCTTCAATTCGGTTGTTCGAGGCTAACAGTGTCCAGGAACGGATTCCCAAACATGACTGATCGCGACAGATGCGAAGTCATTGATCTCCTTTCACGCATCTCATGTGCCGCCGATGGCACCTTGACACAAAGGTTGTCCCACTCGAGCAAGTCAAGTGTCTTCTATTGCGCACACTGCGTGCAGGAAGACTCTCTGGCTTCCACATCTCCGAAGTGTGTCGATATTGCAGCAAAGTCCATTGCAACCGCTATATTCACGAGGCTGATCCAACTGCCCTCTTTTCTTGAATCAAGACGTCCCCGCCTCGTTGCAATGCTGGCCTTGCGCCGGTTTGTGTCCCACTCTAAAGACCTCGAGTTTCTGGATATTGAAACCTCCGGGCCCGGTCGGTGGTGCCTCCAATCCCTGAGCAGTTCCATTCGTGAGCTGCGCATCGCCGCCGGGCGAGCCCTGCCGTCATTTCTCACCTTTGCCCCGTCTAGATCAATCGACGACGATCTAGTACGACGCAACAGGGCCAACATCCTGAGTTTGCTCAAGTCTATCTCCGACAAGAACTCGCCGTATCTGAATGAATCATGCATAATGGCATGGGTGCAGGTTGGCAAAGCCGTCCCAGACGAGGAGCTCAACCTCGTGTTGATTCAGCTTTTGGAGTTCCTTGGACACCGGAACCAAATCGTCTCGGCCTGTGCATTCAACGAGATTCTCAGTTTGGCTTCCTTCCGGAAACTCACCCCGCGCAAGCTGTTCGAGCCATTCTGGAAGAGTCTAGCCTTCTTGGCATTGAAGGACATGGTTGCTCGACCTCAAACCACCCGGCTTCTGGCGGAATTGCTTCAGATGAGTGTACAGGATCTCGTTGTACACCTGCAAACCCATGCATTACCGTGGCTGGTCCTCACCAGGAAGAAGGAGGTTGTGCAAAAAATCGCTGATTTTCGAGGTGAAAAGGAAGCTTGGATGCCATGTGTGGACACCGTCAACCTAGGTTCTATTCTCGCTCTTTTGCTGGCTCAAGAGGAGCATCAAACAGAGCATTTTGTGATGACGCTGCTCAGGCACATCTCAACACATTTCAACGACTCCTCTCTACGGGAGCTCGTGGGATCAGAGCCTGTGATGACGGTACTAGAACTTCTCAAAGCGGCTGCCGAGGCTGACGACAGTCGGAGATCTCGGGTGCGAAACGCGCTGAGCATAGTGGCCGACCTCCTACTTACAGAGCCAAATGAAAGCAGAAGGAAGAAAAAGGATGTTGCTCGACTTCTCCAGCAATACGCTCTTGGCATCACCACCTTGTTGTCAGAAGTCATCAATGATGACAGGGCCAAACACCCCCCTGTTCAGGAGCAGAGGAACTGCATTCGCGCACTGGAGGAGATGATCAGATTGTCTCGATCACATATCCGGGCTGCCAGACCACAAATTTCCGCATTCCTACTGAACGCCCTTTCCTATGATCAACTGAGATCAGCTGCTTTCTCGTGTTGGGCTACGTTGCTCAACTTTCTGGACGAGGAAGATGTGGAGACGCTCGTCGAGACATCTTTTTTCATTGTCGGCAACTACTGGAACTCATTTGACGAGTTGACGCGCGAGCAATGCCGCAAGCTTCTGGGTTCTTTGCTGGACAGACACTCAAAGGTGTTAGCTGCAAAAATCAACGAGTTGCCATCCTTCGGTCGAATTCCGGGATTGGCTGATATCGAGAAGAAGCTCAGCTCGTTTCGGCAACCGTTGGATAACAGAGACCGTTTCTCCACTTTCATAAAGAGAGCTCAGCACGAGAATTCAGGTGTTGTTCTGCAGGCCCTGAATGAGCTGGCGGATTATCTAAGGGAGAACCAGGAGTACTTGCAGATGTCTGCAATGAGTGAGCAGCCTGATCCGGTCGTCACTCAGCTGATGCGGGTTCTCCTGGACTGCTCGGCGAAGTATAACGGGATCCAACCCGACATCACACGCCTATGCGTGGAATGTATCGGACTTGTCGGATGCTTGGACTCCAACCGGCTTGAAACAGTTCGCAAGCAACGAGAATTTGTGGTGTTGCACAACTTTGGCGATGCCGAGGAGACAACGGACTTCGTCCTCTTCATCCTGGAAGAAGTTCTGGTGAAGGCATTTCTTTCAGCAACAGATACAAACCTTCAGGGATTCTTATCCTATGCTATGCAAGAACTACTCGACAGATGCGACTTCAGGGCTTCTGTTGCTCTTCAGCATGGTGAAGGAGACCACATATACAGGAAGTACATGTCACTTCCGGAACATGTCCGTGAGGTGCTCACGCCATTCATGACTTCCCGCTACCGAGCTCAAGCAGCCACAGCCCCAAATGCAGAATATCCTATATTCCGTCCGGGACGCCAATACGGCAACTGGCTCAGATCTTTTGTCCTGGATCTCCTCCACAAGGGACAGAACTTCTTTGCAAATGTCATCTTCCCGCCATTGTATCGCGTCATCAGGGTCAAGGACTTGCGTGTTGCCGAGTTCCTGCTGCCCTACCTGGTCGTTCACGTCATTACTGGTGATGAGAGCTCTGAAGTTCAGAGGAAGGAGGTTCTAGGTGAACTCCTTGGCATATTGAAATACCAACCAGGGGGCGACGCCTCATACGCGGAACGCGAGCATATGAGGATGTTCTGTGAAGCTGTGTTTCGGGTGCTTGATTACGCCATGCGGTGGCTGCAACTAAAGTCGTCGAAGACAGGTTTGACCAAGGGCGATACTCTGCAAATAGCACGGATCAAAGAGGTTCTGGACGCCATTCCTGCCGATCTAATATCCAGAAGAGCCGTCGATTGCAAGCAGTATGCGCGGGCCCTCTTCCACCTGGAGCCGTTCATCTCGACAGTATCACAGAGAGAGGTCACGCCTGAAGACGCCCACCGCCTGCTGGGCGAGATTCAGTACATCTACACTCAGATTGACGAGCCGGATGGACTCGATGGGATAACGGCGCATCTGACCCTGTTTGACCTCAATCAACAGGTGCTTAGCCATCGAAAAGCTGGCCGCTGGACGGCAGCGCAGACCTGGTATGAGGTTCAACTCGCCACGGAGCCACGGAATATCAATGTTCAGCTTGACCTCCTTACTTGTTTGAAGGAATCAGGCCAGTACGACGTTCTTCTTAATCATGTTGAGGGTATGGAAACCACTACCGCGACTGTCAACAGGATCGTGCCATTCGCTGTGGAGGCGGCCTGGGCTACAGGTCGCTGGGATGCCCTGCAGAAGTGGCTGTGGCAATACAACGCCGGTGACAGCGCCGACATCTTCAACTTGGGTATTGCCCAGGCATTGTTGAACCTCAAGAGCGGGAAAGTCGGCGACTTTTCAGACTATCTTGTTTTGATCAGGGACAAGGTTGCCGGCTCGCTCTCGTACTCGGGTACATCGTCTTTGCAGGCGTCGCACGATGCGATGTTGAAAGCGCACATCCTTACTGATCTTGAGATCCTTGTTCAAAGCCAAGTTTCGAGTAGCCCAACTGCCCGAGAGGCAACCCTCGCCACGCTCGATCGGCGACTGGAAGTGTTGGGTGCTTACGTGAATGACAAGCAATACGTACTTGGTATTCGCCGAGCGGCGATGGAGCTCATGAGGCCAGCGTTTATGGATGAAGACCTCTCCTCACTCTGGTTGACAACAGCACGCTTGGCCCGGAAAGCGGGACTGATGCACCAATCCTTCAATGCTATGCTTCATGCATATAAACTCGGTGACGAATCCGCCAGTGTTGACAATGCACGGTTGCTCTGGAAAGATGGCCACCACCGCAAGGCGATACAGACTCTACAAAGCACAATGAGCCGAGATTTCCGCTTGATACTTACAGACAGCTCAGGAGAGGTCACTCGTCGCTCAGGAGAGGTCACTCGTAAAGAGATTGACCCGATTGGGCGAAAGTTCCTCCTAGCCAGAACACATCTCCTTCTTGCCAAGTGGTTGGACCACACCGGACAAGCAAACGCAAGCACCCTGCGGCAACAGTATCAGCAAGCAGCGAAGCTCAATAGTCAATGGGAGAAGGGACACTACTATCTTGGTCGCCATTACAAGAAAGTTCTCGAGTCAGAGAAGGCCTTGAAACCGGACCAGCAGAGCGACGAATACCTCAGCGGAGAGACTGCGAAGCTGGTTATCGAGAACTACCTACGGTCGCTTACTTGTGGCACGAAATACCTGTATCAGACACTCCCCCGCATCCTCACGCTCTGGTTGGAGCTAGGCTCACAAGTCGACAAGGCACCCGACGGTAAGGTGTCCCTGTCTCGAGAACTTCATCAACGCAGAAAGGCACAACTGTCGGAGCTCCACAAGAACATATACAAGGCCGTGACAAGGATACCTGCCTATATCTTTTACACTACCCTTCCACAGTTGGTAGCTCGCATTGCGCACCCCAATATTGACGTGTTCAAATTGCTGGAACACATCATCATCAAGGTCGTCAATCACCATCCCAGACAGTCCCTCTGGAGTCTCTTTGGCGTCATGACAACGAAACAACCCTCGGAACGCCGAACACGCGGCCTGCAGATCCTGCACACGCTGAGAAACACGAACAAGAAGGCCGAAGCCGGGCAATCAGATATCAGAGTCTTTCTCAGGATGGGCGAAAAGCTTGCAGAGCAGCTCCTGCTCGCTTGCAACAATGGCGACTTCCAGAGCAATCGGACGACGGTTGCAAGCATCACCCGGGATTTGAATTTCAATCACAAGTGCACTCCATGCCCGCTAGTGGTGCCTGTTGAGTGTTGCCTGACTGCGACTCTACCCACGCTCACAGACAATGTGCAGAAACACAAAGCGTTCTCGGGCGACTTGATTACCATTGATTCCTTCCTCGACGAAGTACTCGTTCTGGGCTCCCTGGCGAAGCCGAGAAAACTGACGGCCCGGGGGTCCGACGGGAAGCTCTACGCTCTCATGATCAAACCAAAGGATGACCTTCGAACTGATCAGCGGCTCATGGAGTTTAATGGGATTATCAACAGATCATTGAAGAAGGACGCAGAGTCGAGTAGGCGTCAACTCTACATCAAGACATACTCGGTCACGCCACTGAACGAGGAATGCGGAATCGTCGAGTGGGTGGAGGGGATCAAGACGCTGCGTGACATCCTTCTTGGACTCTACAAGACCAGGAATATCGCGCCCAATTACGGCCATCTTGCCCAGCTGATGAAGGAAGCCATCATATCCGAGAACAATATCAGGCTCTTCACAGAGTCTGTACTCGGCATGTTTCCTGCCGTCCTCCCCTCCTGGTTTATTTCACAGTTTCCCCATCCGTCGGCGTGGTTCGCGGCACGGCTCAAGTACACCAGATCCTGCGCGGTGATGTCTATGGTCGGCACCATCCTGGGCCTTGGTGATCGTCACGGCGAGAACGTCCTGCTGGAAGAAGGAAACGGCGGGATCTTCCATGTCGACTTCAACTGCCTCTTCGACAAGGGCCTCACTTTTGCGCAGCCAGAGCGTGTGCCCTTCCGGTTAACCCACAACATGGTGCAAGCGATGGGGCTGTACGGTTACGAGGGCCCGTTCCGGCGGTGCTCGGAGCTGACGTTGACCATTCTACGCCAGCAGGAGGAGACGTTGATGACCATTCTCGAAGCGTTCATTTACGATCCGACCCTGGATCTGCAGAAGGACAAGAAGCGGAAGCACGAGTTAGTCAAGCTGAACCCTCAGAGCGTGGTCGAGAGCATCAAGCGTAAAGTTAGGGGGTTGATGGGAGACGAGAGTATCCCGCTAGGTGTGGAAGGCCAGGTCGAGGAGCTGATCAAGCAGGCTGTGAACCCCAGAAACCTGGCGGCCATGTATATCGGATGGTGTCCGTTCTTGTAATCTGCTTTCCAGCCTCTCCGTGTTTTGAAAGACGACCAGATACAGTATCAATTGTGCAAACTGATTTGGTACCCATTTATTGTGTGCCGCTTGACAGGGGCGTGCTGGCAAGACAGGCCACGGTTGAGTCGAGGAGCCCTGGAAAATACAAGGCACATAATTTCAATGGATTCTCTTTTGCAGCACTCACTCGTATTCGACATTTTGACCTGCATGTTTGTTGTGAAGCGGCTCGGCCTGTAAGTGCGCCAATGCATCAAATGGTTGGTGGCCTTTCTCTAGCCACGGGAGGGAGCAGCTTGGGCAGGGGATGCAGCGGACTACGGCAGGGCCCCTGCCTAAACAATCACCTTAGGCAACAATGGCGCGCCGAGCAAACCTCGAAGCCCATCACACAACATTTGGGCATTCTTCAATAAAACGAAAGCCCAGCCAGAAATCATTCAAGCTCTGGTTTTCACACACAACACTCTCTCCCTTGATCCCTTACAGCCCGACGGCTCTTCTCAATCGGCATCATGTCATACCGTATTGGTGAGTGCACATATGTTCATATTTTCCAGCGCGAGACAGCTCAGATGGCTGCCCTCCGCAGCTCAGGCCCGTGTCGTTCGCGTGCCGGACAGCGGGCGCGTCATGATCTGATGCGCGGCGAAGCTTCGAAGCTGGCCACCCGCATGCATTTTCCAATGTCGATATTGGACAATCATGGCATTCGACAGTGTTTTACTAACATTGGGCTGAACACACAGAGATATCCCCCAACAACCGTGCCGGTTGCCAAGATGGCGTCTGTAAAAAGCAGGCCGCCAAGTGTCTCAAAGGCGAGCTGCGCTTCGGCACCTGGTTCATGCCACCTAACATTGACCATGGAAGCTGGAGATGGAAGCACTGGTAGGTCCAATTACTCCCCCAACTGTCACCTCGTTCTTTTTCCTCGTCGTGCAATGTGGCCTTCTTTGGCCGTGCAATATCGCCGTCTCATGGGGCAAGACTGACCACCGCTGTAGGGGTTGCGTGTCGGGCGCTCAGATTCAAGGCCTGCAGGACCTTGCCAGGAAGGGCGATGACTATCAATGGGATATGATCGATGGCTACGATGAGATGGAGTAAGTCTTTCCTTCAGGCTCGCCGTTCTAGGTGGCGTCCCGGAGATGTGCCCTTTACGATCGGATCTGACCCTCTGCAGTGATCACCCGGAAATCCAAGAGAAGATTCGTCGTGTCGTTGAACAGGGCCACATCGACGACGAGGACTTCAATGGCGTAGGTCTCCTTGGCCAGCTTGTCGTCTCTGTTTGAAAGTTAACTGACATGATCACTCAGGACCCCGAGTACAATGTGCTGGGAAAACGCGGAATCCGTGGGCCGAAGTCCAAGGCTGCTGCTGCTGCTGCTTTAGAGGCCGATGGCGAGGTATGTTTCATTCCACATGCTCATTGATCGCTCTCATGTCTGATGATAAGCAGGAGGAAGAAGACGCCGCGCCCACCCCGGCCAAGAAGTCCGCCAAGCGTGGACGCAAGAAGGCTGAAGATGATGAGGACGAGGAGCCTGAACCGCCCAAGAAGAAGGCTAAAGCAGCCAAGGGCGCCTCATCCAAAAAGGCCAAAGCAGCTGACAGCGACGGCGAAGCTGCTCCGCCTGTCAAGAAGGCACCTGCGAAGAAGCGGGGTCGTCCGAGCAAGGGTGTCAAGAAGGAAGAGGACGAGGACGAAGAGGCCCCAGTGGCCCCCAAGGCCAAGAAAGCTGCTTCAGCCAGGAAGGTCAAGAAGGAGGCTGATGAAGAAGAGGACGTCGATGTGGCGCCCAAGTCTAAGAAGGCTGCTCCGACTAGGAGGACCAGTGGCCGCCAGAGCAAAGGTGCTGTCAAGGATGAGGAGGATGCCGAGGAGACCGCTGCTCCTCCGAAGCCCCGGGCCAAGAGGGGTAAGAAGGCCGTCCCCGAGCCTGAGCCCGAGCCCGAGTCGGAGGAAGAAGCACCCGAGCCCAAGAAGAAGACGACGAAGAAGGCCAAGGCTGCGCCCGCTCCTGCGCCGGCGAAAAGGCGCGGCCGCAAGAGGTGAGTTCCGCTATCTTTTAGGCTTCCGTACTAGGTCCGTCCGCTGACCGTAGGCTTGTTCATGGGCAGCGCTGCCTAGGCTACTCCGAACTCGGATCTCGATTCAACTTGCTATATTCACCAGGTCTCTTGATCTGGTCGCATACCTCTTTTTTGTTTCCTTTTTGGCAACTCTGCCGCCTCTTCGGCTATCTCCTTTGTATCTTTACAGGCCTTATGAGCCTCGGTAATCGGTTCTTTCGTGTGACCAGAGGTGAGGCTTTCAACAGGGCGAGAGAGATTGAGGGCACTGTAATAAAAGGTGGTCCATGGAGTTAACAAAGATTGATGTATTGGCTGCTGGCAGATGCTTGTAGCTCTTTTTTCACTCGGCCCATTATCAGATAGCTAGCTAGTCCCTTTTCCTGGCTCTTAAGGCTGCATCCGTCTTCCAGGCCGAGCTGTCGTAGCAAACGAATGTCTATCTGACGGCTCTCGGGTGGTCGGTCATGAGCGACTGTGCAGTCATTGTGTTCATTCAAACGATGGGTGCAGTCAGTCATCCTCAGCGCGAGGTTTCCTTTCTATGGTCATGAGTCGTCAATTTGCCGTAACATCCAGTCTACCCTGGGTCTTCGTGACATTAATGGGGAAAAAAGAAATCCTGATATCGCCTCCGCTATGAGAATGAGAAAAAGAAGATACCCGTCATAAAATCATTACACAAGAGGAGAGAACGGTCCGAGATCGTGAAGCCACCCATTCCGCTCAAAAAGTTAAGAAACCCTCCGGTCCGCCTCCTCCCAACGGGGTCCCGTATGGGATGGGGACTTGCATCATCAACGATCATTACAGTGAACCCCCCATTCGCAACGCCACATTTCCCACACACGATCTTGTAGCCGTCAATCATGGGATACTTGCATGCATATCATGTCTAGCAGCAACACAACACGCAAAGAAGACAGATGGGTAGTCTAGCGCAGGTATCGGGGTTCGCGCCGGTCATAAATCACCTCTCGCTCCACGACGCGCTCGTCGTTGAACCGGCCATGATGGTGGTGCCGGTGGCGCCGCTCCCACCCGTCGCGGTAGTCTCTCTCCCACTGGATCTCCCGGATGCGGTCCTTGCGAATGCGGCGGATCCGGTCGGATCGCTCCACGAGCTCCAGGACATCCTCCTGTGTGGACGAACAAACGTTGTTAGCACGAACGGTCTCGATACTCGCGTACTACTGCTTCCAAATGAAAGGCAGGCCAGCTTACATATCGAAGATACTGCATCACATAAAAGAACCACTCCGTCTCCTCGTACTCGTAGCCCATCTCCTCGATGGCTTCGCGGACCACGAGATCCTTGGTGATCTCGGTCCACATGTCGCTGCGCTTGTTGGGGACGACCGGCACCAATTGCCTGTCGGCAATGACGTCGATCTCGCGGTCGCGGTCGCGGTCCTTGTCGTAGATCTGCACGCTGAGGCGGTCGGTGCCCCTCTCGCGCGTTCGCACAACGTCGCGCTCGGAGAGCGACGTGGACGACGTCGTCGGCCCCACATCGGATCCGTCCCGCTCGGGGACGAATTTGGCTCGTCTGACGCCGTTGTACCGCGACCAGGTTACGTCTGCACCACCCCCACCGACGCCATCCATACGGACGCGCTCGGTACCTGGCGGAACATCCACAATGGTCCAGTCCTTGGTGTGACCGTGCCAGGCCTCACCCATCCGACCCCGTTCGTTGATGCGGCTCGTTATGTACTCGGCTTCGTCATCATAGTCGAGCACGGGCGGCGCCGCACTGTGCGCACGGCGGTGGCGGCTCCGACTCGAACTGTGGCCGTGACGGTGCTCGATGTCAACTTCGAGCCTGTTGCGGTCGGAAACCACCATGACGTCGTCCTCGTGGTAATGGTCGCTACGCCGAGCGGGCGCCGGTCTCTCGCGAGAGATGGAGCGGCCACGAGTTGGAACCCGTATCAATTGGCCTCCCCCTCTACGTTCCCTAGAGCTCTCGTGGATGTCGACCTCGGTGCGATGCCTCGAAGTAGTGATATCGATCTCTGTGTCACGTTCCTGGACACGTGGCCGAGGAGGGGGAGGCGGCGACGGTGGGCGTGCCACAATCATACCTTTGACGTGTTAGCGGGGAGTGATCGCCTGGGGTTGCTGTGTGTTGAGATGGCTTACCGTGGTCAATGTCCCGATAGTGCGTAATGACTTCACGTTCAATAGTTGGGCCGCGGATCACGGGAGGCTCTAGAGGGGGCGAAGGGCTAGGGGACGGTAGCCGCTCCCGCTCCCGCTCCCGTTCGATGATGCGGATCTCCCGCTCTCTGTCGACCGGGGTGGGTGACCTCTCGCGCTCCACAAAACGAGTGCGAACCCTCTCCACTGGCCGCTCCGGAGGGCTCGGCGAACGGTCGACGAATCGAGCGCGCAGTCGATCCATGGAGGGACCTCTGGAAGGCGAGCGGACCCTCGACTGGTTCCGCTCGATGACTCTGTCCCGGACTTCGATCCGTTCTCGCTCCATGGGAGGAGGTGGTGGGGGAGTCAGGCTCCTTGCACGTTGGACAATACGCTCACGGTATCGAACGGGGCTGGGTGAGCGAGGCCGGCGGCGGTCCACGGTTTCCACCTCACGCTGGCGCAGCACGAGCGGTCCAGCAGGCGCATCACGGGCTCGTTCATCTCTCATGAACGAGGGAACGCGTGAGTCCGAGTCACGCTCCCGCTCGCGGACACGAATGTCAGTCTCCTCATATTCGCGAACTGGCGCAGCCCGCCTCGGCGGGCTCCTGCGCTCTTGCCGCTCATAGAAACGGTCTCGCTCTTCGTAGACGGAGTCTCTACTCCCACGGAACGCCATGTCGCGTGGAGTAATGTATCGACGAGTTGGTCAAGTCTGCACTTGCCGATCCTTTGGGCCACGCAAGACAACTTGGAGACTCTGAGTTTGAGTTGGCGGGGTTGATGTGCGCTCTGCTGACTGACGTGGGGTATGGAAAGACCTAGACGAGCCCCAGGGGTGTGTTTGCTGGCTGGTTGTACAGTCTCTCGTGTCGGAAGGCAGGCGGCGGGGTTGCTGTCGTCAGCTTGGACACGTTCTCTACTCACGCAGTGTTTGAAAGCCAAAGACAGAAAAAAAAACGCAAGGCAATATGCAGAGCGCAAACACTGCTGGATGAGATGAGAGAGGAACGAGCAAAGGCAACAGAGCGACAAGAAGAAGGGCTAGGTTCTGCCCGAGTCACCAACACAACACGAGAGAGCGGGCGCTAGGCAAGCTCTTTAGAGACGGTGCATGTGGTAGCCGCCGCCGTCTCGAGTTAACGTTAGCTCTGGGATGAAACCAACGTCGTCATCCTACAGGTTGGCTCAGCGGCCTGTTTTCAGCGGACCAGGGGGGTGGTGGAGTGAGGGACTCTCATCTCGAAGGGCAGGCGGGCAGACCCATGCGGCCATGTTGGTGGTCTGCCCTGCCTATCCACCCTGCCCACCCTCCCCGTATTTAGATGCCGAAGGTGGGAGGGAAGGGAGAAAAAAGAGGCTGGGCTTAGGCCGGGCTGAGCGACGGCTACCTTGGCACCTAAGTTCAGGGTAGCTCTGGAGCTGGTCTTCGATGGTTGATGATGACTGTACCCGCCGCACACCGGCCAGCGGGACGTGCCTCTACCACACTTCGACCCTGTTTTGTTGGGCGCCGGGAGGCAGGGAACCCTGGCGGGGTCGGCTCAGGGATCCAGGTTTTCGACGCTGTTCTTCCCTGCTGTCGATGCCGGCTTTGGGGGGTTGGCTAATCTATCCAGCTTGGGATCAGCTTTCCGGTTCCAACGACAGACAGCCTTCTCTCTCTTCTCGAATGCCCAGGCCAGAGAGAGAGAGAGAGAGAGAGACACACACACAGACACACTTACCTGACTGATCGTGCAGGCCACAACGCCATCTTGGACCAAGATCCGTCAGGGCAGGTGGTGGTGTGCGTGCGTGACCTGATTCGCGCACCCGGTCGAGGCATCTGAGGAGAGCAGCCAAGGTCTGGTGGTGTGCAGAGACTTGATGTACTTGTACTGTGCTCCGTACTTTACCTGAGTTGCGGTAGAGACAGCACAGGCGAGGGGTGGGCGGGAAGCACGTGTGCGTAAGATTGATCACTTCTACGAGGAGGGAAGGCGCATGGCCGGCCCTGGCAGGCCAACTCGGACGGGACACCAGACCAGCCAGTCTGTCTGCCTACGAGGTAGGTTAGGTAGTTACTTGCTTTGTCTCTTTCTCGGGCAGGCCAACTCTACGTCTGTTCGCAGAGCTCGAACTTGGCCAGGCGACAATTGGTCCCGTCCTCTTCCAGGAACATTTCTCCCTGCCAAATCCTGTCCGTTCAATGCGCATCTACTCAGATGTGGGTGGGACAGGGCCATCTGCTCAGATGAAAGCGGTTTGGCCCATCTGCGGCATCTGCACTGGCAAAACCCATGCAAATGCCAAACGTGGGTGCGCTAGAGAGCGGGAAACCTGAACGAGTTCCTCGGATGCTCCCAGTCGAGCCCAAACCCCCCCCAGGATACTGACGCAATTATGCATGCCGTGGGCAATATCGAACTCACAAGCTTGGAACGGCAGCCCAAGTGGAGATGAGAGGGAGACGCTGCCTCTCCCATTATTCGCTACCGTCTTTACCCAAGCTTCGCCGAGTGTTTTGCGAACCCTTCCTTTTCCCTGGGTACCCTATGCACATACAAATCTTGAACGTGTGTACCTAATTGGACTCAGGGACCTGACTTGGCAGTCAACAGTGTGGAGTCAGACACACAGAGCAGAGACCCTTTCCAAGCTTGAGTGTGTGAGTGTGTGTGTGTGTGTGCCTGCCTGCCTGTCTGTCTTCTGTCTGTCTGCATGCATGTCTGTCCACTCGAGGTGAGCAATTGACCGACACCACAGGTGGCAAGCTCCATCCGGAGCCCAGTCCGGAGCTCGTCTGATCCAGTCCTCGTCCAGGCGTGCTTGTAGAACCCGAGCTTCTCAGCTTGCGTACGACGAGCAGCTTACTTGACCGCAGCTGTGCCGGAATTATTGGCGGCTCCTTGCAGCTTGCGGGTTGCCGCCTTCATCACATCACACCACATCGACTCTGTCCATGAGAGGGTCAAACCCCGTGTCCTCGATGGGAGGGAGGAGGTCGAGGCACGAGATAGGTGGATCGATCTTGTATCTTGTTCGCCTTGCACGAGTGACAAGACCTCCAATGCCATGCGTCTTGGAGCAGTCGCTGGCCGTCAACCAACTACCCGCAGTCAACTAACCTGTCAAATAAAAAAAAGTACTCTTGCTTGAACTCTGTACATCGCTTGAACTTCGTAGTCATGGCCTACTTCTCGGGTCCTTCGTTCCAGGTCAAGTAACCTCTGGTATTGCTTCCCAGCGGGCTTCAGTACGTCCAAGACTGCAACCAAAAGAGATCAGTCTGGATGGAGCCTTTCGTTGAAGAACTCGGTGAAACGCCCAGCTGGACGTGGCAAGTGCCAACTCGACGCAAACATCGGCGCGCATACGTCGTGGCACCGCCCCGGGTCTGCCGGTAGCCATGAGCCGGCGACACAAAAGAGCGACTCCTCTGATGTCGGCTCCCAGCCGCTCTCACTCTATTCTCGACACACTGCGCGATGCCTCTGCCTCCCGCCGCCTCGTACCTCTCCCCAGCGTACACCAGCCAGCAACACACGTCGACTTTCCAAAGAAATCCTACTCATCAGATTATGTGCGTTGCCGCGTGCCACGCGTTGTGTGTGTGAGACGGGAAACGGGGGCTCCTTTCCCCCCCATTCATCTTTGAACGAGCCTTGATGCATTTGCTTGTGAGATGGAGGCAAGCCACACAAGCTCAGATCGCACAGCAGCAAGGGGCCGGGGCGCTCCTCGTTCCCCGTACGCGGGCACCGTTTGGCGGGCGCTCTCGCCTCGATGCTGTGTCTTGTTTGCTCCCTCCCCCCGCGCCCGCCGGCCGCCGCCCTCGCATTGCAGAAGCGAAAGGGCATGGCCTGTCTGAGAAGGGCGGCGATGTTCGCTTTTTCGTGCTCCGTGACAAAACTGCCCCCATGTGTTGGGAGCACTGGGCCCCAGAAAAAAAGGAGGCAGGCCGCATATTCCCAACCGGCCAGCCATGAGGGAGTAGGTAGTAAGGCATCTCTGTCTCACTTTTTGCTGGCCATGCCACTTTTCTCTGGCCTGGCTGGCGTCGAGTCCCACACGCATCCGCAATCTATGTCGTCGAGTCTTGTGTGTTTGCTCTTTTCGCTGCAATGTCGTCGTCGTGTTTCAACTCTGCATGAAGGCTTCCCGTTGCGCGTCGAGGCACCGTCGTCTAGCCCTCCCCCCCCCGTGCTTTGTAATGTGACTGATCACTACTATCCCCCGGGACATAAGTCCCCTCGTCGTGGACTCGTGCATGGCCACTGGCTCCAGACACTCAGGTATAAATCGACAACGATTCGTCCTCCATATATCCAGGCATCGGGGGAAACAAGCATGTCCTGCCCATAGACAAAAGGCTCAAGTTGAACTTTTGTGGCACGGCACACCTTCCACTGCTTCTTCACGAACACCCATTTCTCTCTCAGACCCTGCCTGATCTCCTCCCCCCCTGAAGAAAGATGAAGGTCAAGGTCACGGACAAGAGGGTTCTGCGAGTGGCCAGGCTCGACGCCGCTGACACTCGCACCTGCATGCCCACTGGGTTAGTATCTGTACCCGGGAGGCAGCAGGGGTAGCAGCAAGTGAACCAACCTCACACTGTTCATCAGCAGGGTCCGAGCATCCAACAAGGCTCCGATGTTGGCTCGATTTCTCGCCTCACACGATCCACCCCCAGCCAACGAGGCTCTCGCTCGCCCGGCTCCCCCCGGGTTTGCCGGCCGTGTCAAGGAGGAGTGGGAGGGACTGGTCGTTGTCGACCCCTTGGCAAAGGAGCTGGAGGACATGATGCGAAAGGCTAAACTGTGAGGGATGAATGAGCAGGGCCCTTCCCAATATCAGACAGCTTTGGTCAAGCAGTGGGAGGGAAGGAAATAATACCAAGGGAGACATACAAAGCCATTGGGGAGAGGCTCGAATTAAATATTTAGGTATCACAACCAACGTGCACAGGGTCAGGGCCAAGCTGCCTTGAAAGTAACACATCCCCTGTAATCATTCCCATTGTCTACAGATTTGCTCTCCTCCTGTGCAACTCGAGAACCATTTGCCTCCGAAAACGCCGAGAGTGGACAGTTCCCCCACGTTGCAACCTTGCTCCCACACGACTCCCCTACACCACTGGCCCATGGTTATCCGTTGTCCTTGTTGAAGAAGAAGAAGAACGTGAGCTCGTGCTCCCTCCCGCCAACTCTGGAACGTTACTAGTCGTGATCATCTCGTGGATACGCCGCTGTTCTTCCATCTCCTGGGCACGCAGCTGCTCCTCCATCTCGTGGGCCAATTTCCCTCCGACAAGCTCCGGCGTCAGCACCTCAACCGACTTCTCATCGCCGCCACTTGTCCGTGTCATCGGTGACGAAGGCACATCATCCGTCGACGATGACTTGCTTACGGCCCCCTCGGCCGCTTCTCTATTACGTCTCCGCACGCATCTCGCCAGCATACAGGCGAGGGCTCCAGCGAGGACGAGCGCGCCGACAGTAGCACCCACAGCGATGCCCACCTTGGCTCCAAGAGAGAGCGGCTCAGTACTACTGCTGCTGTTCTTGGCTCCAGAAGTCTCAGGATCTCCAGCAGACTCTTTGGCAGCGACCTCCGCGGTTGTCGCCACGGCCCTGGCGGGCTTCCAGATCCCGTCCTCGTCAAAGCGCACCTCGGTCAGGGCACCCCCGACATCATAATAGATGCGGACCTGGGAGGTGAAGAAGTCCCAGGCGATGGCCAGCTCGGCCCCGGGCTCGTCGGCCAGGGGCCAGATGCTCTCGGTCTGGTTGGTCATGATGCGCCAGAAGTAGTTGATGTTGGAGATCTGGTAGAGGCGGCGGTCAGTGCCGACGTAGAAGACGCTGCGCGAGAACTGCTTGTCGGTCGACATGCCGAGGCCCTTCTGGGTGCCGTCGTAGGCCGGGAGGGTGAAGTTGATGGGCGTCTCCAGGTCAAGCGGGTAGAGGGTAGAGTTGGTGGTGTTGAGGGTCTGTGAGTAATCACCAGACAAGGGGTGAGGGAACGACTCTACACCTCATCGTTAATAAAGAGACCTTTTCAAGAGACCGATTGAGCAGGCAGGGTGACATTGAGAAGACTTACCCATATGCCATGATGATATTTGGTTGAACCGTGAGACCTGTAGATTGTCCTTGTTCTTCGGATAGACGATTGTCTTGTTTCTTGATTCGGTGGCCATGGCATTCATTGTGGTTGTCAGTGGTCTCTCGCGCGATATCACCCCCGCATACGCCCATTTGTTGTCATTCACATTGTTGGCATAGGTGTATTGGTGGATCTCCATACCAGACGTGTGGTAGTAGAGATTGAAACTCTGGGAGCCCACGGAAGGGACAGAGCTGAGCCCCGTCCCGTTCAATGGCTCGGGACTAGTACCAGGGGCTGAGACGACCGTGGTTCCCTTGTCGGTGAACTTGCCCGTGGTTGGATCGCAAACGGCAACATAGTTGACGATGTTGCCGTCTACGTCCTGGTAGAATATCGATGCCTGTTCACATTGAGCATTAGAAAGACTCCTGCACTTTCACGCCTCGTCGGCCTCTCTCCGTACCCAAAACGATGAGTAACCCTGACCTGACAAAGCCGTGCCTTGCCGGGGCTTTCTGACGAGGGCAAACTCGAGAGGCGGGTCATTGGCAAATACAACAGGTGAGCTGCCGTTGGTGGCGCAGTTGCTGTACATGATGTTTCCTGTTGTTTCGTTTTGTCGTATCACTTGAGGGCCCCCTGGCATCCACCAGGCTGCCATGGCAGCCGAACAGGACCGGACAGCGAAGACAAGAAGGAGAAGACGCATCGCAGATAAATGAACCATCTCTCAGCACGAAAAGACCACAAGTCGGCGCTCTGCTTCAGCAATAGAAACTGAACTTTGCGGCCCGGGTCTTGGAGCTTTCAACTAGTCATGGTGCTTGAGAATGAAGTCCTTGTGTGAAGAGGGAGGCCCCAACTAGGGCCACTGCGGACAAGATATAGAGTCGAGCAGAATACCCATACTCGCTTGGGATTCTATGTGAAGGCAACCTCCTGATCTTGTCCAATTCGTTTTTGCTCCATCGTGAGCTCAGCGACACATTCTCAAGGAACTGGTGTGGTCTGTCGGAGGTTTCATTGGTCCCAGCCCAGGAGAGGGTTGTACTGCATGGCTGGCATCTGCACATTGTTATCGCCCGCTCGGCTCGTCCGTGCTGACATGCATGCGTTTGCAGGCGCCAGTGAGCCAAACGGATATATACAGACGAGGGTTCCATCAGAGAGGGGTTCGGACGGTCAAGATTGGCTCCAGCTGTTTCTGCTTGATTATGAGGTCTGGTCTGGTAGAAGTAGTGTTGCCTGTCGGCCAAATGCTGCCTGTGGTCTCTGGTCATCACAAGGGGAAACCGCTTCTTGGACAAACCTGTTAGGGAAGGCAGGTACGAGCCTCCACCGGCGACCAGCTCGGCCGCGGTACGAAGAGATAGTTAGGTAGTTCTGCCGAGAGCAATTCAAGAACTGTTCAGCTTCCCGGCAGAGCGACTACGTCCATGAGCAGCACAAACTGCGCGGCACTGCTTCTTTCGGCGTGGAGCACAGGAGTAATGCCGGAGAGCGCCCATCAATCCTTCCTCAGCCCTGCCGACCCCACGTTTGACGTGCCAAGTTAGGGAGGTGGTCGATGAATAATAGCCTTTCAAGAGCAGTCTCTTCGGCCACTCACAGCATGTCCTGGTGACGGCCTTCTCCCTAGGCAGAGGATTCCCTGACAGCCGCCGCTTGTTTTGGTACCTTATGTCAGCTTACCATGGAGCGGGCTGGGACTGAGGTGGTTGGACCGAAATGAAATGTCAAGGATTGTCATATTTGACCAGTGAGAGCCTGACTTTGCAATTTCTCAGCTACTGATGGCCTGTTTAAACTCCACGACCCAGAACCCAGAATCTTGCGGTGTTAACACTCTTTATGATTAATGGTTTATTCACCGAGTCGCTGATGGTGGGGGCCATTCATCGATATGGAGAAGCGGCAGCTTTCATACAGCAACCATATAGTTTTGGATCTGGCCACAGATATGGCGCGGAAGCACACATGATGGACTAGAGTTGAAGCCAAGTATTGGGATTGCTCTAGCAGTAGGAATAGCAGCGAGGATCTAGGATATCAGAGAGGAACGACCACCAAAAATACAAACTCCGTGCGTGCCCAGAACCCATGCAGCCCGAAACCCATAATCACAGACCTGCCTGATCCGCGGCACCGTCCTTCCAGTCCTACTCCGACATCAAGCCCCGCTTGACGTCTTTGGCCACCAGACCGCCGATGTTCTGCTCTGGCAGGTCGTACTTGGGTCGCCCACCAAGAACATCTACCACCTGCTTCATTCCAGTCCAGTAGGCCGAGATGGGGCGACGGTTGGGCCAGTCAGTGTCCTCTTCCTCGAGCGTCTTCATCGGAGTGAAGACTACGCTCGCTCCCTTGATACCAATGACGGCCGTACTCGTCGGGTCCTTCTTCACCCTGTTATGGGCGCCCTTCCCAAAGGTCTCGAGGTGCTCGATGCACTTGATAGCCAGCCGGACGGCTCGGCACCGGTCCATGGCAGACGGGACACCGCCTTGCTGCACATGGCCTGGGATGCTGTCCCGGGACTCGAATCGGTCATGGGCTTCCTCCCTAATGATATCAGCCACCAACTTTGCATTGTACACTTTGCTAGCCTTCTCGTTGATGAGAATGAGACGTCCCGCGCGTGACTGGCCCTTGTCGTGGGCAAAGACTTCTTTCAAATGCCGAACATCAGCTGCGAGCATATCGAGGCTGATGCCTTCTTCCGGGGTGTACACGGCACTGGCACCAACGCCCAGGCCTGCAAGTGTTGCGACGTAGCCGGACCGCCCGCCCTGGGTTTCAATGACGAAGACCCTACGACGAGTCGCCGATGCCGATTGCTTGATCTTGTCGCAGTAGCTGGTGAGCTCGTTCAAGCAAGTATCAGAGCCGATTGAGTACTCGGTTCCCGGAACATTGTTGGAGATGGTAGCGGGCAGAAGGGCGATGGGGATGCAAAGCGACGGGTACTCGTCTCTGGCCTTGCGCAGCTGCGAGATCGCATGGTAGGCCTCGAAGCCACCCACGATGAAGAGACCATCAAATCGATATTGCTCAATCAGGTTCGCGATGTGCTCCATGCCCGACTCGCTGGGGAGTTCTCGGTTGGTACCAATCTCGGAACCGCCTTTGCTTGCCCAGCCATCAACCTCAAGCCAGTTAAAGGCCCGTACAGCTCCCAGGGGTTTGTCGCCATGGTGGCGCGCAAATCCAGCAAATCCGTTGTGGATGGCCATCGGCTCGTGTCCGCGAGAAAGGCAGTAGGCGACTCCGGCCCGGATGGCAGCATTCATCCCACCAGCTGGGGCGCCGACATTGATGAAGCCGATCCGCATTCTCTGCACTGAGCATCAGTATTAAGTAACTCGCATCGTGGAAAGGGGAGGGGAAATTACGTCTTTTTCCGGGAGGAGCATGTTCTTATTAAGCTGCACCGTCGTGGTCAACATGTAGGAATTGTACTGGTCGGAGAACTCGGCATCTCGAAGCGACATGGCTTTGTCAAAGTCATGAGCTTCAATGGCAGCTGCAACAGCCTTGGTATCCTCGACCGCCTTCATGAGGGGCTTGCGCACGATCTTGTTCTCGGTCACGGCGATAAAGCAAGTCTCCGTCTCGGGAGTGGCTTCCAAGACTGCCTTCACAGCCTCCACGCCTTGCAGCGTGGCTAGCATTCTGTCGTAGGCAACGGCGACACCACCGCGCTGGACGTGGCCGAGAGTCGTGATACGACTGTCAATGGCCAGTCCTGACTTGTCAGCGAGCAGCTCTCTCACCATCTCGGGTGTGATCTTCTGGCCCTCCCGATCATGAGCTCCTTCGGCGACAATGACAATGGTCTTCCTCTTGCCCAGCGTCCGATGCTACCAAGGCGAAGGCGTTATTAGTATGGGAAGCGTGGATTGGCAGATGCAAGCGGTTGAAAGAGCCTCACCTTTTGGACAATGCCACACATTTCTTCCCTCCAGTTATCTTCCCGTGGCTTTTCAGGGATGAAAATGAAATCGGCACCGGTGGCGACTCCGGCCATCAGAGCCAGCCAGCCGCAGTGCCGTCCCATGACCTCGATGACAAAGGCACGAGAGTGAGAAGAAGCAGTGGCTTCAATGTAGTCGACCATCTCGCAAATGCGTGTGAGGGCCGAATAGCAACCAATGGTGGCATCGGTGCCGGACAAGTCATTGTCGATGGAGCCGACAAGACCCACGATGTTGAGGTGCTTATGGGGCTCAATCTGCTCACGGGTGAACTGCTTGGTAGAGACCAGCTCCTCGAGCAATGACGGCCACTCTGCGCGGAACTTGTCGGCACCAGTCAGGGAACCGTCTCCGCCGCAGATGATGAGGGCGTCGATGCCGTGAAGGATCATGTTCTTGGCAGCCTGCAGCCGCCCTGCGCGTTCATAGAAGGCCATGCACCGAGCGGTACCAATGAGAGTACCGCCCTCAGACAGCCAGCCGCGGACATCGTGCCACTCCATCTTGCGAATCAGGTCTCCGCCCTGGACCAGGCCCTCGTAGCCTTCATAAACGCAGAAGGCGTCGCAGCCCATGTGTATAGCTGTGCGGACGCAGGCTCGAATGACGCCGTTCATTCCCTGGGCGTCACCGCCCGAGGTCATCATGGCGATCTTCTTCTTGGGTGCCATGGCGAAGGAGGCGATGGATGTTACGGATATTTGGCGTGTATAAGTATATAATGAACAGAAGGAGAGGTGTCTAGGGGACTGAAGAAGCTGAGGAAATGATCGTTAGAAAGATTGCGATTGAAGCAGATGAACAAAAATGATATGATGGAGGACAGGGGAGCCTTGGAGGCGTCGGGCCACTTTAAGATGAAGGTCGTACCGGCTTGCGCGGAAGGCTTGGCCTGGGCGAGGCAAAACAAGCCAAGAAGAGGCTGAGAAGAGATCAATTGGCTCTTACTGTTTTCTGTCCTCACGCACTCAAACGTGGAATGAGGGGTTCAAGGGAGGTCCAACCCAGTTCAGCGCAAGGAAAAGCCAGAGCTGGGAAGAATAGGAGCAACGAATAAGACAACCTTGTCGCTTTCTCTGTCGCTCTGTCACAAGCCGATGTCTCTTGCAGCTGTGGTGTTTTTTTTACCTCTGGGCGGGAGGAGCGGGGAGTAAGAGACCTGCAAGTGACGTCGCCAATGCCTTAACAAGCGCAAAAACCCCCAAGAGCTCTTATCTTATCAGCGCTGTCTGGTGGACAAGGTGGGGGGAACAAGCTTGGAGCTGATCTGGGAAAGTCGCCGAAGAATGAAGTCTGCAGCTGGACGCTTCAGCACAGCTTGAGTGCAGATACTAGCTGTCGTCTGGGATAGGATGGGAAGAAAGCATTGAGGAGATTTCAGGAGCGATGAGTGAATATCACCCCAGAGAGTCATGTGTGTTCTTGGATGGAGCAGTAAACCCTTGATATACACCGCATGCCCCAACAATGGATGCACGCTTTTCTCGTTGTCATTTAAATGTCTCATGCCAAAGGGCCGAAGTCTCCAGAGCTGAGGCTTATTCCCAAACTCTGGCGATTAGACCCCAATCAGTAGCAGTGGCTACCTATCTGCTCCCTAGAATCCATCCCCCTTCTCCCCCACGCCTGGAGTGCCGTGGTACTCAGCTACGCCTGATGGACTGGGACCAATAAGGGATGTGATGTTTTTGTCCCAGTTCAGTCAGTCAATAGGGATTGGCCAGCCTGAGGACAATGACATTTCAGAGATGCACGGGTCAGTAACTACCTAGGTAATCTGAGTCGAGTCCAAGGCTCCAGCTGGCCAAAGTGTTGAGCACGCCCTTGTGGGGCCTGGTTCTCAATGGCTACCCACTAACCAGAACAAGAATAGAGGGGCCTCGACTCCAGCTCTAGCATCTGGGCTGCCCATTGAGCTCAAAGCAGTGGTACGCTCCCAAGGCTCCATTGTTCTCCAAAGGCGCAAACAACATCAGCTCCGCGGCCCTTTATACCTTGCCATACGAAGCTCCAGCGAAGATGACGATTTGACCCTTCCGTCAAGTTTGGCACGGATAGCTGGAACGCGCGTAACCTACCTCGTCGAGCCGACCGCCTGTCTTCTCAATCTCGAGTCTTGACAACGACTTCTCAACTTTGCGTGCCCATACTCGTGCTCGAGATAGACAATGTCATCAACTTCGCACCCGCTGGCCATTCGGCCACTGCCTGCAGGCAATAAGAAACCTAAAACCCTTGGCGAGTTCATTGCCCGCGTCAATGCCGAAGGTAGCAGCTTTCGGAACCTCACCGAGGAGGGACTGCGCCAGGAGATCGAGGCCCAGGAGAAACATGGCATCGACGCCAACGACACAGAGATGACGGACGCACTGGATGACGATGAGGGCGAGGGCAAAGCGCCGCAGTCCACCAAGGTCGAAGACCTTGTGGCGGCCCGACAAGAGGTCTTGCGCAATGTTGAGTAAGCGCCCCCTGCTCCAGATTCCGAACTTCAGCTAACACACCCGGCTTAGTTTTGCGCACCAAAACGCCATGCTCACCCTCGATTTCATATCTCTACTCCTCTCAAAAGAGACTCCGGTCCAAGCCGGCCTCACTCTCTCAGACATTCTCCGTAGCACAGTCGGGATAGGCACACTCGGAGCTGACAAGCTCGCGGCGTCCAACATGACGGACGAGAAGGTGCAGGACAACAAGCTGGTTGCAACAGGATGGAAGTTTGTGGAAATCAACAACACCGTGGAGTCTCTGATGCACTCTGCCACCCGTCTACAGAAGGAGATCGACCTCGAGACCAAGTATTGGGGCGAAGTTCTTGCGGCTAGTGAAAATGGGTGGGCCGTTTCGAGGTTACCGCACGAGAGACACACCTTGGGTGTCAAGTACGGCTTTGACGAGGCAGCGCCGTACTTCCGCGCCAACAGTTTTGCGCCCATGCGACGGAGCGATACCGGATCTGTCAGCCTCGACACGAATCGAATCGGCCAGCCCCGTCGGCTGGCCGCAACGATCAAACAGGCCGGCAAGATAGTTGGCCGTTCCTCCCCACGCCAGCCGCTCAGGGATGATGCTCCGCTCGAGGCCCGCGTCCGCCAGGCGCGTGACTCTATCTTCGATCAGGAGCTGTGGCATGAACTCAACCGTGAGGGGCGCACACTGCTATCCTACGGTGTTCGACTAGAGGACGGCTCGATTAGTCTCGCGGTCGACGACCGGGAGGTTGTGCTCTCCCTAGACTATATCGAAGCCGAAAGCATGCCGGAAGCCCATGGCACTGACTCGGCGAGTGCATTGGCAGAAACAACATGTGCTACCTTGCGATTGCTTCTCAGCTATGCCCACAAGCAGAACAACCAGAAGCGCTCGCGACCCAATCCGCTAGGGAGCAATGCGAACCGTGGCAACATGACGTACTCTCTATTGCGACCTCTTCTGCTTCACTTCAATCACGAACAATCCGTCAAGAAAGCCACCCAATTTGTATCAGACCTGGTGCTGATACTGCGTGCAGCTGGAGTCGTTTCAGCAAAATACACACTGACGGAGCCACCCGCACCAGCCCTTAGCCCGAACCTCTCCTCCTCAGAAGCTCTGTATATCGCTCTGCTGAGCCCCAGAGACTTCCTCTTCGACGTGACCATTTCTCCAGAAGTGCGACTCACGATTCGAGGCAAAACGACCGTGGTGCCCACCGTCACTCAATATCTAATCCAACTCCCTCTAGCCAACGCCCCCCAGGACCTACCGTCTCCTGACGACCTCGCGTCGCGGAATTACCTACTACGCACTTTCCCCCCAGCTGAAAGCTACCCAGACTTGCGCGAAGCTGCATCCTACACACGGCAGGCCGTGGCTCGCTATCTCGCTTTTCAAGCAGAGTCCATAGCGCAGGACGCGGATAGCTCTCCGAAAGGAGGTTCTGGTCGCGCTTTATGGGCGAGGTCGCTGAACGGTAGAGCAATACACGACGTCCCGTTCCGGAAGCGCGAGCTGCAGATCGATGTCTGCAAGCCCCATAGCCCAGACAGGTGGGACGAGAAAGACGAATTGGACGATCCTTCGCCTGGCCAAGAGGGCGACTTGACCCCCGAGTTGCGTGTTTACGCGTCTTGGACGGATGGTGATGACCAGGATGGAGGCAGCAAGGTTTACCGTAAATGGACGTTCTCGGCGGGAGAGGCGAGAACTGGCGCCCCGATCCTGAAGCTTGAGAACATTGTGCGAGGCTGCGTTTCAGATCAGCTCAAGCCTGCGCTGGGCCAGAGGAAGTAGAGGACTGGTCTGAAATGGGCAGCTTGAGCATAGCTGAGTGAAATATACAATACACGTTGCTCTACCGAAATACTGCACGAATGCGATCATCATGATGATCATTAGATGCTGCTTTTTGGCAAATCGCTCGTCCCGCGACCGTTCAGGAGAGATTCCTGATATCCTTTATTCTCGACTGTCTTTTATCACCGCCTTATGGTTGAATCTCCTCGCCCTTCCAGTCGAAACACTTCCCTCTCCCCTCTAATCCGACCTTCCTCGTCACTACATCGAGCATATACTCGGCCGCCTCCTCTGGCTCAAGCAACCTGTACTTCTCGGCGCTGCTCTCCCAGAACCCTTTGCTGAGATCCGTCTTGACCGTGCCCGGGTGATACGACAGGGCCATGGCCCGGTCGCCACTGCGCGCCCGCAGCTGGTGGTCGAAGCTGCGCGAGAGGCTCATGACGGCCGCCTTGCTGGACCGGTAGCTGTACCAGCCGCCCTGCCTGTCGTCGCTCACGGAGCCCACCCGCGCCGACATGTTGACCCACACGGCCCTCGGCGGCAGCACGACCAAGTCCTTCTTCTTCTTGCCTCCCTCGCCCTCCTCCTCCTCCTCCCGTGGCTCTGGCTCCGGAGGCGGCAGCAGCTCCGTCGTGCGCCGCGGCAAGAAGTCGGCAAAGTGCTTCATCAGCAGCAGCGGGCCCAGCGCGTTGACGCGGTAGGTCATGAGCGCGGCCTCGGCGTCGACCTGCGCGGGCGCCCTCTCGGGCCGCAGGATGCCCGGCACGGCCAGCGCGAGGCGCAGGTGGTGACCCCGCGGCCCCGGCGGGAAGAGCGCGGCCGCCTGCTCGGCCGCGGACCGGACGGTGGCCTCGTCCGTGACGTCGACGCGGGCGAGGTGCAGGCGGTCCCGGGCCGAGGGGGGCAGGCCGCGCAGCAGGGCGTCGCGCAGGGACGACTGCTGCTCGGCGGAGGAGGCGCGGGCGGTCGCGAGGACGGGGGCCCGGGTGTGCTGGAGGAGGTGCCGGGTCAGGGCGTGGCCTATGCCCCGGCTGGATGGGCAGACCAGGATCCAGGGCTTGGACATTTCTTTTGGAATTCTGTTCAGCTTTCCGGATGTGTGGTGGTTGATGAGCGGTGTTAAACTTGGAGACGTCGGGAGTCGAGTCAAAGAATCGACCAATTCCGCGAAATGCAGGACATGCAGGAGATAGAAGTCAATGCAATCCTCAAAAAATAATCCATTCTGAAGTTTTCACCTAGATACTGGACTATCTCGGGTTGCCCCCGATGTCATGGAAGTATCATTAGCTGTACTGATCGTGTGGATACTGACTTGAAGGCTTGGATTTGTATGATGCTTAGACACGGGCACTAACAGCGGCCCATTCGTGCACTACCTCACGTAGACTGTGTGACCGATGCCAGAGGTCAAGACTAGACCCCAAGATCCTGTTGCGAACCATTGTAGTAATTATACATCGAGTCTTAATAAGGCACTCTCCCCACACAGGCCACCTCCCGCATGGATTCGGGCGTAAGTCCTCCATGTGCCGGAAGACCCACAACGCCGAGGGCCAAGGCCGGTCGGAGCCCAAGTCCGGACAATGGACGGACTACCCATTACAGCATGATCGCCTGCTTTATTTGCCGCAGCCGGCACGGCCAGGCCCGACCCAGGTGAGCTTCGTCATGACGGATGGCAGGGTGTGGAAGAAGGACGGCAAGGCGGTGGGCATGGCCGAATGGCACAGGTGGGCTGCAGAGGATCCAGAATGGATTGTCAACATGAGCATATCCCCCGAGAGCTCATATAGGAGGGGGCGATGATTTAGTCAATACAGGCACGAATCGACTTGGCCCAAGTCAAATTTGACAAGTCCTACAATTGTCATTAATTCTACCTTGTATTGCCTCTCCGCCACCAGAGCACGTCCGGGGAAAAGATGCAGAGTCTGCAAAGTTATTACAATGATCTATTCGGCGTTTGCATGCTATTGACAAACGTCCAACACACCGGGGGTCATGAATCTTGCTCAATACTCATCAAACAGATGCTGTCGTCGACAAAAGCCCTTGCGCCAACAGAATGGCCGCCTTCCAACTCCTCATATCGCGCTTTTCCAATCATTACAATGCGACATCTTGGAAAGATGCATTGTCGCCTGGAGTAGTTGCCTTCTCGCCGGGGGAGGCAGCCTTGTCTTCCTCGTCATCATCATCCTCGACCTTGGCTTGGTGGGGACCTGGCCGCAGAGCAAACTTTTGCTTCTCCCTGTCGTCGATATTGACTTTTTGCTCCTCATGAACGGCCGACTTTGGCTGGTCCTCGCCTTCCTCCGCGTCTTCGTCTTCGTCCTCGTCCGACTCGTCGTCCCTGGCGCCTCCGGCACCGGCTTCGGCGGCTCCCTCTGACTGCTTCGCTGGAGCGTCGTCCTTGTTGCTCTCCGTGGCAGGCTGGCCATTCGGTGAGGGCGTGGGAGGTAGCTCCTTTTGTTGCGTAACGGCCGGCGACTGCGTCGTGGTGGATGGCCTCTCCTCGGCAGGCGGGCCGGTCCACTGTGCGTCGAGGTAGAACTTTGTGACTCCCAGAATGCGACCATTCTTCTCGCAGGCCTCGACCCACTCAGGCCTGACAACAGGGATGTTGTTCTCGACCGCCTTCTCCCATGCCACACCCCTGCCTTCCGTGGTAACAAAGTGCGTTGTATCGATGCGCACGCCATCCACAATCTTGGCGCCGATGCGCTCAACTGCGCTAGTCAGGTTTTCGCGAGTAGCCGCAGGGAGAATGCCGGTGGTGATGGTGATGCCGCTGAGGTCGGTCATCTTGTGGGTGCGCACGACAACGCGCTCGCTCGAGTAAGTGCCGGCCGTGGTACGGAGGACCAGGTGGAAGGTGTATTCGGTGTCGACGGCCAGACCAGAGATTTTGGTGGAGTGCATGCTGAGCGGGCGGGGGATGTTGCCGGCCTTCTGGCCGTTGCGATACAGAGCGAGGGAGATAAGATCGGCGGTAGCGAGCTCAACAGGATCCCACTCGAGCACGACACTCGTCTGTGTCGCGTTGCGACATCGCAGGACCGGTGGGGAGGGCGCCGCGGCACCAAAGGCGGCGTAAATCTGGTCCTGCAGGGCGCGGAACCGCTTCTCGGTCTCGTCCTCTGAAGCAGTATTGCGGCCGACTGTGATATCGACAATCGAGCCAGACGAGATGTCGGGCGGGAGGAGAATGGACGGGAATTCGATCTGTCGAGGTGATCACCAGCGTCAGCAAGCTTGAACAAAGTCCAGGAGGAGGTGCCCTGAGACGAAAGCAGAAGCTCCGCATCATTACTATTCAAAAGGGGCCAACTCACCAGACGCTTGTCCGGCGTTAACAGCACCGTGACGCCAGCGTCGACCTTGCCGACGGTCAGGGACACGAGCATCTTGCTGGGCAGAGCGCGAGGAGACAGATCGGTTGTGGATGTTTCGGTTTCGGGAATCAAGCTGGGGTTGCTGAAATTGATGTAGTGGAAGCTCTTCAGGACGCGGTGTCTTCTTCTCAGGCCTACGTCACTAGATCGCATTGAGCGCTCAAATGAACTGGATGGAGTGTTCAAAGAAAGGGACAAAGTGCCCAAAACGGCGTTTTTGGTGCGGTGCTTCTCTTTGGTGAAACAACCGACTACAAGTAAGATTGAGAACAGGCAGGGGTGAGAGAGCTTAGCTGGTGCGCCGAGCTTTGAGCATAGGTGGTACGTAACTGCCTGGGCCACTAACCTGGAACGTTATCAGCTTCTGCTACCTGTCAAGAATCCAGGAACAGCCCGCCCTTTTCAGCTTATTAGCGGGTCCTCACGCTAAACCCAACCCATCAATCCCCAGAATTGTACAGGAGTCGCCCAAAGACATGATTGCTCGAATAGCATGTGATGCGTGAAGCAGGATTTGGTTTGTACTATTCATTTTCTCGGACTTGTAGGCTATCTCAATACCGAACGTCTATTTAATGGAATATATGTTGATGTTTGGAATGAAAAGCAAAGTATCGTTACACAGTATCAAGCTCTTTCCGAGAGCTATTGGTGGTGATTGTATGGCCTCACCGTCGTCCATTCTATACAGCTTCCTATCGTACAAGAGTTCTCACTTGGCTTTGTCAAATTTCCGTGGCTTCTTCCGGCTCTTACTGGCCATCGGGCGTCCCGTCTCTACTTCGCCCAGCCCAGACGGCGATGATGGCCGCTCCCCGCTCGCCCCAGGCGCTCCTTTCCCCAGGAGTTCCTCGAGCGACTTCACGGCCTGCTCGAAAGAGGCGACAACCTCCTCAAACCTGAGGTGCAGCAGCATCTTGAGCACCCCGTTGATCCTGACCGAGCCGTACAGCTCTCGGAGCCCATCGTGCCCCCCCCTCCCAGCGATCCTCCTGCCCTCGGCGTCCCAGCCCCTCCTCTCCAGCGCCACGCGAAAGGCATGCTCCGCCCTCTTCCTCATCGCCCTCTTGACGAACGCGCTGTCCGGGATCGTGCTGTCGCCGTGCACGGTGACGAACCACCACAGCGGGTCCGTCCGCGCCAGGTACCGCCTGAGCATGCTCTCGGCGAGCGCGTGCCCGTGGCGGTCAAAGTACCGCATGTGCCACGGGTGGAAGACGTGCTGCGGGATCGTGGCCACCTGCACGCCGCCCGCGCTGGTCTTGGGCACCTTCTTGCCCGCCCCCGCGCCTGCTGCTGCTGCTCCTCCTCCTCCGCCTCCGTTTTGCTGATGCGAACGCGGCGGCTGGGCAGGGGGAAAGCGCAGGCTGCGCCAGCGGCCGGGGAAGCCGATGTTGGCTGCTTGCGCGACCTTCTGGACCATGCTGCTGGGTACATATTCGCTACCGAACGAGCCTGGCTGCTGGTTTGCCGATGTATGATTGTACCTGGAGGTGTGCGAGAGCAGCCATCGTATCTGCGCCGTCTTCGTGCTCGTCGCAAAAGGGCAGAGCAGAACTCGGGACATGATGGCAGATCCTTGATGCGCCGCACGACTTGCGTTACATCCTCTCAATCGAGCCCACCCCCCCTCTTCTGTTTGAGAAGACCCGTCGTGAATGCAAGAAGTTAAATGTGTTACGCCTGAGCATATGTATATGCGTTCATGTCAGGACTGCATCAAATGTGGAAGCACGATGGATGATGCAGTCAGATACTAGGTGCAACAAGCGCACTAATGCACAGACCAACCCAATAAATCGGGAACTCGCAATCAACCTCACAGGGGGCTACCCGAGTCGAGCTGAGATTCAACTACTTGTAGGTGTTGATCGTAAATACATGCTCTCAAACAACAACAGAATATCGCTACATTCTACTATAATCTATCATCTTATGATTTACACTTTTTGGATCCAAAATCCATCACACATGGGACAGACATGATCTTATTCTCGATTTTCTCCCTTTTTTAACCCTTGTACGGGGCGGGGCCGACCATGAGCTCGGGCTTGACGAGCGTGTCGAACTCCTCCTCGGTGAGAGCATTGAGCTCCAGAGCACTCTCCTTGAGGGTCAGACCCTTCTTGTGCGCATTCTTGGCGACCTTGCTGGCCATATCGTAGCCGATCTTGGGGTTCAGGCAGGTGACAAGCATGAGGCTGGTGCAGGCAAGCGTTAGCAACAGAATTCAACATGCAAGAGACATGCGTCAGGAAAAGACTTACGACTCCTTCATGATGCTGGCGATCTTCTCCTCGTTGGCCTGGAGGCCGACGACGAGGTTTTTCTCAAACGAGCGCATACCGTCAGCCAGCAGACGGACGCTGTGCAGCAGGTTGCGGATGACGAGCGGCTTGTAGACGTTGAGCTCGAACTGGCCGTTCATACCACCGATGGTGGCGGCGACGTGGTTACCCATGACCTGAGCGCAGACCATGGTGAGAGCCTCACACTGGGTGGGGTTGACCTTGCCGGGCATGATACTGCTGCCAGGCTCGTTCTCGGGCAGGTTCAGCTCGCCGAGGCCACAGCGGGGACCGCTGCCGAGGTAGCGGACATCCTGAGCGATCTTGGTGAGAGAGGCAGCGAGGGTGTTCAGGCAGCCCGAAGCCTGGACGATGGCGTCGTGGGCGGCAAGAGCCTCGAACTTGTTGGGGGCAGTCTTGAACTCGGTACCAGTCATCTTGCTGACCTCCTCAGCAATGCCCTCAGCGAAGCCCACAAAGGTGTTGATGCCGGTTCCGACGGCAGTACCACCCTGAGCAAGGAGGCGGAGGTCGGGAAGAGAGGACTCGACGCGCTTGATGCCGAAGTCGAGCTGGGCAACGTAGCCAGAGAACTCCTGGGCCAGGGTGAGAGGGGTGGCATCCTGAAGGTGGGTGCGGCCAATCTTGATGATCTTCTTGGCCTCGAACTCGTCAACCTTCTTCTGCAGGGCAGCTCGCAGGCTGTGGAGGGCGGGCAGAAGCTCATTCTCGATCTCGAGGACAGCGGCGATGTGCATGACGGTGGGGAAGGTGTCGTTGGACGAAGCGCTGCGGTTGACATGGTCGTTGGGGTGGACGGGCTTCTTGCTGCCCATCTGGCCGCCCAGGATCTCAATGGCACGGTTGGAGATGACCTCGTTGGCGTTCATGTTGGACTGAGTGCCGGAGCCGGTCTGCCAAACGACGAGGGGGAAGTGGTCGAGGAGCTTGAGGTCAGCGACCTCAGCAGCAGCCTGCTGGATGGCCTTGCCGATCTTGGGGTCTAGAGCATGGGCGCAAGAGTTAGCATGCCTCGCTTGAGTAATTTTTTAGGAATCTGCGCTGCATGGCGGACTTACCCAGGCCAAAGCGCATGTTGACCGTCGCGGCGGCGCCCTTCAGGATACCAAAGGCCTTGACAATGGGAGGCGGCATGCGATCCTGGGGCTGGTTGATGCGGAAGTTCTCGAGAGAACGCTCCGTCTGGGCACCCCAGTACTTGTCGGCAGGGACCTGGATCTCGCCGAAGGCATCGCTCTCGGTTCTCGTGGAGGCAGACATGCTTATCGAGCTGGCGTGGAAGTATCGCTGGGTTTGGGAGAATTTGGGAATGGCGGCAGCTCGGGAAGAAGTCGGGAGAGTTCGATGCGAAGATGCGGGGTGAGAGCTCTTGAAGCATGTGCTGAGCGCCCGGGTGCAGGTCCTCGGCCCACACTGCAAGCTCCTGACGGGCCCGGGGGCCGCGACTCGAACGGATCGAAGCATACCTAGGTACTTTGCGACGGTCAAGGGAAAATCTGGTTGGCTGCTCTCAGCAAGCGAAGAGGACGCTAGGGATCGGCGCGAGTTCTGGCAGGGAGCACTCGGAGAGGCCAATTGAGCGGAGGATGCGCGGGATTATGTACAATTGCAAAGGAGAGTTCCAGAAGCAGTATTCTTCATCAGAGAAATTGAAGCCGAGAGCCAAAAAAGTGTCCCCGTCGAAGCACTAAATGCTCCTAGGCGGGAAGGGCAGGAAAATCTGCCAGCCCGAATTCCCCCGGCTACGGGGCTACGGGGACTTGAGGCTTGGGGCAAGAGCTATGGTCCCTTGTTGGTCCTTGTTGGGGCGCTTTTTTGGTGTTGTTCTATCAGATCAAGCAAGAGCTGACTGAGCCGAAACCCCGTTCTGCCGAAGCCGGAACGACAGTGGCTACCATGATATGGGGTGACTGCCCGTGTGGGACTTGCAAGTGTTAGTGCCAAAGAAATCTCACCCACGTTGTTTTTTTTATGTCAGTGCATGTCTTTTGTGCAACATATGCATAAAAATTCACAACCAGTGGTACGTCCCAAACTCACTCACATGCTCTGTAATCCAGCGCTGTACGGAGTGGTTTGGAGGTACTTGCCCCACCGGCGACCTACCTACAAGTATAGGTAGACTGTGACTCGCTACCCGCCCACTAAATTTTGGCAGTGGCGCAGAGACCAAATCAAGATCTTTAAAACAGAACAAAAATATTCCTGCCTGACCTGACGCAAGGAGGGGCGATCCAGACACACAAACAATCTCACAACTACACCAACCAAAACCCAGCGCGAATACGCAGCAGATCCTCCCATCCCACAACCCTCGGGAAATACCAGTGCGGCATAGAAAAGACCTTCAAATACACCAGCCGACATGCCTAAGAACAAGGGAAAGGTGAGATTTCCACCATCGGCGCACTTGGCCTACCCCGCCAATCACACTGTCGCCACCATTGCTGCAGCGCGTAGAATGAGGGGCTGACTGGGATCACAACACAGGGCGGTAAGAACCGCAGGAGAGGAAAGAACGAGAACGACAACGACAAGCGTGAGCTCACTTTCAAGGAGGAAGGCCAAGGTATGTAGATGGATTCATCTCTTTGTCGCTGGTATCCCCAGAGGACAGGGGCATCGCCACACACCGTCATCTTCATCACCGTTGTCTCCCCATCTTGCACCGCTTCGCGCCTCCCTTTGTTCCTCGATCAACGTCTACACCTTGCTGACTCTCTCTCGCTCTTTCCACACATATATAGAGTACGCCCAGGTCATCAAGATGCTCGGCAACGGCCGCCTCGAGGCCATGTGCTTCGACGGCAGCAAGCGCCTAGCCAACATCCGCGGCAAGCTGCGCAAGAAGGTCTGGATCAACCAGGGCGACATCATCCTCCTGTCCCTGCGCGACTTCCAGGACGACAAGGGCGACGTCATCCTCAAGTACTCGGCCGAGGAGGCCCGCTCCCTCAAGTCGTACGGCGAGCTGCCCGAGTCGGCCAAGATCAACGAGACCGACACCTTTGGCGCTGAGGGCGACGGCGACTGCGGCTTCGAGTTCGACGAGGACCGCGACTCCGAGTCGGACGAGGCCGCCAACGGCGGCAAGGAGGTCGACATCGACGACATTTAAGGAATGGAGACTTGGCGTCTTCTCGTCGATGGGACTTGTCGTCCTTTCGATGGTGTGTGTTGCGGCTGCCCTTGCCCGTGTTTACGTCCCGGTTTCGCATGTACAGGCCACGGACATGGCCAAGCACAAAGCTGTCTTCTCTCTCAACCACTTGCCGGCCAGTTTACCACGCACGGCATGTGTTCCGCGACAGTCGGCGGTCCGTACGCATGGTTTCTTTCGGGGGGGTGACTACTGTGATGGGAGGGACGTCACGGTATGTCGCACCTCTAGGTTGACAGAAAAAGCAAGCATTACGGTTCCATTTCGTTGCGACCCTTTTTTGTTTTGTCTCAAAATGCAGAAGCGGGAGTGCAGTGCATGGCGCCAGGAAAGGCCTGGTGGGTGCGTGCCTATCGCGAAAAGTAGACCTGAATGCATGATTCTACACGATCCATACTTTGTCTTGCAATCGATATGTTGTCGCGAAGAACTGTTGATGCCCTGTGGGATTCCTCAATTTTTTGTAGAGTACCTAACAACGTAAAAAGCAAGGGCCATCGCTCTGCCGTCCACAAGATTCATCCACAAGTACAACTACAACTGCAGGCTTGCGATCTGTGTAGCCCTGCATGGGTAAAGATACCCCGTGACAGTGTTGTAAGGACATACTTTGTAGTCTTTTAGTCCAAAACATACCATACATCTCGGGTTGGAGGAAGATAAGTTGTTCGTTCAATGAAGCATGTGTGCTTGGTGCATGTCCTTATACCCAAATGCGAGATAACCCCTCTCATTGCCTTGCCACCACCACCCGCTGGCCAAATACGAGAGCAACAGCGAGGCAAATGTTCACGCAACAGAGACCGACCTAGCGATGTTCTTCTACCACTCATCGTCTGAAGCCTCGTCATCTACGTAAGCACAGGGGGTTAGTATCCGAGGAATGATGCATATCTCCAACAAGGGACAGGGACAACCACAAAAAGACAAGTCCAAAAAAAGAAAAAAACTTACCACTCGCGCTGACTTTCTCCTTGCGCTTCTGCAGCGCCGCCGCCAGAGCATCAGCCATACCGCCGCCGCCGGCTCCCGCCGCCGCCGCCGCCCCCGCGGGAGGGAGCCCGCTGCCGTGCGGGCCCGTGTCGCTGCCGCCGCCGACCTGAGCAGCGCTCCTATCCCTGATCTGGCTCCTGTCGACCTTCTTCAGCGAGGAAATACCGCCAGCCTTCTGGATGCCGTCGAGCATAGCCGAGCGACCGGGATCGGCACTCGGCACTGCTGCCGCCGGGACACCAGACGCATAGCCCGAGTCCCGGTTGGGCATCGGCGGTGGTGGCGGCGGCGGGACGCCGCCCATGCCGGGAGGAGGTGGTGGCGGCGGCGGAGGAACGCCGCCGGCGCTAGAGGACGGCATGGGTGGTGGCGGCGGAGGAGGAGGAGGCATGCCGCCTGACGATGAGGTGGGCAAAGGAGGAGGAGGCGGTGCGCTCGACGAGGGAAGGGGAGGCGGGACCGGAGCGTGGCCGGCTGGTAATGGAGGGGGCACACCTCTTGCTGGAGGGGCAGGTGGCGGTGGAACGGGACGAGAGGTTGAAGGCGGCAGAGGTGGAGGCGCGCCACCGACTTTGGGAGGTAATGGCGGCGGTACTCCCGCAGGAACATGAGCGTTGCGGGCTGGCGGAGGCGGAGGCACGCCGCCTCTGCTTGGAGGCGGCGGCGGAACACTCCGTTGGCCTGTGAAGGGCGGCGGGACGCCGAACCTGTGGCCCGAGTCTGCACTTTCGTCGACTGGTGTCTTGGGCGGCCTGGGCGGTGGGGCCGGGCCAGGTGCAGCCGGAACTGGTCGCCGAGCGGCGGGTTCCACGCGTGCGTACTTGCCAGCGTCTGGTAGGGGTGGTGGGGCGTTGAATTTCGGCCTAGGCGGCGATGGCTCTCTTGGAGGGGTTGGTTCCCTTTGCACAGCTTCATCAGCTTTGCCCGATCTTCTCGGGGCCGGGGGAGGGGGTGGTCCGCCCTTGCGAGCCGGTGGCGGTGCGGGTGGTTCTCGGTGTGAAGGTGAGCTGGCTGCCGGAGGAGGTGGAGGTGCACGGAGAGAAGACCCGTTCGTCGCCGGAGGAGGGGGTGGTGGAGGAGAAGGCGTAGCAGCCGGGGCGGCGGAAGTCGCGGCGTTGTTCTGTTCCTGGCCCTTGATGAATTCGACGATGAAGTCCTGGTTGTCCCGAATGAATTCGTCGTTGAGGCCACTGGCCTTCAGATCGTCTCCAAACTGTTCTCGCCAATGAGGGTTGAAGGCATCCAATGTGGCGAACTCGGATACTGGACTCTGGTGCTCGTACCCGTTCATGCTGCTTGTGCGGCCGTGGTGGAAGCTTCCGGAGCCAGAGTGCGGTATGGCATGCCTTGGTGAGTCCGGAGGTGTCGGTGCTGAGGAGTGCCTATGTCCTCCGAAGATGCCCCCCAAGAAAGAGTGCTTGTGTCCGCCGCCTCCTCCTGAAGGAGCGCCGCCGAATGGTGTAGCTCGCGTTGCCTTGCTTGCATTCTTTTCCCGGTCGTCCATCTTCTTCTTGAACTGCTTCGCCTCCTTCTCGTCGCTGAAAGATAGCCCGGCTAGACATTCCTCGAGCTCAAAGGTATGGAAAAAGGTTCGATCTTGGTTGTAACTCCACGTGTCGTAGATCTCTTGGTCCCAGATTACGCCTCGATTGCCCGGCTGGAGCCTGTTAGTGTGTGGCCAGGAGCTGGAGAGAGGGTGCTGCGAGTTCAGGCACTTACGGAGATGTCCACCATCTTCAACCAGTACGTGTTGCCAACGAGGTCATTCGCGAGCACGACAGCTCCCTGAAGGCCGGTGAAGTTCCATCTCGACTTGTTGGGGTAGGCGACGTAGAGCCGTGCGACGGCGACCGCCTGGATCTTGTTGCTCTGCTTGGGCACATATCGCTTGACGATCTCCTTATCGGCGTCGCTCAGGATGGACGGCATGGTGAGGGAAATGGAGCGTCAGTGACAGCGCAGGGGACAGTGGGCTTTCGTGATCGCCCGCGCTCAATGCGTGGTTGCTTGTGTCGGCATAGGACACGGATCCGGATAGTGATGATGACGCCGGGTTGGAGATTGGAGGTCGTGTGTTGTGGTGGGTGGAAGGTTGGTCGGTTGGCTGTTCAGGCGGGCGGCTCGCAGGCGCGGAGTAATAGCAGCTGGAGGCGCTTATCCTTTGTAGGCCGTCGACTGGGGGAGCTGAGGAGACGAGAGTCCCAGGCGGAGGAGAGACGGGTTGCCAGACAACCTCGCAAGCTCGGCTGGGTGCAAAACCTCTGCAAGCGACCTTGTTTCATGAAATGTGGGATCCGGAACGGGGTTGTGGCTTTGGTAGAAGGTTTGAGCGTCTTTTCTCCCTTTTGCACCGGAAATCTGTAGGAGTGTATTCGTGGAACACGCGTGTCCCGGAAACTACCTTAGGTACCTACCTACCTAGGGCAATTTAGGGGTACATTCGCCTGTAAGTGGAGTCGACGGCACGTTAGGTACCTAGGCCAGAGGCAACCCAAAAGATTCCGGGTAACGGACGAAGCGGGCGTCAGAATAGTTGACGGAAGTTCATCAGGAGCTACCTCATCATTAACTGTCAATCTCCTTGTCATATCCTTGGCCTGTAGCTCTGAAGGGCTGTCCCACTACCTAAAACTGATGGGCTTAATGGATACGCAAGCACTTCTGTTAGCAGTCCGTCAACTAATCTGCCCATCACTTGCGGACGCAGGTGGCGTCACTCTGCACCTCGCTATCAGCAATCGCCAACCCGCCGTCCTCAGATATTTGGTACCTAGGTAAGTTCTATCTCATGACTTAACACATCCATCCGCTATGGCAAGCAGGTATACAAATTTTGCAAGATGGTAGACTAGTCTCAGTGTAACTATCTCTAGAGCAAAACGCACCCTTGTCTCAAAGAGCGCAAGTGCATGAGAAGCAGGCTGGCAGGAGACGAAAGACGGAGACGACGAAAATAGACTAATGGTTCGGATCGGACTGCGCAGGAAGAGAAGACGCCGTGTATTTCATATCCTCATACGAGAAAACTACCTAGGTAATACAAATAAAGAACGCATCAGATCGGAGCCATCTCTCTTCATTTCATGATGTGAGCCTCCTTGTTGAGCTCTTCCGCCTTTGCCTTGCGCTCCTCCTTGGTGCCCTCCTCGGCGACGTTGAAGTCCTTGGGCACGGCTGGACCCGGCTGAGCCGAGTGAGCCTGGAACTTGGACTTGATGCTGTCCACGAGACCCTTGTCACCCTCGGGCTGGGAGGAGGGGAAGTCCATGTTAGCTGATTTCAGAGGAAAAAGAGTGGCAGATTTGAAGACTACTAACCTGTTGCTGAGTCTTGGCCTGATTCTTGTTGAAATCCATGTTGCGTTTGCTGAGTGCGATGCTGTGTTGTTCTCTTTTTATGAATGTCTAATGTAATCAAGAAGGATATTGATGATAGATTCCGGGAGATTCTAAAACAGGTAGCTGGAAAAGAAAAGAACTGAATACAACACCAGCAGCTATCCGGCTTCTTATACGAACCATGACATGATCAAAGTTGGCCCGGTTGGTTGAGAGCAGCAGCCAGCGCAGAACATTATGACGTCTTGGGGCGTCCCGTGTGACTGTCGATGGGCCAAGACACCCGGGAGGCCTGTGGTGGACGAATCTTCCCGCCACAGGGCAGCACGCGGCCTATCGAATTAGCGTATGCACACCACCACTTGTACACGCATTAGCCCCGTACTAGGCTCCCCAAGTTCCATGGTGCACCCCGATAAGATCCCTGACGTACCTAGGTAGGCAGACAACCACAAGTCTCTCTGCACCTCGCGCGACAAACCAGAGCTCCGGGTGTCAGCGCTGTCCTCTCGGCTTGTACTCCGAGAAGCTCATCGACGACGGACCGGCCGCCCAACGCTGCAGAGTCGCGACTTCCGGCGCGTGCTTTCCCCGGCAGATTAGACCACCCACACGCACATCGCGAGCTTCCACGAGCATGCTCGACTGCCCCGCATGTCCGCGCCCACGGCACCGCAGCCGGTGAAGCTCTCCCTGCCCTTGGAATACCAGCAAAGCCTCTTCCAGGAGCTCAGGGCCGAGGATGAGCTCGTCGTGATCGCCCGGGGCCTGGGCCTCATGCGCCTCGTCACGAACCTCCTCCACTCGTACGATGCCGCCGGGAACAATCTGATCATCGTGCTCAACGCCGAGGACCGTGAGAATGGCTGGATCGGCGAGGCGCTCGCGGAGCATGCCGCCATCAGCATGTCGCCCAAGGCCCGGGGCCTGACCGTCGTCAACACAGACTTCACGAGCGTCGCCGCTCGGGAGAAGATGTACGCGCACGGCGGCATCTTCAGCATCACCTCGCGCATCCTGGTGGTCGACCTGTTGACCAGCCTTCTCGATCCGGAGAGCATCACAGGCATCGTCGTGCTGCATGCCGACCGAATCATTGCCACGTCCCTCGAGGCGTTCATCCTCCGGATTTACCGGCAGAAGAACAAAGTCGGCTTCCTCAAGGCTTTCTCGGACAACCCTGACCCCTTCACTACCGGCTTCAACCCTCTCGCCACCATGATGCGCAACCTGTTCTTGCGCAAGGCGTCCCTTTGGCCGCGCTTCCACATCTCGGTCGCCAAGTCGCTCGAGGGCAAGAAGAAAGCCGAGGTGATCGAGCTCGAGGTTCCCATGACCGATGCCATGAAGCAAATACAAAATGCCATTCTCGAGTGCGTCGAGGTCAGCATCCACGAGCTCAAGAAGGGGAACACGGGCCTCGAGATGGATGACTGGAACCTCGACAGTGCCCTGCTCAAGAACTTCGACGTCATCGTGCGAAGACAGCTGGACCCCAACTGGCACAGGGTCAGCTGGAAGACGAAACAGATAGTGGGAGACCTCACAGTGCTTCGGGGCATGTTGCAGTCGATTGTTGCTTTCGACGCCGTCTCATTCCTGCAACACCTAGACACCATTCACGCAGCGCACTCGCCTCCGCCAGGGTCTACTCGACAGAACCAGTCGCCCTGGCTATTCCTGGACGCGGCCCAGACCATATTTGACACAGCAAAACGAAGGGTCTACACGGGGAAGCAAAAGACTGGGCCGGACGCATCCATCGACTCTCTCCACCCCGTGCTGGAAGAGCAGCCAAAGTGGGCCGTTCTCGCCGAAGTTCTAGAGGAGATCGATCGCGACCTCTACTTTGATCCGATGCCGCGAGATGACTCCAACGGGACCATCCTCATCATGTGCGGAGACACAGACACCTGCCGTCAGCTGAGAGACTACCTGCAGACGATGCACGTGCGGCCGCAGGCGGAGAAGAAGATCGAGGCCGTCTTTGACGAGGAGGAGGTCAAGGCGTCGGCAGCGTTCATGATGCGGCGAAAGCTACGGAACTACCTCAAGTGGAAACGAGAGTTCGCCCACGCCAGCGCCACCCTCTTTGCCGAGAACCAAAAGGCTCTCAACAACGCCGTGGATCCCCGGACAGGGCAGAGCAGGAATAGCCGAGCGCCGGCTAACAAACGGAGGCGGGTGCGCGGGGGCGGCAGTGTGGGCCTCATGGCAGGGCGGGCGGAGAACGGGTCGATCGCTCAGTATTTCGAGAAGCCCGGCGAGGTCGCGGACCTCATGGCCGAGGTCCGGCTCACGGAGGAAGAGGCGAAGCAAAAGGCGGACGTCATAGCCACGGCGGACCCGCTCGAAGACATGGACGACTACTACGAGCTGTTCGAGATGCAGGACCTGGTGGCCATACACGCCTACGACGGAGACCAGGACGAGCACGTGCTCGAGGAGGTGAAGCCGCGCTACGTCATCATGTACGAGCCGGACGCCTCGTTTATCAGACGGGTGGAGGTCTACCGGTCGTCGCACAGCGACAGGAACGTGCGGGCGTACTTTATGTACTACGGCGGCTCCGTCGAGGAGCAGCGGTACCTGTCCGGGGTGCGCAGGGAGAAGGACGCCTTCACCAAGCTGATCAAGGAGCGCGCGGGCATGAGCGTCGTCATGACGACGGACGCGCACGGCGCCGAGGACCCGCAGGAGCAGTTCCTGCGGACCATCAACACGCGCATCGCGGGCGGGGGCCGGCTCGCGGCGACGGCGCAGCCCCCGCGCGTCGTGGTCGACGTGCGCGAGTTCCGGTCCTCCCTGCCGAGCCTGCTGCACGGCAAGTCGATGGCCATCGTCCCTTGCATGCTGACGGTGGGCGACTACATCCTCTCGCCCAGCGTCTGCGTGGAGCGCAAGTCGGTCTCGGACCTCATCTCGTCCTTCCGCGACGGGCGCCTCTACGCGCAGGCCGAGGCCATGTTCCAGCACTACCGCAGCCCGATGCTGCTCATCGAGTTCGACCAGAACAAGTCGTTCACCCTGGAGCCCTTTGCCGACCTGTCGGGCAGCCTCAGCAGCGTGGCGCCGACCAACACGTCGTCGGACCTGCAGTCCAAGATCGTGCTGCTGACGCTGGCGTTCCCCCGGCTGCGCATCATCTGGTCGTCGTCCCCCTACGAGACGGCCGAGATCTTTGAGCGGCTCAAGGCGCAGGAGGAGGAGCCGGACCCGATCGCGGCGGTGCGGGCCGGGCTGGACAAGGACGCGAGGGCCGACGACCAGCCGTTCAACACGGAGCCGCAGGAGATGCTGGGCGTCGTACCCGGCGTGACGTCCAAGAACATCAAGAGTCTGATCCTGGAGACGGAGAACATCAAGGAGGTGGCCAACATGGACCCGGCCGAGCTGGAGCCGCTCGTTGGCAAGGAGGCGGGCCGGCAGATCCACGCCTTCTTCAAGAAGGATGTTATCGAGGATGAAGATTAGATGTCACGTATCATAAAAAATATAAACCATTCTGAATGAACATGAACGAGTCTCGAAACTTCGTCAAGATAGCATTTGACCATGTAATGCGTCGTATTAGACTGGATTGGGTATCTTTTAACGTTTCCTAACTATCGCAGCCCAAGCGTTCCTCCATTCATCCCTCATGACGAAAAAGGCCCGCGTGGGAAAATTGGTAAATGAGAAATGCAGAGCCGTACAAATACATGCTAGAAACTGCTCCTGCTCGACCTATCTGGAACTATCCCATCTGCCCGTACTAGTTTGTCCCTCTCGTGGAATTCCTTTCCTTCCGCAGCGGACGGCGGGTTGGCAGATGGGGCCAATCAGATAGTACTCGTCGTGTGCCGGTGGTGGCGTCCTGTGGTACGCCGTCTGCCTCCCATGCGGTGGCAAGTCAGGCAGCCAATAATCTGTTTTGAGAGCGAAGAGCTTGTCAGCAAATGGTGTTCCTCGACCTTCTTCTTTATCTTTCCATGATCGAAAAAAGTGAGTGTGCCGGGAGCGTGATGACATACCGTGTCAAAGACAGCGATGACGCCGTTAACGATGGCCATGATGATGGCGCCGATGGCATGGACGATGGCCATGAGGGCAGAGCCGATGGCTCGGAAGACGGACTCAATCTGTGTGTAGAGTGCACCAAGGTCAGCTGCTGAAATCATGATGAGAGGTTCGGAAGAGAGGAAGAGAGGAGACATACACAAGAGACGACGGCACCCATGATGACTGATTTGTGTGTGTATCGAACTGGTGGTGTAGGTTTGTTTGTATGGTTCGAGATCGATTCTCTTTAGGTATTCGTACCTAGGAGGTGGTGCTTGTTTGGATTTAGGATTGTAATTGGATGGATATGAGGTTAGAGACGGACGAGAAGGTGTGAATGTTGACAGGCTAGCCAGGCGGTATGTTTATATATCCATCCATTTGGGCAGATTGAACCTGACTGACCTCATCGCTGCTGGCCACTGACAACCCCCCTGCCGCCCTGCATACCTGCTCTGGTCTCCTGGAGCCAACCACCATCGTCATACCAGCAGGAGATAGCCAAAAAAACGAAAAGGAATGGCTAGGCCTGTCACAAGCGGGTGGGGACCCGGGTCATGACCAAAAACGTACATCATCGTGCTGCCCGCTTGCAGCGTTGGGGTTCTCGTTTGGGTAACCACGGGCGTTTGTGGCTGCCATCACCTGTCGTCACTGACGTCACCTGCCAACGGGCGATCTAAGGCGATCTAAGGGCGGAGAAGCCACACCCTTAGCACCTTTTGCACCCCGCTTTTTATGCAACTTCTTTTTGATTGAACGCCACAGTCCAAATCAGATCGGGTCAGAGATCCAATCCCAACTTGCTTGCTTTTCTGTCTCGTATTGTCTTGGTCGCTTCGACTCGCTTGGGGAAGATGCAGCAAATGACGATCCGCCGGAGCTTAGCTCCGGCTGTCACACCCACACCCAAGGCGCGCAAGTGGGCGTCTGAATGGTTGACAGAAGTTCATCAGGAGCTACCTCAATCTTAACAATCAATATCCTTGTCATGTCCTTGCCCTAGAACTCGGCAGGGCTATCCCACTACCTAAATCCGACGGGCTCGATGCGCACCTTACCTAGGTAGGTAGCTGGTGTCCTTGATGGATGGTCAAATGGTCAGATGGTCAATCACGTGACAGCGCGACGGCGAGGGTCATCTTAGCGTGATGAGGTGGTGAGAATTCGTTGATGCACCACACGCGCAACTGGGATCAAGAAAAGTTGACGAGTTGCGGGATTGCCAACTGATAGATAGAAGAAGTATTTTAAAATTCCTCTCAGAGTATTGGCAGACATGCACTGAAGGGCTACTTTTTACTTTGAGTCCATCAAACCCAGTGAGTGGAGTGGTATTCAAGATATCAGCAGCTACTTGTCGATATGAAGTGCCCCTTGGATGAAAAATCTTGATCGCCCTTTGACGAGTCACCATTATTGTGTTAATCCTTAGCCCGTGCGCGCACGCGCGACCACACACATAATTAATCCTTTCTTCTCTTCCTAGGCCAACAACCCCTCAACACCAACAACCTAGGCTCCCCTCCGTTCCTCTCCTGCCCACCTATCATCATCATCACCATCACCACCACCACCACCAGGCTCTGTTGCCCGCGTCCTGGCTACTACCGCTGCCATGCCTACCTACTCCTCAGAGGACGCCTGCACTGACCGTCCTGACGACCGGTCTCCTGGCCGTGACATCGGCCCCGCTTCACCTGACGACCCGTCTCCCGGCCATGGCATCGGCCCCGCTTCACCCGACGACCCGTCTCCTGGCCATGACATCGGCCCCGCTTCAGGCACCGGCCCCGCTTTAGGCCCCGGCCTCGAGATGGAAAAGGCGTACACCTTCTTCCTCGAGCTCCAAGCCACCAGGTACGACCCGACCAGATCCAAGGTCGAGACCCCGCAGCTGCCGCTCCGGCCCAAGCATTTCCTCCAGCTACAGCAACTCTTCAACGACGACCCCAGGTTCGCCTCCGTTCGCGGCAAGGTTCGGTACGTCTTTTGGCCGTTTCTTCCTCCTTTTTATTTACTATTTGCTGAGACCTCATCTCACACCTTGTAGCTGCACCTACGACTCGGAGACGGGCCTCCTCTCTGTGGCCCCGAGGACTTCCCACTTGCATGCCCTCACCGTCGACAAGCTGGCCATCAGGTTGTTCCGCGAGAAGCTCTCCGTGATCAAGCAGCTTGATGGTCCCACCGGCGACTTTGCGCGCGGCATCATCCACCTGCGAAGTTCAGATCTCGAGTTCATCAAGATGCGACCCAGCCATGGCGACAACGACGATGACAACAACATCCGAGTCTTCAGCACCGAGCCCGATGAGCAGTTCAGTCACCTGCGCGCCCCTTTTCCCGGCATCATCATCGAGGTCTCGGTGAGCCAGAGATGGGAAAAGGTCAAGGACAAGGCCGAGAGGCTCATGCGCAAGGCCAAGGGCAAAGTCGCGCTCGTGATCAACATCGACTATCCCGACCACGTCCATTCCAAGGAGGCGACTGTATCTGTCTGGCGCTCAAAGATCCTCCAGCACGGCCTCGGACCTGACGGAAACCAGCGTAGTTGGAGCTGGTCTCAGGAGGTCAACCAGGAGGTATGCTTGTTGCACATCAATCACCACTCACTTTTTACTGACTTTTGACATCTTCTCTTCCTCATAGAAAATCCAACACTGCGACGGCACCCCTGTCATCACGGATAAGACCATCCCCATCTCGCTGTATGAGTTTGCTCCCTTCACCGCCCACGCCTACAATGGCGCCGACGACATCGAGATGTCACTCTCTTTTCAAGAGCTCCGCTGTGTCGTTCATGAGGTCCAGCAGGAGGTCGCCATGATTGCCGAGGCCAAGAGAAACGCCGGACCCCCCTCGGAGGACGACTCGGAGTCTGATGAGGACTAGGAACCCGGTCAGGGTCTTTGATCGGCGAGAGATGGGCAGTGATTCCCTCTGGGGTAGATAGATGCACCAGAAAGCTGGATCAACTCGATGTGTAAGATAGCGTTGGGTGGGCTGGAGACACCCACAGGTGTTATGCAATGCAATCGCCCAAGACTGCGGACAGTCAGCCATTTACTCTGGTACTCTGAAATTATTATGCGTGACGTGCTTTGGGTGTGCTAGTGCATGTATGACGCCACACTTTGATATCAGGACAAACAAAACTTTGGAGATCTAGATCTTGGCGTAGACAGGGGCATGCCGGCTATGTCATTGGTTTACTTGATGGCTAGCTATCACATGAGCCTACCTAGCTTTCACGGCTTCCCCGCACTGCCTGAAGCCATTGGAGTTCCCTGGGCCCTCTCTAGAACCAGACCAGGAAGTCATCGTGACAACAGTAGAGGCAAGCGAGTGTGAGAAGAGTGTGTAGACATTAATACAGCCGAGAGGGAGACGCACTATGCGAAGAGCATCCTCTTCTCGTGCCTACCTCGCGTCGCCTTAGCTAATGTATCTATGTGGTGGGGAAATGTAAAATCCCCAGACCCTCTGAAGGAAAACGCCATCAAACGCCACACGCATGCATGTATAACACGACCACAATCCATCATCGTACATTTGTCGACCAAAAGAAAAAAGATGCGGCCTCTCTCACTCAGAACCAGCTCCTCTTCTTGGACGACGACATCTGCCGCATGACCCGGAGCCGCTGGAGCCTCTCCCGGTTCCGCGCCTCGAGCATCTCGGTCGCGCCCTGCTCCAGCAGGAAAGGCGGGTAGTTGCCGGCGGCGCTGCCGCCGTCCCGCTTCATCATCATGCCCAGGCCGCCGCCGCCGCCGACGCGCGCGCCGTTGTCCGCGCCGAACTTGACGCGCTGCACCTTGCGCAGCTTGACCAGGCCGTACCAGCAGACGAGGAGCGAGAAGAGCGCGGAGACGCCCGTGACGGCGCCGAAGCCCCAGTTGGTCTCCTCGATGAAGTTCTCGAGGTTCATGCCGTACAAGCCCGCGAGGAACGTGCCCATCGCGAGACCCAGCGTGCCGATGCTGAACTTGAGCTCGAGCAGCATCAGCGAGTTTCGGTTGGCGTCAAGGATAGCCCGGATACTAATTTTGGTCCGCAGAGTTAGCAAACAATAGCCCCACCCTCACACAAGTCACAAATCGATGAGTTGTACTAGGGGTGCACTCACATCTCCTCCGTGTTCCTGATGCCCGACACCAGACTGCCGGCCTCTTGCGCGACTTCGTCGCAGACCTTGTGGTAAGACTCGAGCAGCATCTCGACCTCGGTGTGGTCGTCCTCGCCCCGGTAGATGTCGTGCGTCTTCTCCGTCAGGTACATGGCCGCCAGGTCGTCGTCGGCCTCGAGCAGCTCGTCGATAGCGTCGCGGACCAGCTTGGCCTTCTGCTCGAACGTGCTCACCTTCTTGGACAGCACGAGCAGCATCCGCAGCTTGTCGCGCGTGATGTCCTCCTCCAGCTCGCTGAGGACGCGCAGCACGGGCTCCCGCACCGTCTCGAAATCGGCCTCCAGCTCTGTAGTGACCGACATCATAACCGCCTCTAGTGCGCGGAACTCGTAGGGAAGGCCGCCGGCACCCGGGGCCTGCTTCTGCTGCAGCTTGCCTTGCAGGTCGTACATGAAGGCCGACTGCGGGTAGGAGGTCTTGGATCCGTACACGTCGAATAACAAGACCCGGTCGTGCTTGATCAAGACCTTGAGGTGGAGTAGGTTGAGCAGGATAGCAGCGGGGCGCACAAGGATGTGCGGAAGGTTGGACGAGTCGATCTTCCGGAGATCTCGGGGCAGCAGGCCATACTGAAAAGATACAAAGTTAATTGACCATCTCAAGACTCACGAGCACCCTCCCTGGCCGAGGGATTGTGTTCTCACCTTTGCGATCAGTTCGCTCTTCTTGAACTCGCCATCAACCAAGATAACCTTGCCGTTCTCGTCCACTTCGGTGCAGCGCAGTCGAGGCTCGAGAGCTGATTTGGCAGAGAGCTGTCTCCTCGAGTTGAACATGAACATGTCGTCCAGGCTCTCGGAATGGGGTAGGTCATCGGGCTGCAGAGGGTTGATCTCGCGCCTCGCCCGCGAACCCCACAGCCTTTCATGCCAGACCTCCTGGTTTTCCGAGCCGTCCTTGCATTTCCAAGACCCGTATCTCCTGACCTCTGGCTGATCTGTCGTCGTGGCAAGCTTGGAGCGATACTTGCGCATGGATTTGGGGAGCACGGAGTCGAGGTCCCAGATGCCGGCCTGCATCACGGCATCTCGCCTAGCGACGGAGGTGCACAGCGGCCTCGTCGTAGCCTGCGCTGGCGACCTCGAGGCTATGCATTGCTGAGGAAAGTTTGAAGCTCGCGCTTGGATGCGACGCAGAGGGCTTCCTCCCGGGACAGGGCCGATGCCGAGAAAGAGTTGCTCGGATTGGGACCGGAGGAACCTGAGGAGGGTGTGTGAAGGCACGGGCGAAGTCAGGGCTGACGAGGGTGGAGGCGGCATCGCGCACACAGGCAGTTAGTCCGTGTGCCTTGGCCGACGGTGTGCTTCCCGAGACACCCAGCTGCGGGTTCTTCGCAGGTCGGGCCTTGGGTGGTGGTGTGTTGCCGTTGATGCGGATGCGGCGCGCGGATGCAGTGGGTGACGATATCGGCAGGTTTGGTGAGGAAATCTTTTGGGGAGACTTGGAGACAGGGCCTCGCGAATGTGGGTCCACCGTTCGTATGTTCACGGTGGCCGTGCACTGGGGTCTACAGTCTACAGCTTGAGCCTACATCGCGGGCCACTAGTGGTAGGTTAGGCACCTACAAGTAGGTAGCCCGTTTCTAGTTCCTCACTCCTCTGTAATAACAAGAGTGCTCTAAGCCTTCCAGGTCATTAGCGAAGCGGCGGCTAGGTCACTAGGTGCGAGGGCATGCGGAGACTGGATGCGCCCAGGTTGGTTTCCAACGGGCGCGCACCGCGCACACAAGAATACAGCCTCCCATTTGGCCAATTGGGACTCGTGCCCTAAGGTGGTTGGCTTTATTGCTCGCGGAAAGGTCTGGGTGCAATAGAACTAAGTCATGTATATATGTGCATGCCAATACGCGCGGCTTTCCACAAACCCAGGGTGCAGGCCCGGGAAGGGCTACCTATTTGCGCTAGGTATCGTGCTCCGCTACGGGGAACGAGCCCGGTGTACATCCTACATTCCATGATACAGTCTCGGCGACATGGGACATCGGACAGGGGCCCTCGAGGTCGGGCCGTGTCAAAGCATCGGCTATCGACGCAACGCTTTGGTGGCATCGAAAATCAGCATCAGCAGACGCCTTCACCATTCATAGAGCTGTCAAGATTGGCTATAAAGCTACCAGTCGGAAGAGGAGAAGGGGACTTGCATGTGTGTATGCGTCGACAACTCAACACGGGAAGAGACTGTCGGCGATCAACGAAAGACGATGGCCTAGACGGCGTCTGGGGTAGGACAGCACAAGCCAGGACAGGGGAGTTTGTCGATATTTCCATCCATCCAGACTCGCCAGGATAGTCAGCCACAAATCAGGCCGAGGTTCCAAGTGGCTGGCTGCAGCACACGAGCAAGAAAACGAAGGTAGAAAAAGCAAAGGGGACGAACTACCTACTCGACTGCATGCATCTGCGTCTGCCCGCATTCGAGGTCGGGAGGGGGGACTGGAACTGGAACTGGGACTGGGAACTGGGACTGGGAACTGACAACGTGCCTACCGTTGACCTAATCTGCACCCCCGGAAGAAGCACCGTCTGCAACGAATCACAATGTGATGGCACAAGCAGGAGATTGATATTTCTTCCCCCCAGTGCTCCCTTCCCCTCTCTCTTTTTTCCTTTCTCCATCGGCTATGTTCCCATTCCTCGACCTCGGTTTGTTCCAGATCGTGTGCTTGCATTGACCCTGGTCGTCGTGTTCGTATGCGCCTTTTTCCACATCTTATACTCTTCCTGCTTGTTGCATATTTGCCTCGACATACGGATAGCTTGACAATTTAGTGAGTCTGACCTTCCGAGCAAGCGCCTAAAGTCCAGCTTCCATCCGGCCTGTTCTGCTGCCTGCCCCGCCTGCTATTACGGTTCCTTAGCGTTCGTCCTAAGACCTTCCGGGCGGACCTTAGCACCCCCCAAAGATAGCGCCCGCCCTGAAATTGAGGGACCCCACTCTACGACATCGACACCAAAAGGTGCTTATTTTTTCTTATAGCGCGCCTCGTGGCGATTATTGAGGAACCTCCTCAAGCCTGGTATGCAATTACAAGATTCCTCGCATATTTTCACTTCTCTTGTCACCAAACGGACCTGCCTCGGCTTGCCCGATGGTATCCCTCTTAATTTCTTCAGCAGGCTTGGGGATCAGTGGAGGAGTGCGCGGGAGGTAGCCACACACACACACCAACACACCATGGAACTGACGCCTCTCAAGGTCAGGTGCAAGCGTCGCCTTCCTGGCGAGCCCAAACACCTCCCACGCCAGCTCAAGAAACGCAAGGTGGGCAGGATGGAGCAGTCTCTATCTCAACATGCTGCTGCCCAGAAGCAGAAGCGTGGCTCGCCCCTCCTGGACAAGCTGCCCACCGAGTTGCTCGAGCGCATCTTCGTCGAGTCGGGCAATGTGAACCTTACCCGGGCCAGCCATATCCTGGGAGCCAGACTGTCCAGCAAGGCCGTCTTCATGCGGATGATCCAACGAGCTTTTGCTCCCACTTGGGATGAGTGGTTCGGGTGCATCTCGCTCGAGGTTGGCGAGTACACGGACGCCTTCGGTGACGCCGACCGGTTTTCTGGGAGTCCCCAAGAACAAGTACGCATATCACACTTCCGCTACTGACGCACATAATGACTGACATGAGATGCACTGCGCCAGAGCGAGATTCTGGGCTTTCGCTGGGCAAAGGTACCCCTGCTTCTAGAGGCACAGCAGAGATGGCTGGAGAATCAGCCGCGAAAGGTTCGCCAGGAGAGGCGGTTCCAGCATCTTGCCGACTTCTACAAGGTGCCCCGTCGCATCATCCGCCGTCATCAACACGTGGGCACAAACCATGTCGACTCGGTACATGAGTGTTACAGGGTCGACTTTGAGGCCCACATCCATCGGCTCACGGTGCTCACGCCTGCCGACACGTATCGCGAAGGCCAGAACCGACTCTGTCTGCTGGACATGCACCCGAGAGTTCGGATTCCGGACTGCTTGCTGACTGGGCCCTATGGAGAAGACGAGGTGCATCTTTTGTTCTGGCTCGTCCGCGGCGGGACGCGTATAGCAGCTCAGCAGAGCTGGGAGGTACGTTGCCCCTGTGATCCCTATATCATGAGGATTGTGGTTTAACAGTCCATTACAGTTGACGCGGCAAGGCTTCGACCATATTCTCATGGACGTCGCGTCACTGGATCATGTCGCTATACTAATCCACATGTTTGGCATGCTCGACGTCTTCCTGACGCGGTGGCCGAAGTCCGTCTTTGAGCAAGCTGTCGCCAGAGTTGCCGAGCTGGCCCAAGACGAGAGTCACGAGCGCATCGCTATCTTCCAGTACATCCGGGCGTACTTCAAGCGCGTTACCGACGTCCGTGCCAACATCCAGCTGATGTATGAGCCGAAACCCGAGTCGGAGTACTACTACACCGAATCCGAATCCGAGGACGAAGATGTCGGTGACGATGAGGCCGACCAAGACATAGACGATGCGGCAACCGATATATCGCCGCCCAGCCAGGTGGCGTCCGAAACAACGCAGTCTGCAGACGCGGCTTCTGTGGCGCCTTCGTACACGTCCATCTTCTCGCCCGCAGCTTCGACCGCCGCCACGTCGTCAGCTCGTACGTCTATTTCGGAAGGCTCTCTTGCCGACCCATCCTCCAGCAAGACTGTGTGGGCCTCTGGGGCCATGTCATCCGGATGGTTTAATGAACCTTCGGCAAGCTAAGGTAGCTCATGAGACACAGGCTGGAAGGGTCTCTCTTATCCCTTTTTCTTTGGTGGCTGGGACTTGAACGAGACACGGTCACGTCTCGCAAATACCATTGCAGGCGGCGGAGTTTGGAGTTTCACCTGATATTTTTTAATGCAAGAAAGAACTGTCTAACCCACAGATGGGTTTGTCAGGACCCCGGCTCTCAACGGCTGGTCTCTTGCAATGGTTAATGATAAAAGTAGTAGTGTGGGTAGAGATTCCCCACGAGTAAGATTTACTACAGGCGCTGGATCACGGCCAGCATGCAAATGAACTCTTGTCTCAAAGACACCTCCTTCCCTGCCTGTCTCCAATTTGTGCCTCGCCACACGTGCGTTGGAAAGCGTACCGGACAATCAATGGCCCTTTCATAGCTAAGACATACAGACTTGGACAAGGCTTGCTCGCCCCTTGCGATCCCTGGAGCCGTCGTGTTTGCCGGGGGTCTCCGGCGCTTCCGTATGCGAATGGCACGACGTGCAAGGATGTCGCCGAGCACTAGTTGAGTGAGAGACACTTTTGTCTCGTCCGATGCATACATCACTGTTCGTGTCGGGGAGGGTTTTAGCCGCCCAGGAATAACGACGACAAAAGACAATGTGCACGACCGTGCAATTTTTCCTTCAGAAATGGGAAGAGAGGAGGAGGTCACATTCTCGGTGCTTCATGCCAAGAGGGTTATGCTGTTATCTGCACGATGCGAAAAGAACAGAACAAACTCACCAAAAACTCACGGATTAGCCGCCTACAACGACGGGTCGGCAGCAAGCCCCCCCTCCCCTCCAGTGCTTGTCCAATGGGCTCTGTGCATCAGCCGCCAATCCCCATGACTGTGGCGTTCGTTCTCTATTCATTTTGTGTGTGAAGACCATTCACTGCTGATGTGCATCCCCAATTTGCATCGGAAGACAAGGGAAGGATAAAACAAAGGTGTTTGTTGGTTGTTGTTGCGTGCAGCAGGTGTCCGCGCCCAAATTGAATCGACGCAAGATACATAGTTACACCCTTGGTGTGTGTGCCATTGCGATCCAGATTTCGTATGCCAACCTACCTACCTACCGGGGAAGGTAAACCCGCGCCCTCTCGCCTTGAACAAGGCAATTTTTCTCGATCGAATGGCATTCACATCCCTACCTACCGTGCCTTCCTCAGCTCCTCCTCGATGGCCACAATGTCTGCCCGTCATCCTCCTCCTTTGCAGTGACTTAAGGTACCTACCTGCCAGCACGTGACCAATAGAGAGATCGAACCCCACTTCGTTCCAGAAGCCTGATGGAACACGCAACTCTGATCTTAGCCCCTCCTGTCAACCAAGCCATCTTCGGTGATACCTACCTAGAGCGAATCTTCCCGTTTTAGGTCTTGCATCCCGAGCAGTGGGATGACTCACTCGGTCACGCCGCACCGATCCTTTCGCCCACAGCCTGCTAGGTACCATACCGCCTTGGGTACGATTGGGCTCTTGGTGCTCGTCATCGAAGAGAAAACACTTGTTTTTTTTAGGTCTTCGAAACACGCTGATCTCCAGCTGCCTGCCTAGCGGGCACCCTGGCACGCCTCCGCCTCTGCCTCCGTTGAGGTCGAGGTCGAGAGATCAGCGCGGGGAAACGCTTCACCACCCGGCGCACTCTGTCGGACAAATGACCCCGTTGTGTGTGTGTGTGTGTGCGCGCGAGATTGCCATTGCAGCCTGTCACTTGTTCGAATGCTTCATTCGAGTCAGATGCATGCAAAACACACATCTTTCACCTGACAAGTGAGAGAGGGGGAGGGAATCACCGAAGAACGCCGACAAGCTCCCTAGCTAAAAAAGTAATTTGTTCATTACGAACTCGACTGTCAGTAGTAGCTTGCGCTGCTAGCTTCGACAAAAAAGCTAATCAAAGAGACTTGCGGCATGCTAAAAGGTAGTCGAAAAAAGCCCTTTCCACCCTACAAAGACCCCTGCCGGGAGAATTCGTGAGAGCATCAAAGACACGTAGTTTCTCCAATTTTCAGGAGCTTCCCGTATCAAAGGAACCATTGGAGTGCTCCTCAGCGTCCATGATGAGGCACTGGCCGCCGTGTCTCAATGAGACCTTGTCGATGTATGTGGCGCAAGAGGCACCCTTTCCCATTACCCTTCCAACCCTCGTCCCGTCGCCGCCGCAGTCGCACCTTCATCACCCACACTAGTCAGGTACCAAACACCGACGCTGTGTTTTGACAGGGCGAGCAATACAAGCTCCTCAGCTCTTTCTTGATCGTACAATATAATGATTACTGCTCATCTCCGTGACTGCGCCGTTGGAAATGCCGAGTACCTTGCCAACCCATTCCTGGTCCCTAACCTATGCATGCAAAACGAAACACGCTTTTACTCCTTCCTTGGCCGGCGTCTAGGTTTCGTGTCTATAAAACTCGATGTCCTTCCAAGGTGGGATCAAAGCCCTGCTGCTCTCCTCTTCTTCTCGTCCCCGTCTTTCTGACAAAGAAAAAAGTATGCAATGCGCTTGCGCTGGAGGGCACCCGTTCCGTCATGTAACGGAGCCTCGGGAAAATCGCCGGTCGTACGTAGCCTAGTTGAGAATACCAGCCCACATACCAGGTCCGCCCACGCCGCCCATAGCGGAGTGGAGTGAGGACATGCCATAAGGCTGGAAGGCTTCGGCGGAGCAACAGACACGCTTGCGACCCTCGTTCAGATTTGCCCTCACAGGGATTTGCTGGCTGTCAGAGTTTGTGCGGATTTCCAGTCTAGGCCGCACCAACGTATCGGGCCACGAGCGCTCACGAGTGAGCTGACCCTTCAACATGTCGCGGACATTGTCTTGGAGCGAGTTGTCCATAGACAGCGGGCGGCTGCGCTTTGAGCCGGCCTTGACGGCGACAGGCTGCTGCTGAGCAGGCAGGTTGCGGTGAGAGTTGTGCAAATCTTGCAGAGCTCGGGCGGCGTCGTCCATCTCGCGCTCTCTCTGTGCCAGGGGAGTATCCAGCGACATGTCAACCATATCCTTAGCCACCGGGCCGGTGTAAGAATCGGGAGACGAGCTGATACGGTTCTCCTCGTAATCTTCTGGGACCGAGGCAACAGTAGGTTTCAGGCTCAGCCTCTCACCACAAAGCTTCGCATACCGGTATCGCGCCTGAACATCCAATTTGGTTGACGGCGCGCTGACCAGCGAAGAAGCAGATGAGATGGAAGAAGAGCGTGAAGTTCGGGACGAATCCGAAACCATTGACTCGGGAGAAGAAGCGGTGGAGATCGAGTTGGCGAGCGAGGAACGGCGGGTCGTGAAGTAACCCTGCGGAGATGTGTCCTGTGGGGCAGCCCACCGGTCGAGAGCTTGGGTCGCATGATACTGCGAGGCTTGCGCCAGTGCCAGGCCCATCGACGACGACTTTCCGAGAATAGTGGTCGCAGCACTCGCGGCAGGAGTGCTGAGTTCAGCGGATTGAGGCGTGAGCCTCGGCGTAGGTAGAAGGCCTAGTGCCGGAGCCACCCGACCGGCAGTGTATCCCGCAGCCGGATGAGGCTCCATAGGCAGAGGCGTACCAAACGATTTGGGCATCGGAGTGGCCTGGTCGGCCGCTTCATACCCGAAGTAGCAAGGTCGCTCGGACCTGGCAGAAAGGAGAGACCTTGGGGAGACGACCGAGAAGTCATGCGATTTGGCAGACGCGGGCGTACAAGGAGCCAGGTCGTCCACGTTGTCCAACTCGGGGGTGAGCTGCAAGATGATCTTCTTGAAGTCGTCGCACTGTCGCTCGAAGTGCAGCTGAGCAGCACCGCCGGGCGAAGGCGGCTGTGGAGGGGTAAATCGCATGACACAGTCGGTCCAACGATTGTAGACCTCCTCAGTGATGTGCAGGCTCCAGTTTACAGCGTGAAGGAAAGCCATCTCGTTCTGGAAAATTTCCTGGGTCGCCAGGCCGGATATCTTGCTCCACGCTCGGGCAGAGTAGTTACGATCCTGCAGATACTTGGAGGCCAAGATCAGAGCAGCAAGGAACATCCTTCGGCCGCACTGCAGGGCGCGGGTGGCATGGGAATCCTCGGGCTGTTCCATGGTGAAATCATGGTCTGGGACGTGAGGCTTGATCAGGATGAGATAATAGAGAGCAACTTGCAGCGTCGAGTAGCTGGTACGAGATCTGCGAAGCGTCTCTTGGATGAAGGTGCGCAGAGACAGCATGCCGCTGCTCCCGCCATCATTACGACAGATGACCGACGAGGTTGGCCAGATGGCCTCAACAATCTGCGTCGATGAATCTGAACAACACAAGGTTAAACACACGAAAGCCGGGATGTTGCTGTGACCTGACATGGCTTACCGACAAGGTTGTCAACAAAGTTGACCTTTCGGTCGACCTGTCGAACTAGTTGCGGAGGGCATCCGGAGCGCGAAGTTGCCGAGTGGCTGGTCCGGCGAGGGTTCTTTCGAAGTTCGGATGGGACAGTCTCGACATTGCGTGCTGGCGCGCAAGAAGCGTCGGAAAGTTGAGAAGAGAAAGCCAACTGGGAGTCGCAGTCGGAGGTGGGCGCGGAAATAGTCGTGTCGAGGGAATTCTGAGAGGATGCGACAGACCAGACAGAGCCGGACGAGGCTGAGGCTGAGGTCGCTAGTGAAGAACAGTAGGGCGCATTGGGCGCGTTATGCAGGTGAAGGGTGTTGCTGATAAAGGCAGGCGAATCATATTCGTCGTGCCTCATCTTGGTTTAGCGTGGGTAGAAGTGGTCCCCAGAAAGATGCCTCCAGTCGCCGCCAAGCAGAGTTGCCGATAAATCGTTTTCGCAGTAGACAAAATCGTGAACCTATCGAGACACGAGTCCTGCAACAACCGGCATGAGATGGGCGCGGGTTGCTGAAGGGACAGATATCGAGAAAGGCAGAAGGCTAGTTAGACAGAGACGTCTTGAGCCGACTTTCACGAACGATCAGACCGGAGAACAGGGCGAGGCTGGCGACTGGAGTGGTAGAAGTAGTGAGTGCAAAATGCATCGTTGACAACACTGTCGTGATCATAAGAGCGGAGAGTGTCGAGTCGGTACGGCGAGGCTAGCGCTCAGACGAACCTAGCCACCATATGTACGACTGAAGAAAACGAGGAGCGGAGATTTGGATACGGGTGGTTTTCGGAGGCCGGGTGGTCGGCTGTGTGTGTGGCGTGGGCGAGGGCCGGTTGGGGTTGGGGTTGTCGTCGATGGGAGGGTAGGGTGAGGGAGTTGAGGATAGGTAGATAACCGACGAAGGGCGACGCGGGTGGACGGGGCGAGAACGGAGGATGCTGGGGAGGTGAGGTCTGAAATAAATGAGAGGAGATAGTGTGACTGATGACTCTTTGTTGGAGTACTGTGGCCTCAGGGGCGAGCAGGACCTGAGAGATAGCGTGTAAGTGACATGGCCCAAACGACTCAAAGTGTGTTGGATGACTCTTTCGCCCGGATGTTTGGCACCAGTGGCGAGGACGATTCACAGCGATGACCGGCGGGCGGTAACTGACGGGGGAGAGAGAGAGTGGAGGGGGACGGGCAGAAGACCCAGGTGGCTCCAACTGGTGACGGTGCCAAACAATCGTGGTTTGCTATGGGCGTGGTGTGACTGGGTAGGGGAGAGGGACTGGAGCGGGTGGGAGCCTGAAAATGGATCCCCCTTTCCGGAGGGCAGAGTTGTGGCGAGGACTAGCGCAAAGTTTTTGGCTTGCGACCGAGCAGGCCAGATGAGTCCTCGGATTGGGCGACACGAGGGCGAGAGCAGGCTGGGTAAGATGGGATGGGAGACAGGCAGGGGGGAGCGGCGTGAGAAAAGGTGGAGCTTGGCTTCGGAGCCCCCATAAACAGAGTGTGAAAGGTTGACTCGCTGGGCTAGACTGTTTGACTAACACGGCACACGCGCACACCCAAGTCCTCCCTCTCCCACCCCGCCAAGAGGCAGGGGAAGAGGGATTCGTTTAGCCACCGCCAGCCAAGGCATATCGAGTGAGGAGTGGCCCGGTGAGTTTGGAGAAAGCCAAGGGTAGGTGAGTGAATCAGTGTGCAATGGAAATTGAAGGGATGAATGAGTGAATATGCGCATGAGAAGACGGTCGGGTGGGGTGAGTGAGCAGTACTTGTGAATAATGCCTAGAAAAAGAAGACGTCTTGGCCGCCGGGAGGGAAGAAGAGGTGAGAATGAACAAGAATGGTATCGACTTACCCTATTTCAGATCACGAAGGGCAAAGAAATGATGAGTCTTGTTCGAAATCCGGTCTTTTTGCCTCTTTTCTTCTCGTTCCCTACTTTTTACAGTCTGGGAGTGATCACAAGAAGAGGATAGGAAAATGACCAGATATAGCGGATCAGGACAGGCTGTTCGGAGGTGAGGTGCTGGTGCGGTTTGTTGTTGTGAGTGCTGGAATAGTCACCCGACGTTTGGTTTTTTTCCTTTCTCTTGTTCTTTGTCGCAGGTGCAAGTCAATGCCACGCGAGAGAAGACTGATGAGACTGAAGGTGAAGGTGCCAGGCAAACAGGCCAGGCCACACACAGACAGACACGAGTCGGATGAGATTGGAGGCAGGTATAAAGAGGAAAATAGAAAGGGAAAAAGTGTCGACAATGAACCGGGATCCAAAGCTGCAAAGGAGAAGAATAGTACAATGGGTTAATCTCTCAGGCAGACTACAACGAGTCGCTCCGGTCTTCTAGATGGCGTATTCGAACATGGCGGACAGCTGTTGTTCGATAATAAGGGGAGGGGAGAGGAGGAGATGCAACACCGGGAGATGGGACTGCTGGTAGTTTTGAATGATGCCGGCCAAATTGGGGATTTTCTCTGGGGGTGGGCGCGAGGATGGCAGGATGGGTGGACGAGACTACACTACGAAACTGGGACTTGCTTCTGCTGGCTGGCTGTCTGCTTGTCCTTCCCAGTCCCCTCGCTCTTCCCTCTCGACGATCGGATCTCGAGCAGTTAGTGGCTGCGTGGGCTAGTTACCTGGGCCATCGGCCAGCCCCCGTACAATTACTGCGGGCGCACCTCGCCCATACAAGTAGAGTTTCATGGCGTGGTACTTTGCAGGAGGGCCCACTTGTTGGCGGGCAACCACTCTCTGCCAGTTCATCCATCCAAACCACCCACAATTTGCAGCAGTCCCCCCTGTCTAGCGCCTCCAAGACTCGCCAGAAAGCGGTTTAGCCTCCCTCGCCGGCCCCCTCTGACCCAGTGCGAAACGGGCCCACGATGACGAGCAAGAAGACCGTATGGAGTAACGAATGGACAGGGAGCCACCACCCTGACGAGTCACTCATGGGTCACCCATCTCTCTCACACCTCGTACACACTGACTAACACCGCTCACAGCGAGCCTGTGGTGTGGTAGCTCTCACTCATTCAGATTGCCCCTCAGCTCATCCATCCGGTCTATCCATCACGCCTCTCTGCCTGGTGAGCCGTTCATGTGTGGATGGATGCTGGATCTTTGCTTCACCTCCGTCTAAACAAACACAAACACATGGTTATATACAAACATGAGGAGGTTACCAGGCCCTGAGGATTGACTTTGAAGCGCACAAACAGATGTTGAGAGCCTGAGGCCCCCGAGTCCTCATTCGCACGACACTCCCGATACATGGTCGATAATGAAGTGTGAATAGTCCCATCATAGTTGCACGAGTAGAGGCTGTTAGTTGACTTCAGGCCGGCACTTTCCCTCCGTGCCATTAGGATGTATTATCTTGGATGATGGCTGACTGGCCCAGGTGCCGCGCGGAAGGCGAGCACAGCCATTCGCTCAGCTCCATGCAAGCAGGTTGTTTACCGCATAGCCCATCAAGCCCTCTCTCAGACAACCCCCCCTCCAGTCCTGGCCAGGCAGTGCTCAGCTCTGCACTGTCTGGGCTTTCATGCCTCCACCATGCTGTCAGTCTGGAGAGTCTGGTAGCTGCCCGTGCAGTTCTCGTGGATCTTTCCCCTGTCTGTTTGATGTTGCTCTATTTTTCGCCATGATACACCGCCAGCGGAGTATGGAGTCGATCAGGACTAGGTAGACTGCCTCAACTGCCTAACACCTCTCTCACTGCCTAACATTCTGGTACCTAATCCGGACACCTCGACCTGGACTCGACTAGGTACCTACCTGCCTTCTTGACACACACCCCGCCTGGATGGCTCTCTCCCCTGCCGCCTACACCTGAGGCAGCCATGCCTTGCATATGGCAAGGTGTCCAGTCAGTCACCTCTGCGTGATGTACAACAGGATTCTGGCTTGACCTACTCGGTGTGGTGGTACCTGCCCAAACTGCCTTGTGCCCCTGCTCCCCCAGATACAGTGCTGCTGTTCTGCAAAAATGGAACTCCCCTTCACGTTTTTGTTATTCATTTCATTGCCGTCGGTTGCTTCTCTGCCTGCCAAACATCGTCGACACCTGCGTGTCGGAGATTACAAAGCCTGCCCAGAATACGAATACCTGCCCTGTCTCGGATACTGCGGAAGCCTGCAAGAGACCGGCCACCGTGGATGGGAGAGCTCGCGGTGCCCAGGCACGCTGGCTGCAGCTTAGGGGTACGGACTCTGCACGTACCTGCACGTTGCGCCCGCCGTAGTTCCTTGCCAGTTACGCAGTTTCTCTGGAGACCCACCCTTGTGTGAGAGAACGACGACGCGTCTTGATCCCAAAAAGGTGTCGATGGCTCAGCGAATGCATACGGCTGCGAGAAATGGGCGTCGTTGTGAAAGAAAAGAAGAACCCGCGTGTTAAGATGAGATCGTTGACACCAGAGGTTTGGGGAAACAGTCTCGTCTCCCAAAAGGCAGCGCAGGCGGGCTACCCTCGCGGTAAAGACCTTACCTTTTGCGAGGCAGGCAGGTCGAATCCCTCTGTCTCTTCCGCGGGTGTGGTGGCCCTGGTGGCCCAGTGGGCAAGGCGCCTGAAAAGTATGCACACTGTGCAGCCTGCGTTTGGGGATGCCGCAATATCTGAGACAAGCCCATTTACAGGTTGATCCCGCCCATTGTTCCTCCAACTCATCTATTCGACGGTTCACTGTCTTGATTGGTCTACGGCTGTTTCCCCATGAAAAGCCAGCTTTGGTTGCTCTCCGTCCCTCGCCGTAACCCAAAACTGCTCGCCGGATGGATGCGTTCAGAATGAGCCATGCGGAGTTTGGTGGGAAGGAGAGCGACAAAGAAGACGACAGGTGCTTTGCATACGAACAACAGACAAGAGGGAAAAAGGCCCCATCGGACTTTTCTCGGGTCTGCTTGCTTTCTTCTCTGAGGAGATCTATTCAGGTGAGCAGGCACCATGTTCGCGAAATTTCCATTCAGCCGTCGGTCGGGCAATGATGACTCAAGAATCTCCTGGTGAGCAGAGCACTTTTTGATGACATTCAGGACTTGCCAGGCCATGCCATGCCATGCCCGTAAGCAGCAGCGATTACGCCTTGCCTGGTAATCCCTCTCTCCAGGCCAATAACGAGAGGCTGCGTGACCACTCTGTGGCTGTTGAATCCAAGCTGGAGAGTTTCTCCGCATGGACACAACATCCCGGTGCACTTACGCTTCACCCCATACTATTGGATAGAGTGTCTCGAACGCTGGGCGATGAGGAAGAAAGAGGCTCCGAGCTAGATACGGAGTAGATTGGCCGAAAGCGGCCTGCTACCTCCAAAATGAAGATACAAGAGTCCTCATTCGACGGCACTCCCTTCTTCTTCGCCGCTCGCTATCCAACACGAGCAACAGAGGATGGCGAGCATTCGAGCGAACAGACGACACTTCCATCTGAGTCATCATTCAGGTAATTCACAAGGAGTGGAGCAGAGTTTGACCCGATCTGATGGTCGGAGCCAAAGAGAACCTAAATAGCAAAGCGTGGTCCGTAAAATCCCGCGGCCTGATTGCGTGGAACTTGCCTTTTCTTTGCCTAGTGCCCAGAACGAATGCAGGTATGCTTCTCGAAGGATGCCGGATAGAGCCAACATCAGTCGTCATTATCGCGAGACTTCCTTGTACAGCCTGGGTGCGCCTTTATCGGTTCCAAAGATCCGACATTCATGGTGATAGGTATTATTGTCCTATCGGTAACAGTGGTACTGTCGTGTGCCTCATTAGCAGAAACACAAATCGAGATGCTCTCGCCACAATGCCTTGATCGAGATGTAATTCAGCTACTCCGTTCCCCCAACATTTCCCGCCGCATCTTCATCCAGGCGGATGAGACCGAGGAAGCCTGTGGCTAGTCTACCGATCCCATTGCCACCTTGATGCAATGATACGGTCCCAACAGCCAGACAAGCTCGCCCTCTGCACCCTGACGTACCTGCATGCCTTCGGTTTTGCCCGTCGTCCCAGAAACGCCGTTCATAAGCGTTTGTTAGTTTTCAGCAAATGCTTCCCGGATCATGACAACATCAGGGTCAGTCAGGCAGACCCCCCCGGTACGGGTACGAGTTAGGTTTCCCCAAAGTAAGCCATCCCCCCGGTTCTAAGATCTGGGGGGGACGTTATCTCTTTCGCTCCGGAGTCGGGCAGTGAGTCACCACCACCACTCGTTTGCCTCGAACAGTGACTGCCAGGATAACGATACGGAGGCGCGGAGGCCGCCCCCCTCCCCCACCCGTGTAAGCGCCAGGTAGACAATTCACGCCGTCCGTGCAAGTTTGCTCTGCCCCAAACGCCAAGAACCCGGGTTTTGCGAGGATTGCCGTGTGCAAGCAAACGGATACACATGACCTCCGGACCCTGCTGGTGATGATGCTGCGTAGCCTTGGAGGGTGTTCCAAGATGGTGGGCCCCTCGGACTTCAAAAGTCCATCGAGACAAAAAGGCAGCTGGGGGGTTGATGACGGAAAGGCATGGCTCGCTTATTTGGGACTGGGGGAGGCGAGGCTATGGCAGGCTGCCGGGCGTGTGTCAAGCAGGCAGTGCCGTTGTCGCGACATCGTGACCAGAAAAAAGAACAAGGGAGCCGTCGGTCATCCGCCTCAGCTGGCCAGGCATAATTGCCACCACGTTAAGACTTGGGGAGCTGGAAACCACCTCATCCGAGGCGTCATTGTGATTCAGACGAAAGAACAGATAGCACTGTCATGCCGGTTTCCAGCCAAGGACTGTGTCACCCGTCCATGACTCCGTTTTGTCACGGGTTTCGGCCGGCCAGCCAGCCAGCCATCCTCTTCCGCAAGTCCGATGGCCGTGATCTCCTAGTGGCAAGAAATAAGCTTGGGAAAGCTGGTCATTCAGCCCTTGAGCAGGTTCCGAGTGAATAAAAGACGTCATACCACATCTATGAGACACCGGGTTGCCTCTGGTGTTTTCCTCGAGAAAGGAGAATGGGAAACCTTCTCTTGGATTATTCGGATCCACCAACTTGAACCACGCACGCATGGAGCAACGTCGCAAAAGTTCGTTACTGAAGATTCCAAAGAGCAGTATGATTTCTTGGTCGGGGTGGCGGGCATCCCAAGATCGTCTTGGCTACCAGCTCTCCATTGCAACAAGGTGACGCTGTTCATCGATACTATTTTCAGACCACCATTCCACACGATATATCTTGAAGGCAATAGGGCACGTAAAAGTAGATAAGAAGTCGTGGAGCTGGAGTATCAGGAACAAAGGGGTGTACGATATATTGTCCCGTTTGTTGGCTTTATCATATTTGCCCCTTTTTGAGAAAGACGTGAGCACGAAAGGTCAGAAACTGAGAAACGTAACTGAACACGAAAATCAATTCACTGCACGGAGTTTCGGGACCTTGAATTACACACTGGGAAAAACGATGCGGGTGTTTAATTCATAAGATATACATGAGTGTTCGCGGACAAGCAAGACTCAAGCTCAGCATGAACTCTTCTCTCCTTGGCAGATTTTCCCTGAAACCCCTTTTTCACCACGGGCGAAGAAAAAGGAAAGAAGCCAAGCCCACAATCATCCCAATGAGAAAAACCAAGCCCATGAAGCGGGCCGAACAGCCAATCTTTGCAAATAGAAACATGGAAAAGAGCCATAAACTTCCAGACCAGTAGATTTACGAAGCCATGTAAGTGCTGGCATCGATGCCCTCCTTGGGAAACTCACTAGTGCCAAAGTCAGTAACAGATAAACTAATCGTGATTGGGAGAGAGAGTGTAAAAACGTACGGAAGGGCAACCTCGAAGCGCTTCTCAATGGACTTGAGGACCTCCTTGTCCTGATCGTTGCTCACAAACGAAATCGCAAGACCCTTGGTACCAAAGCGGCCAGCACGACCGACACGATGGAGGTAGGAATCAGCGTCCGCAGGGAGATCGTAGTTGATGGCCAGGTTGATACGCTCGATATCGATACCACGGCCGAAAACATCGGTAGCAACGCAAATACGCTTGTTGAACTCCTTGAACTCCTTGTAGCGTCGAATGCTGAGGCAGAAATGGTCAGCAGGTACCATCTTGGAATCGCGGGATAGACTACTTACCGCTCCTCTTGGCTCACGCCCGAGTGCACGGCGATGGAAGGGAAGTTGCACTCCCGAAGGAGCTTGTCGAGCTCGGTGGCACGCAGCGTGCTCTTGACGAAGATGATGACCTGGTTAAACTGAAGCTCATCAAGCAGCTCGTTGAGCTTGCGGTTCTTCTCGCGCTCCTCAAGCGGGATGTAGTACTGCTGAAGACCGTGCAGCGTCAACTTGGTGTCCTCGTCGACGTAGTGCTCGGTGGGATTCTGCATGAACTTCCGGCAGATGGGCTTGATCTCGTCCGACAGCGTCGCGGAGAACATCATCACCTGCTTCTGAGTGGGAGTGGCACGGAAAATCTCCTGGACATCACGTCGCATATCTGGAGACGTAGTCAGCAGCCATATCTTGCTAGGGTGTAGAGTTGAAGCAGCTGGAAAGACACGTACCAATCTGGTCAAGCATCTTGTCGCACTCGTCCAGAACGAAGATGCGGACGCTGCCAAGGCGGAGATACTTGTCCCGGACGAGCGCGTTAAGACGTCCGGGAGTACCGACGATGATGTGGGGGTGAGTGTCCTTGTTCTTCAGGACTTCGGCATCCTTCTGGATAGGGGTACCACCGTAGAAGACACCAGTCTTGATGTCTGGCATGTACTTGGAAAAGCGGTTGTACTCGTTGCGGATCTGGAACGCCAGCTCACGGGTGTGGCACATGACCAGGACCGAGCATTCGCCAGCAACGGGCTCTACCTGCTGCAGAGTCGTGAGGACGAAGACAGCAGTCTTTCCGAGACCCGACTTGGCCTGGCAGATGATGTCTCCACCAAGCATAGCCTGAGGGATGCAGGTCTGCTGGACTATTGATTCGATCGAAGTTAGATTCAGTGGCCTCAAAACGTAAACGAAAGGCGGAAGGGGAGTTTCGAGCTGTCCGTCCGTCGTCGCAGCACTATCAAAATCGCAGACCGAAAGAAACCATCCCCGGAGAACCGAACAAGCAAACTCGAACAGCCACCCGCGATCGCTAAGTAGACGAAAGGGATACCGCTGGCAATGTCCAGAGACGAGGTCCGGTAGACCTCAGTGAATGGCCAATGCCAGAATGGGCGCCGCCGCCGAGATCAAAGGCCGATCAGGTCCACCGAGGCGAGCAGCGAGATGTTCTCGACAGCACAAGGCCTGCCTGCCACAAGTTCCAACCCCCCGAGGGGCGGATTTCTCTGCTGTCAAGGCCTTCAGAAAGCCTATGCGGAGTACTGGAAGCATCCGAGCATTGTCCGGCAAAAACAGCCAAAACCTGGTCTGACCATCGTGTCCTGACCGCGAATTTCAACGGATAGCCTGTGCGGGCCATCAAATTCCACTGCGATTCCCCCCTTGCCTCTGGAAGGCATATAGATTCTCCCTTTCTGCTCCTTGCGAGATGGATGGACGGACAGACGGACGGACGCTCAAAGACTGTGGGGAGGGTAACTTGGTTTGGGAGATGTGGCTTTGAAAATGTCAAGACTAACCCTCCGAAGGATGCTCGAATCCGCAGTCGCCGATAGCGCGAAGAAGCTCGGGCTTCAGAAGGAAGTCGCGGAAACCAGTCGAGTGAATACCGACATAGCTGCCCTTCTTGTCGACGTTGTTGCCAGCGCCGGCAAGGTCGCCCTTCTTGCCGTTGGCGGCGGGGGCGGCAGCCTCGTTAGTGTTAAGCTCCTCGTCGGAGTAGTCGATGAGATCCTCCTCGGCAGACATGTTGGATGCTGTGGTAAGGGAGTAAGAGATGGAATCGAGCTGGGTTGGATGATGGATGGATAGCTGCAGGCAAGCTGTCGCAAATGGTCTCCAAGAGTTCGACGTAAACAAACGGCGCACGGGTTTGGCGGAAGAGAAGAAGAACCAAGGAAACCGACTTGGATTCGGTGTGAAAGAATTCAGAGCTCGCAGAGACTCAGAAGAGGGAGAGGGCACGCAGGATCGGGGGAGTGAAGAGACTTGCGTGGCTCGATGGTGGTTGATGGAAGGTTGAAGGTGAGGTGAGATGGGAAGTTGGCGATGACAGGGGTGGCCCAGGCGTAAAGTAAAGGTGGGAAAAATCAGAAAGACATGGACCGAGTGAAGGGAGGCTGTGGAGGTGGGATGCCTGAGAGATGGGTGCCTCACCGCCCTGCTAGTCCGGAAAGGGTTTGGCCTCGAGCTAGTTAAGCTCCCAGCTCCCATCTCTACTTGTATGTGCTGCACGGACCACGCCCTCACACTTGTAGGCTCCAGTCCCCGTTTACACAGTTGTGGAGCAGAAAGACCTGGAACTTCTCTCATAAATTGTTCATATATATACGGAGTACGAGCACCCTTTGCTTTTTTCCTTTGCTCCTGTTGTCTCCGTCTAAACAGAGCAGGCCCTAACAAAACTCCGCGATGGCCAAGGGAAAGACTCCGGTTGGAGTGCACAATAAACACCTCTACAGCCGTCTCTCCTTTCTCTATCAGGCCGCAGCACACCTCGCCGAGGCGAGCAGCAACAGGAAAGAGCCTGCTGCCAACGACGATGCGACAGGCAAGCCAGGCGAGACCAGGCACCCGGCGCCTCAGCATCTAGAAGGAGTGTCCCGGCGCCTCGCCACAGACTTCCGCGCAGTGGGCCTGAAGACGCAGATCCGCGCCAGCCCCTCGATGAAGCGCACCATCTGCAAGTCCTGCGATACCTTCCTCATCGAGGGACAGACATGCACCTCGGCCGTCGAGAACAAGAGCAAGAACGGCCGCAAACCCTGGGCAGACACGCTGGTCATCAGCTGCAACACCTGCGGCGCCCAGAAGCGTTTCCCTGTCGACTCGCCTAGGCAGAGGCGCAAATCACAGCGGCGTTCACCGGCAAGCGGCCAAGTCACGGTGCCGGACGAGAAGGTTGCATGAAAAAAAAGGGGGTTGCTACCATTAAGTGGAAAAATTATTCTATGGGCCGGTCGTCATCAACACTGCACCGTCGATGCTCTCCGCAGTGTACATATCATTACTTTTTTTTTCTTTTCATCTTTACAGCCGCTCTCTCTCAGCTACGCCTACACCTCAGCTGTTGCGCAGGATGTTGACCAACCCCTTGGCCTTCTGCGCCCCGCCGATGCCGTAGCCCACCTCGACGACGCCCCTCGCAAAGGACCAGCTCTTGGGCTGGCTCTTGATCGGGTAGCGGATCGGAGGCGGGATGCCGGTCCGGATGCCCAGCCAGCCGAACCGGTCCTCACATATGCTCTTCATGTTGCACACGGACCTCAGGCCCTCTTCGGCAGCGAAACGGCCAAAGCCCGAGCCGCCGACACCGCCGAACGGCAGCTGCACGGCGTAGAAGACTGCGAAATCGTTGACCGCGACCATACCAGCCCTGACACCGCGGACCACAGCCTGAAGAACCGGGTCCGAATCAGCGCCAAAGACGGCCGAGCCGAGACCAAAGTTGGGCGCGTTGGCAATGCGGAGGACGTCCTCGGCCGAGTTGGAAGGCGCTTTCATGATCGTGAGGATGGGGCCAAAGCATTCCTCTTGGGCAATCGCCATATCCGGGGTCACGTCGGCCACGAGGGTCGGAGTAAAGTAGTGACCCTTGGGGTGATCGGGGTGGTTGTAGCGCTTTCCGCCAGCCAGCACGCGTGCTCCGTGCAGCAGCGCGTCGCCGACCAGACCCTCCAGCTGGGAGAAACGGTTGTCCGAGATCATGGCACCCACGTCTGCGTCCTGACCGAGGCGCAGGGCCCTGACCCTCTCGACCAGGAGGCCCAGGAGCCTATCGTAGATAGCAGGCGTCACAATAACACGTTCAATTCCAATGCAGTTCTGGCCACTGGCCTGGAATGTCCCTCTGAGAATGACCTCGGCGATGCTCTCCAGCCTGCCGGCCGCCGAATCCAGGACGATGAACGGATCTTTCCCACCCAGCTCTTGGCAAGTTGGGATCATGGCCTTGGCAGCGGACGCGGCGACCTTCTGAGCGACAGCCTGAGACCCGATGAACGTGATGTGGCTGACCTTGGGATGGCTAGTGATATGGTTCGCCGTCTGGGGCCAGCACACGATCGTCTGCACCAGGGCGGGATCGTGGCCGTGCGCGACGAGGGCGCCCCGCACGATGTTGGTAAAGTGCTGCGAGCTCCAGGCCGTCTGCTCCGAGACCTTGACGACGATGCCGTTGCCCGCGAAGATGGACGAGATCATGGGGCCGACGAGGTTGTGGAAGGGGTAGTTCCAGCTCACGAGGGCGGCGACGACGCCCATGGGCTCGTAGACGACCGTGTTCCTCTTGTACGACATGAGCAGGTTCGTCGGCCGCCTCGACGGCTTGAGCGCCTTCTCGCCGTGCTTGATGACCCACTGCAGCTTCTCGGTGGTGACCAGGATCTCGCCGAGCTGGGCGTCGACCATGGTCTTGCCCGAGTCGAGGCACGCGATGCGGCAGATCTCTTCCTGGTTGTCGAGGACGTACTGCAAGAGGGTCGAGAGGACGTGGCGGCGCTGGCGGAACGTCGTGCGCGCCCACTTCGCCTGCGCAGCTTGGCATTGATCGATGGCGCGGTCGATGGCATCGGGAGTGGACGGGTTAACGAAGCCGAGGAACTGGCCAGTCGCCGGAGCGTAGCATTGGACCGCTGTCGAGCCGGACGCCTACGATGATAGATCTCGGGTCAGTATTGGACGACTTCTATGTACTATCAGTGACCAGAGATAGATCAACCCACCTTGATGCTCGGCTTCTCTAGGATCTCCTCCTTCTCGGGCAGCTTGGGTGACGGGATCTTGTATCGAATAGGCGTGTCAGATGTGGTCGCGCTGTAGACGATGTAGAGAATGATGGCCGCCAGAGCTGTCCAGATGGCGGGCCACGCAACAGGAGGGATCTGCACTGGCCTGGAGGGACGACATGTTCGTTAGCTGTGGTAGAGTACGACCGCGAAGTTGAAGAGTGGCAATTACAATTTCTCTTGAAGCCAGGCCTCGACCTGCCGCCAACCTCCCTCGAGCGCCTGGTTCGCCATTGAGTCGTCGGACGCTCTCTTTCGTGCTCCTGGTGGGGGTTGCTTCGAGCTTGAAGGACGAAATGGAAAAGGGTATAGCTTGTAGCAAGGCTGTTACCCGACACCAGCTGGGAGATTCGAGCCGTTTCAGTCAAAGGACTACCGTGCTCGGCTTGATTGAGCTCCTTGAGGCGAGAATCAACCTGTCGGGAAGCTCTCGTGGAAATTTTGTCTGGTCGGCCTTCAATTGCGACCCATCTAATGGTTGTCCAGGGGTTCGCTGGCGATTACCTAACACTATCTAGGGGTGGTGTGGTTTTTCGTTTGTACCTGCATCGGCTCCAGGCCAAGCCGTCCACAGAGTGGAGCAAGAATGATCAATGATATTGCGCTGCCCATCACTTCAATTGAGTGCCTACTGTACAAGTACTAGAGCAAGCCGACGGAGTTTCTGACCGGTAATCGCCTCAAATTGCTGGTTACGGATGATGAAAGTATTCCGTGTCATTTGTAAGCCAGGCACGCCGAGTAAGATCCAACCATGGGAAGCTCATCGTTTGGCACTGTCTGTGAACTAAGTTTTACGTATGCTATATTCTCTTTTTGTTCTTCAAATGAGGCGACCCCCATCCATCCCGTGGAAACGCCGTGCAGTATAAGTAGCAAAAACATGCATAACAATAGACAAACGTAAGGTAATCAAGGAAAACGACCCGAGTAAGGGAAGTGAGGGGTACTGGCAAGCACGTATATACTAATATGAAAATGAAGGGGCGTCAGACTCGTGGTGAGAGAAAGAAACCAGGATGACTGAAAAGATCCCCTTGAGTATCGGAGAGTCAGGTTAACTCATGAAAATGCCCTCCTTTCTATACCACCAATGCGTTCACATCTCAGAAATATGATCAAACCAGCGTGACCACCTCGGACAGCAGTGATCGAGACAAACATGATGCCACCCTAATAACGCCGGCTGATGAGGGAAATAATAATAAAATAAACAACAAAATGGCCGCGGGATAATAACGAACAAGAGGTCAGAAACCAGGAAGAAGCCGCAGGAACCGTTTCCAACAACGTGAACCGCACAAGCAGGGCCTCTCTGGCCTGCCTGGTACTGTAGATCGCTCATGCAAATCGCAAGTGCATGGGAGATCAGGGATATCAACAAAACCATGATGAGAGAAGCGACTCGATGCAGGGTAGGGGAAAGCGCAGCGTAGTGTACAAAGACGGGCAAAAGGGTCATGTGCCGATATCGATCACTAGCCCAGCAGCCTCGAAGCCTGGCCATCTCAGCCGTTGTGCTTGCTCTTTGCTGAGATGATGGAAAGGCCGCGCAGTCGTCCAGGCACGAAACGACTACTACTGCTTGGTGGATGTCGGGAATCGCGATGTGCAGAATGCGAAGATTCTATCCTGGAAAGGCGGGCTGCCGTGGTAAAGTCGTTGCTGGCCTCGTAGCTGGCCCGAACACGATCCATGGATGCTCTCATGCGGTCGTATGATGGCCGTGCCCTGTCAATAGACTGGCGCACGGGAACTTCGGGAATCTCGGAGGATGTCCTATGGTGGGTATAGTTTGTCCCGTCGCTCCCGTTCTGCGTCCGCGTGTTATGCGTAGCAACCGAGGGGGGGTAGATTGGACGCCTATCCTCGTCCACGCTCGCATACTGGGCATGCTTGCCCTTCTTCGAGGACTGGGAGGAGCCACTCGATTTGCCGCTGGGCGTCATCTCGGGATTGGCTGGTTTGCCAGTCTTGAAAATGCCCAGCTGGACCTGTTCTCGAATGATGTCCACATCGTACGGCCAGTAAACCTTTTGCACGGCCTTGATCGCATAGCGAGGGAACATACACATCACCACGGTGACGAACAGAACGAGCCAGAAGTTGAGCTCGCCATAGACCTGCGGAGCCGCCTTGTAGAAGTAGGCCGAGTAGGTATTCGTCGTGAAGACGCCCGTCCAGAAGAAGATGAACAGATCGCTCAAGACGACGACCAGAACCATCAGCCAGTCCCAGCGGTAGCAGTTGATGAGAATATACAGGTTGATGGCGATGACTGCAGGATGCATGATGTAGCAGCCAAGCCGGAGCCGATCGGCCACATCCAGACCGTTGAAAGTGACGAAAGCACCACCCGTGAAACTCAGGTACGGGACGAAGAAGCACATGGCTGACTGGTACACACCGTCGAGCATGTAGAGCCTGTGGTTTGAATCCATCATCAGCAGCTGCACAATATAGAGTAATGAAGTTACGCAAGCACATACCAGAATTTGGGCTGAGTCCATTCAAGCCGCTCAATACCACGTCGGTAAAGTTGGGGGACAGCCAGCGAGACCGTGTCGGAAACGTCTTGGTCGAGGACACCCATCAGAATGACAGGGACCGAGGTGAAGAACAGGTTGAACATGAGGATGTAGGTGTAGTCGAAGACGTATGTAATATCGAAGTTGCAATACACCTGGAACCAGAAGATGGCGAAAACCCACACGATGTTCTTGTAGAAAAAGTTGCTGATGCACTCGGCGATTCGCCTGTACGACCACCGACCATGCACGAGCACCAGCCTCTGCAAGAAACGGAATTGTCCAATGGCATAGTCAGAGGACATGGCAGCTTGGCGGCCCTCCAGACCAGCAATGCCCACGCCAATGTCTGCCTCTTGAATCATGGCCACGTCATTGGCACCGTCACCAATGGATAGAGTCATGACATCAAGGCCAGTCTTGACCATGGCGCAGACCGCGGCCTTTTGAGCTGGACTAACACGACAACAGAGCACGGACTTGCACTGCTTGCACAGCAACAAGAATTTCTGCTTCAGAGCGTCGTCTAGTACAAAGCGCAGCGTAAAGCCGTCAATGACCAAGGCGTGTGTTGGCCCAGGGGCCTCGTGGTTTTTCTTCGCTAGAGCGAGGTCCTCGTCGCTGCCCGTGAGGCCAAAGACTCGGAGATGCGTATCGAGTTCCTGTTCAAGTTGTTCGAGATAGTAGTCCTGGGTAGTCGCTCCACTCTCGTCCTCGTCAACTCTTAGTCGAAGCAACTCCATATCGTTGTTCAGGAGGTTGCACGAGAATCCAATGTTGATCGCGGTCTCGACTTTGTCGCCAGTGAGAACCCACAGCTTGATGCCCGCTTCACCGAGCAGCGCAATGGTGTCGGGGACACCGTCCTGCAGGCGATCCTCGATAGCAGTACCTCCCAGAAGAGTAAGATCCTGCTCAATTTGATCTGCAGCCGCCTCCATCTTCTCCTCTCGCTCTTCCAAGGCTGTCGCCGCGGCGTCATGGATCTTGCGCCAATTGTTGTATTCCTCCTCGCCCAGAACTCGCTGAGCGATGCAAAGGGTTCGCAATCCCTCTCGGGCAAACATCTCGAGGTGCTCGGCTGTCGTCTTTCGCAGCTCTGCCTGCTCGCCTCGCCTGAGCCGAGAGTAGATAATGCTATCGGCACCCTTGCAGAAGAGAACAATTTGGCCATCTGGCATCTTGACAATTGCGCTCATACGCTTCCGGGTCGAGTTGAACTCGATCGTATTCAGGATGGGGTAGTGTCTTTCCTCACCCTTGACATTGAGCCGAATACCGTCTTGGGTGTTGCCGAGGACGGTGAAACCCATGTCTCTAGCGGTGGCCACCAGAGCGGCCTCGTCGGGAGATTGCGCTTTGAAAATGATCTTCGGGGGGTCGCCGGGTTCCTTCTCGGTCAGAACGGTGTGGCAAAGAGCGAGTGCCAGCATGAAACGCTCGTTGGCTTCTTGCTGCTCCGGCCCATGCAAGCCGGCGAGGTCGTCGACGAAATCGGGTGCGATGAAAGTCAGCTCATCGTCGTGGAGGTAGGGGTTGTCGTGCATGTGACGCAGGCCCTGGATAGTGCGGATCTTGGCGGCTGCGATTTCTACTCTGGCCTTCTCTGCCTCCTTCTCCACATCGATTCCAAGCCGCTTTTGCATGCCAGCCTGTGCTTCGGTGTATGCTTCTCCATAGGGCTGACCGTTGACGGTGGCCTTCTTGAACTCCATCACGTTTTGCGTCAGAGTGCCTGTCTTGTCCGAGAAGATGTACTCGATCTGACCCAAATCATCCGAAATATTCCACGCCTTCGGAATGCATGACTGCTCAATAGTCTCGTCATACATTTCGACGTCACTGTAAATAAAGACTGCTTGCAGCGTCCGCACGATCTCAAGGGTGATGTAGAGAGAAATGGGAACCAAGTTCTGGAAGTAGATGATGGCAGCCCAGAAGGTCACGAAACCGGCGACGGGCGGTGTACCTCCATCTGGTTCGAGATTGAAGTAATGCAGAGAGGAGTCGGTCTTTGCCCAGGCAACCCCATTAACGACGCCAGCAAGGACGCACATGATGATAAGGATACCAAAGTTCCAGAAAACGTTGTAGTTCAGTTCTCTGGCGATCCTAGCGCGCTTGCTAGGTGTGATGCCAGCGTTCATCATGATCTTTGTGTCGTGGCCGGTGAATATGACAATGCCAAGAGCCCACTCGGTATTGCGCAGGTTACAACCACGCAGCAGCACGTTGTCAATGGTGATGGGCTCAGTCATTTCGCGAGGGATGCCGCTGTCGGTATTCGGCACCTTCTGTTCCCACTTGATCGCACCATTGTACTTGTAGAGATTTGGCTGTGGCGGCTCGCTCTCGATCAAGAACTGAGCCCTTTCGCAATCCCTGGCATGCTTCAGATTTCGGCCACAGCGGAGACTGGTGCGGAACTTGAGGTTCGTTTCGCCGTCCAGGTTCTTGGTCTCGATATAGCAAGCGCCTTCTGGGTCCGAGGTGGAAAGAATGATGACATCTGCAGGAAGCTCCTCGTCGTTGTAGATACGGACGAAGTCGCCGACCTGGATGTCCTTCCAAGCGCTCCTGTGGAATCGAGCCTTGCCCTCGGGGTGGATGTCGTGGTTGATCATATCTGGTTTGATCTGTCTCAGGTCGACCTCGTTGCCTTGGAAAGAGAAGGCGGAAACCGGGCGTTCCTGGCTCTGGACCTGGAGCTGGTCTGCTGTCGGGCGGGGCGAGGGAACAGGAGTCATCTGTATCTCTTCCCGCGCCGACATGAAGGACGTGCGTTCACTGCGCGGCGACACGACCGATTCGCGGTGGGCCCTGGTCTCGATGGATATGCGCGGATCAATGCCGTTGAAGTCCGAGCCGTCTTGTCCCTTGTGATCCTTTTTCCACAGCTTCTCCATAGAAGCCCAGGTCTTGACCATGAGCCGGGTCGTCGCTTTCTTGAACTTTCTCCAGCCGGAGACGTTGTCTTCCTTGACGTTGACATTATTCCAGCCACAGAGACGATACACGGGGGAGTTATTCAACTGCTTGTCGGATGTTGTTCTCCTCCAGTCCTCAATGGCGTCCTTGATGGCCGTGACCGTGATGATGAATATCAACGGAACGGCGTTCAACCCCGGGTTGACTCCTCCGAAAATGGGAAAAATCTGACTGGTCAACCGAGTGCCCAACAATGAACCACCCTGATAAAGGGCGCGGGAGGGAGAAGAATACTTACGACCAGGATGACAAGAAACAGGAAGAAGATGTTGGCAATGTTGTGGAACTGGAACCAAATATTCTTGGGAATGAAGGATAAGGGGGTGTACTTGGCTGTCCGAATCTTGTTGCGGGTGAAGTGGGTTATGGGATCTCCATGTTCATCCTTCAAATCATCAGGGAGCGGCTGGTTGAAGTAGAGCGTCCTCGGCGGCGCTGCCTCGCTGTTGACAGACTCGGTCTCGGCAGCGTCATTGTTTCGCAACGATTCGGTGCCTCCCGAGGCTCTTTTCTTCTCGGCAGACGCGTTCTTGCCATTTGCGCGGCCGAGTAGCGATAAGCGCTTCAGATTGCTGCTCTTGACAGTCAACTTCCGCGTGGCCCATCGTGACCTTTTGGTGCGGCTCGTCTTATGTCCACCTTCGTGCTCCTGTCGAGGGGGGTGTTCGGGCTCGGTGGTCGTTATTGTCGTCATGTTGGGGGCCACTGGGGGGCCGCGAGGCCTTCTTGCGTGCGTCTTGGTGCGCGAGCGAGTCTCAGCGATACTCCCTCGTAGCAATTTCTCGACACAATTTCTCGACAGGCAGAGTCCGCGACCTCTGGCCCGGCCTTGCAGGGAACTCCTCTCCGCGGTATGGACGTCCCTTCAGTTGCGATGATCGAGCAGCTACCACGGACACATGAGCGGCACTGTCTGCGAGGAGAACTGGCAAGGTCTATGCCGCAGTCTGGCCGCGCGAGGGAGGCCGATCGTCGTGAGGGAGGATTGGTGGTTGGAGGTGGATTTTTTGGTTGATGACGGTCAAGTCGAGAACAGGGAGGGAGGACGGGCAAGTTTCCAGGCAAAGGCTTACCAAACGTCGGATGGCCCGGGTGCTAAGGGGAGGCCACAGGGCAGTAGCGGGAGGGTAGGGGGGCACGGTCAGGAGGTACCTTGTACATTGGCGCGGCAAGGGGGATACAACAGGCGCCCAATGCACGAGAGGTCCGCCCTCCCTGAAGGAGCTATGCAGTGGCAGGGTTTGCTTGGGTTTACAGGGAGGTCAGGGCTGGGGAATCCCCTAGAAAATCGCTATGCGATCTCACGTCGTCATCTCCCCTACCTCTTGCTGGGTCGGTACTCTCGACCTTGGTGAAACCGTGTGCTGTACTCGGTAATGTCGCTTGGTTCCAACCCTTCCAGCAATTACAGGGGACTTAGCGATCCCGTTTACTGTCTCTTGCAAGTGTATACATTCTGCCGGGGGTACAAAGTACCAGCAGCCAAGGAGGGCCAGGAGGGTTTTTTTTTCCTTTGTACTCGTCCAGCCTTGACGGACTCACGCCGCTGCTTGCGGGTTCAGCGTGGGACAGGGACAGAACATCCCAGCCTCACTCAGGCTGCTGTGTGTGTAAGAGGTAGGTACTTAGTTACAGTAGGTACCTATCAATGTGTGTTGCACGCGAGGGTGGAGCGCGAGGAAAGGGCGGACCCGCGGAGTACGTACTAAGGCAGGGAGGGTATGAATCGATGCTGCGCGGCCGAAAAAATTCGTACGGAGGTTCGGAGTACCTACTAGGTAGTCAGACGGGAACAACGCCCACGACTCCACGATGCAGAGGCATTTGTTGAAAGCTGGCCAAAACCGGCATTGGTCTGGCTGTGCTGGTTGTGCTGACATATCAGCCCCCCCATCACCCCCCTTGTCGCCGGAAATGACCAGGATGCTGGGCATCAAAGACACTACTTTCGTACCTCCGTACGTACCTCCATCCCAGATCGTCCCGTGTGGAGCCCACTTGGCAACCAACAGCACAGGTAGTCTCTTGCACCGAAGGGCCTAGCGATATCTCCGGCATGCTCTCTTTCTCGGGTTTTGTGGCGAGGCCGGGTCCGGAATGGGCCGCCGCCTCGCCTGCGAGGGCTCCAAACGCGTCTTGAAAGCGCCCGATGAAGCTCCATTCTCCGAGCGCATTGACAAGGAATGCATCTTCTGCTGAATGGAGCATTCACAGGTAAAATAAGCGCCAGCCACACTCTGAACTGCAGATACCAAAAGCAGTAACTAATGTCTGTTAACTACACGTGGCATTGCTCGCGACATCTTCAACTCGTCAATAACCTTGGAGCTCCTGCCTACCTATGAACCATACAGCTGTGAGATCCGGCTCTCACCATTTCAAGTAGACCCTGCAGACGTCCATTTGATACTGACAACTGGAGCCAATGCCTCTTTCAAGAGGCCAATCAAGGTCAAGACCACTGCGAGCCATCGTTCCGCGCCGAATGATGCTCAATGGCTCGGTGTGTCGGCTCCTTTGCTGGCCTCTCCTACTTGCCTCCCCGCTTTAGCATGTATATGGTACTTGGCAGTCACCTACGAAGGTCTCCTTGGCAACAAGGAGGGGGGCCTTTAATCACCGTTGAGAACCACACTCGCAACTCCATGGCTCGACTTCACCAAGGCAGCCGTAGAACATGTCCCAGACCAAGAGACCAAAGGAAGCATTTTCCCCAGCCAGCGTTGGAGATCTTGATACCGCCTGTTTTACGAAGTACAAACGCCTAAAATTATCTGCTCCGCCCTGTCGCACGCCACACGACCTGGAACATCTTACCAGGTTCAGTTAGTTGCCTGAAGGAGGTACATAAGCACCGAAAACGGCGACAGCTGAAACCGGCGCGCGGGCGGCGTGGGTTCTGTAACCGAAGCGTCCAATGGTCTCTCCGCATCCCCTGTGCCAGAGTTCCAGGCCATCGGTCTCACCAGGAGCCAACCTTTAAGATCGCCGTAAGCGCCTTGGCTTTCCAGGAAAGCGTGCTGGTTATGGGAGATCGTAATATGACATAAGACCTGACCTTCTACGCAGAATCGATTGAAGAGGGATAGATCTTCTTTAGAAAATACCGATGCGCTGCAGGGCTGTCCTGGGGCAGGACAAGAAGCGCTTAAATGACTTGATGGCGGCAGAGCAGGCCCTTTACTTATGAGAGAGTATTGTGTTGATTACTTTCCAAATTGCGATCCAAGACACGGACCTAGTCAGCATTGGGAAATGGGAGACAAGTGGTGATGTCGTATTTCCTTTGCTTTTTTTTTATCCAGCATCACCCATGGTTCCGCATTGGGTTTCCTCCATTTATCCAATTTGATGCTCCGTACGTGTGAAGGCACGGATACAGTAGAGCTCGGGGCAAGAAACCGTATTTACCAGGCAGCCACCCTCCGTGCTGTGGCCTGTTATGCATGGATGGGCAGGCACCAGAATTGAATTCACCCCCAGACACAGATCTTGGCCAACTCTATCTATGTACCTAATGCTTTTCGGCGAGATGCCAAGTTATCAAGCGAGATGGCCTGGCCGCCTTCTCTCTTCCTCCACCCCCCTTTTGAGCTGTCTGAGAACTCGTGCAGATTACGAAACAACTTCCCGGATCCGGTACAAGTAGTACGTGCGCATCTGCAGCACTTGATTCGGACATAAACTTAATATGCAGGTAGGCACGCCGTCTGTGCGAATGCAAAACCAGGGGTTGAAGGAATTCGTCTGAACTTGAGAGTCCGAAAAAGGGGGTTGGCGTTTTCGAGACGGAGCCTGGGCAACTAGACTTGCTAGTCAGGCACCAGCCAAATAATTTTCTGGGCCTTGGCAAACGCGACTTTTGCATTCGACACCGCGCTCGCGTCAAAGCCATGTCGACATCCTTCCCCGCACGGAAGCGTGTTCCACATGCCGTAAGGCTGCCTGAACGCATCCTCAGCCTTGTTCGTCATCCAGCAACCTCCAATTGCACAGCGCACCCGATAGAACAGCGTGTGTGCCAGTTGGCCGCCATCAACCATCCCGGCGCCTGGCGAGGTCATCTACACGGCGAGGTATGGTAGCCCTTCTGGGCAGCGCTCCGTCGGCAAGATGAGCAAAAACGGCAGCATCCGCAGCTTCTTCAGGCCAGTCCCGCAGGCTTCACACACGTCACAGCCCTCGCCGCCCTCAGAATCCCAGTCTTCTCTTCCACAGCCACCTTCGTCGCCAAATCCGGCCCTGCTGTCTTCACCGCAGCCTGCAACGCCACCACGCCCCCATGCCATCAGCCGTGATGCCATCATCCACGGATCGGATGAAGAGGACGATGCGTCCGACTCATCACTGCCTGATCTTTGCGCGCTTCCCCGCCAAGCCGAGTCGCCTATAGCATATCCCTCTCCTGCCCCCAAGGACCGCAATTCCTGCGTGACGCCTAGGGCGAAGAGGACGGCCAAGGAATTCCATTCCTCGCCGTTGACTCTGATGCCCAAATACAATCTACCGCCAAAGTTTGATCTCAAGGCGCTGTTGAGCCACGCCAGGAAGGATGACGCCACAGAGGCAAGTGCCCAGAGGGTCTCGGCTACGATCTCCAGGAAGCAGAGCCCATCTGCCCTTTCTGCACAAAACGATCCCGCCGCAGTGTTGCACAAGCATGTGATGGACCTGGGAGATGGCGATGACGACGAAGATGCAGAAGTGGACAAGCATAAGCTTCGCAGAGCCATCGACCGGACCGAACTCGGAGCCGCCCGCAAGAGGTGGTATTTCTTCAAACAAAACTTTGAGCCGCCGCCCTTTTCTCAAACTCCTTTCCCGAACGCGGCGGCGACAGGCAGATGGCGCTTCTTGAAGGATGCAAAGTCAAGGCGTGAAGACTTTGAGAACGGCATCCCCCAGCTCATGGTGACGAAGCAGAATGACTTGCCTGATGAGATTTTCCTCTGGGTGCTGGACCAAGCATGCCTTGAGCCAGCTGATTCTCTTCGAGCGACCTACGTTGGACTGCTTTCAGTCTGCAACCACCATATCACTCGTCTTGTCGATGCGGACCGCCTGAAGCAGATGTTCCACAGCTTGGGGTGCCGTTGGGAAAGCACCGATTTCTCGAGTCGGCTGGACAGTATTCAGGAGTTCAATGATCCATATCCGGGTAGGACCTGGTCTCAGCTTCGATCTGTCCTTCAGTTCCTGTCTGTCGCAGCACCACACATGTCGCCAGCCTGTCTGACGTGCGCTACCAACATCCTTCTACGACTGGGAATCGACACTGTTGTGATTGAGAACCCAGATATCATGGTCGCTTACGAGGAGGCTCTTGCAAACATTGCCGACAATGTGGCAGCGAACCATTGGCATGAGTTTGTACGTCCCGTTCCCTCTTCTACGTGCACTGATGGGGCCGACATGTAGTTTTGAGATCGCGGCTAATACGTGTTACGATAGTGCGAAGAAGTGTGTATGACTTTGTATACAAGCGTGGAGCAACCGACCCTGAGGTGGCAATCTCTGTCTTGCATGCCGTCAGGGAACCCCAGAGTCCACGATCTACGGCGAAGGATCGCTGCTGTGTCGTTCTTTGATGACCTCAAATACTCCCTGCACGATGCCATCTCGACGCTCCCAATCAGCGTCATCACAGATCGACTGAGAGCAGACGAGCTCACCGTAAATGCTCAAACCGATTATTACGACCTGACGGCAATGATCAGACTTCTAGACATCACCGTCAACGACGGACTGAGTAATGCGTACAACCCCCCGGACGCACACACCGATTTCGACACCGACATCGACAACCTGGCGCAGCGGCTCAAAGAGATCTGGCAGGGCATCAGCACTTCCGGCGCCGGGTACATATCTCGACTCGAGGCCAAGACCACACTGAAGAGCGTTCAGGAACGGCTCACGCACACTGTGCGCTCACGGCCCAAGCCAAAGACGGACATTTACAGCGCCCTTTCGGCGTCGAAGACAGAGGACCCTTTCCAGGCGAAGAAGGAAGAGAGGCAGAGGGAGAAGCAACGAGCCATGATGAATAGCTTTCTCCGGAAGGCGAGGCCGGTGGACTCTTTGACGTAATGACTAACCATGGTTTCTCGTCTGCGGTTCGGCAACAGATTTCCTGGGCCGTATTCAGTTTCAGCAAAACAAGTGTATCATACAGAAGTCTATATTGTTATGACGATGATTTAAATGACTTGCTAGGAACGACAAGTCCAAGCCTACACGCAACTTCCTGCTGAGTCCAAAACCGTACAAAGAAGCTTCTCTCCGGGTCGCAAATGCAATGCGTACAATAACAAGAGATACCAAGCGGTCCATTAGTCAAAGAACTTGCGGTTGGGGTTCGGCCCAAACAGGGTCTTGCGGACTCCTGGCAAGGCACTGTCTTTAAGAAGGTCTAGCCGGGCGTCAAACGTGTTGTCGATATCAATCTTGCCCGCGCCGCCCACGATAGACACTCCTCCAGCGCTAGAAAGCACGGGTCAGCCATTTACATCACCAAGAGACATCGGGGGTGTTGCCAGTCAGACTCACCTTCCTTCAGGCAGAGGGTTGGCCTCGTCGATTGTCGCCTTCACCTCTTTGCCGACCTCCTTCTTGTACTCCTTTGCCGCATCTTCGATCGCCTTCTTAACGGTGTCGTAGTCGGCCTTGCGTGCCCGCACCTGGAGCTCGGGCTCGTTCATGGCGTAGAAGCCCTCCAGCAGGAGGTTCTTCAGGATGCCGCGGTAACGGCTCTTATCCTTGGTACCCTCGGCGAGCTTCTTCTGGGTCGTCTCGAAGATGTCGTCGAGCAGCTCCTGCCTGGCGGCGAGGACCTTGAGCCGCGTCTTGTTGGCGACGGTAGAACGGGTGATCTGCTGTGACATGGTGGCTTGCTTGAACTTCTTCTCGTAGGCGGCGTCGATCGCATCGGTCTCCTGCCGCACGAGCTTGGACTTCTCGATGGCGAACTCCTCGTTGGCCTTGATCTCAATCTCGCGCGCCTTCTCCATGGCCTCCTGCTTGATGAACGCCGTCATCTTGCGGAGCTCTTGTCCGACCTGTTGTGGCAGCGAGGTCATTAGCATGATGTCCAATTCGTTGGGCTTGTGGCTGGGCAATGCATTCAAGCTTCTGCCAGTGTTCCGCCTGAAAGCGAGATCGTGTGATCATGGACACAGGTTCTGAAGTGATCGGGAACATACTTGGCTGTCGGACAAGGCGTGGACTTGAGACATCTTGGCTGCTGATGTAGGAGGCCTGGCGGGGATGAGGGTATTATGTCGTCGGTGTTGGCCAAGGGGTAACGCTGCGTAGGATGTATGTGCGCTACTCGCAATGCCTCTTCGGTTTCAAGGTTGGATCGTTCGGCTACGTGTGCAGGCTGCTCGGTATCGTGGTGTTGCGCGAGAATGCAAGATCGAGGCTGCCAATATGTTGGTTCAACTGTAGTCCACAGCTTAGCTCGGGGACGGCTCGTGAGAGTGACGAGTGACGATGGGACTTGGAGCTACCAGCCAGGTAACAGGGGGCCAATAGATAAGATAAGAAGAATCACGTGCAGCACACTGCCCATTCCAAGGCCCAAGTGACGAAGCTCGGCGACTAGCACCACCAGAGTGCGCTAATGTCGCGGGCGCGCAAGGAGGGACCCTCTCTGGCCCCTCTGTCCCTGCAGTGGATGGGCCACCTGACGGGCCCCAAGCGACGGCGGTCAACAACCAAGGGCGGCGAACAGCCCAGATCTCGAGTGTTTCAACTGACCTGTATCTGCGTATCACCTCAACAAACCAGCATTTGTGCATGCAGCGGCGTTGCTCTTCTGTAGTATACTCTTATCTTTTCCCTAATACTGGTCCCTAAGTAGTTGTCGAGTTCGGCTCGACCATAGTTCTGGGCCCGGCGGCACTCTCGTGTGGCATAGAGTGGCGAGCTCTCAGCAAACCGCCATTGCATTGCAGGGACCCCGGCCGTCGTCATTGACCCATCGAACGAGCCACCGCCCAACGCTTCAACGAACGAACCCTCTCCCGAACCACGCTTCCCACGGGTCGGCGCATGCAAGTACTTTCCTGGTCGGCGCTTCTATCCATTGTCCCCAACTCCTCTTGCCCACCATATGCGACACTTGGTTGTTGGGAGGTCGTCTGCGCCTCCTGCCAGATGACATCAGGGCGCCCAATACTCCAGTCATGGGATCTCTCGGCGGCCTCTCCCCTGGCGGGAGCATCGCTGTATGTCTCCGTATCCTGGGCCCGACTTGGGTGTCCCTCTCATGCTAAAGCCATGTGATATAGGTCGGCATCATTGTTGGGTTGATGTCCACGAGCGTCCAAAGCCTTGGACTTACCTTGCAACGAAAATCGCACATCCTAGAAGACGAGAAAGGCCCTCTCGATGTACGACGGCCACCGCATAGAAGAAGGAGGTGGCAATTGGGCATGGGCATGTTCATCATGGCAAACCTGCTGGGAAGCACGGTACAGATATCGACGCTGCCCTTGCCGGTGCTCTCGACACTGCAAGCATCGGGCCTTGTGTTCAACTCGATTTGCGCGACGCTCATCCTCGGCGAGCCCTTCACGAGGTGGTCACTATGGGGAACATTGCTTGTGTGCGGTGGCGCGGTCTTGATTGCGATATTCGGGGCCATACCATCGCCAGCGCATAGCCTCAAAGAGCTTCTCGCCCTCCTTGGCAGGAAGCCTTTCATTGTCTGGATGTCGCTCCAGGCGGTCCTCGTGATAGCCATCGCGGTCGCGGTCGACCTTACGAATGCGCTCTCCAGTCTCTCGCAGAGTTCCCGGTTCCGTTTCGCGCGAGGCCTCGCTTTCGGTTGCATAAGCGGCATCCTGTCAGCGCATAGTTTGCTTGTTGCCAAGTCCGCGGTCGAGTTGATTGTGCGGACGATAGCAGACGGCAACAACCAATTCAACCGCTGGGAGTCTTGGGTCCTGGTGCTGGCCCTCGTCGTCCTCGCCCTGAGTCAGCTGTATTATCTCCATCGTGGCCTCAAACTCGTTTCAACATCCGTTCTATACCCCCTTGTTTTCTGCATTTATAACATCATCGCGATCCTTGACGGGCTCATATACTTCAACCAGACGAACCTCATCAGCCCTCTTCACGCCTGTCTGATATCTCTAGGCACCGTGATACTTCTCTCCGGCGTTCTGGCCCTCTCTTGGCGTCTTAGCGACGAACAGCATCAACCGGCTGTGGGCCAGTCAACGCTTGCCCCCGGGTTGGGCATGGTGGAGGATACTGAAGGCGAAGAAGAAGAGGAGGATCTTCTTCTCGGGTCAGACATCGCAGATGATGAGGAAGGCGCCGCTCTCGCACGGCCATACGCTTATCAGACATTCGAGTCGGGAAGCTCCCGTCCCAACATCAACGGCGAATCAGCCACGCCGTTGACGCCGACACGGCGAGTCTCGCTGGTGCCTTCGCTGAGAACGACTACCTCGCGGTGGACGGAACGTGCGGAGATCTGGGACGAGTTAGAAGATCAGGAGAACCCGAAATCTCCCCTGCCGGGCTTGGGGAGGCGCCGCAGTAGCACGCTTCCAGTCCTGGGCGAATCCTCGACTCTGCTGCCCACCCCGCGGAGAGGAGCAAGTGGCGGCAGCCCTTTCGGGCTTGGGGCGGGAGATGATGCGGCCATGGCTAGTGAGTCGCAATTGTCGCCCCACAGGCCTCACGGGCGTAGGAGGCGGAAGTCCACGGGCTTCAAGGGCTTTCAGGCTCGAAGGTCTTCCAGGAGGAAGAGCTCGAGCGGTCTACAGGACGCCGTGGCGGGGCTGTGGAGGTTGAGGTGGTGGAATAAAGACAGAAAGGAGAGGGCGCGGGATACCACAGTGGAAAGCCCTTTGGTGGAAGATCGGAATCGCTGGGCAGAATACAGAGATGATCCGGGGAATGACGGCAACACTGGCTCAGATCCGGCTTTGTCCAGATCTAGAGGTTGACAGCCAGTTCCTGTGTAATAGATTCGTTCTAGGATATGGCCGGTTCAAATATACGACGGGTCCGACCAAGTTTCTTTCCCTCCAGACAGGCCCGCTCTCATCACAGAATTAGGTCCGATGAAGCGGCGTGCCAGTCAATGCTTGCCAGAGGAGTCTTTTAACAAAGCACTGTCATTCCCTCCCTCTCAGTCTCACTGTCTTGCATGTTTGGAAACTAATGCTTTTTTTTGTGTAAGATAGGTATTATAAAATGCGAGGTTCGGGTACACCTTTCTATACGACGATGTTGTCCACAACAAACAAAGAACTCAAGTGATGCATGCTACAAGTATATATAGCTCATGGTTGGCAACGAACACTGGCCAAACATAGCCCCTGGCTATCCCAACCACCCAAAACACCAAACTTCCGCCTCTCTCCGGATATCCAACCCCGACAGACTGCCAACCTGGCTCTATCCGCACTCGGCGGAGGTGGCCTCTCCCGAAACCGTCATCAGCAGACGTGGACTTTGGCTTAGAAAGTGCCGCGGGCATCGCTCTTCTCGTCAATGTGGCGGAAGCGCTCGTTCTCCTTGCGGTCCTTTGCCAGGCAGGCCGTGGCGAGGATCAGCACGCCGTCGATACCGCACATGCCAAAGACGGCGGTGAAGATGTCGTCGACGAAGACGTTGGCGAAACTCGAGATCGGAGTCGCGCACCCGCGCATCAGGGCCGCCGCCGCCGGGCTGGGGCAGGTAGCATCGGTGACGAAGGCCGGCGAAGTGCTGTTGAAGTAGCCGCAGCAGTTGAACTGTGATAAAAAGAAAAGGCAGCTGGTTAGTATTCCATAAGGAAATGCGTGCGCCTGCTGGGGTCTGGGACATGAAAGGGAGACGTACGGCTGTCTGCATAAGGGACTGAATCTCGGGCGTCTGTGCGATCCAGATAGGCGCGAAGTCCTTCTTGACGGTGAGCGTCAGGATCCAGAGGTACAGGCCGAGAATGAGCGAGAAGGCGGCGCACACGGTGACCAGGTAGCCGCTGATCTTGAGCCACGCGCGGCTGGGGGTGATGATGGCTGGCACGGTCGAAAGGAAAGTCACAAAGATGAAGACGGCGTTCACGATGCCAGCTGCTCGAGGGTTAGCCATGCATCTGCATCCGCCCCCGCCGCCTCTTCCCCAAGTGAACACAACATACCGGTCAGAGGGAACTTCTGATAGAAAAGGTTCCTCGCTGCTTGCATCCCTTCTGCGGGTGTCGTGAAAGCGTCATTCTGCACAATGACCGAGAATCCGAGCATGATCGCCCCCATGATGACGAAGAGCCCATCGGCACCGATGTAGGCGAGAAGGATCTTGTTTGCCATCTTTCAAGTGATCGTGACCCAGACAACCGTATTCGATTTCTTGGTTTTGTTTTCTTTAAAATTTGTCTCCTTCCTCTCGTCCAAATCGACGTCCGGCGTCCTTATCCCAAACCTCCCAAAAAACAACAGCAGCAAGATACTCGGCGAATAAAGGAAGTAGTAGCCGAACAAAGGAAGTAATAGCAAGGGCGAGGTCGACCGGCAAACCCAACACCTGGAAGGGGATAGAAGGCAATAGATCAAGATGATCGCAAGGTCACAGGAGAAGGGAACGAAAAGGAAGTAAATATCAGAAGCGAAGGGACTCAGACACAGCTGCGTCGAGATCAACAACGACAAACAAAAGTTTGAGGCTGAAGGCGAAGGGAATAGTAGAAGAAGACGGGAGGTAGAGAAGAGAAAGAGGACGAGAGACACGAATGCTGGACCAGCCGTCGCAACAGAATTGAAACCAACCCACCAAGGTGAATCGCAAAACCTACGAGCAGACGATATGGGAGAGAGAACTGGGAGCAGGACCCCAGATCGCTGGCGGCCATTGGTGGTGGTCCATGATCCCTGACGCGAAGGCGTTTCAGAGTGTGTTAGAGAATGGCCGAGAGCCAAGCGTTCGTGGTGTGGTTGCGTTGCTTTCTCTGCTGCGCACAAACCACATGCCGCCCAGAGACCTCTCCTGGCGCCTGGAGACCAGCCAAGTAGGGGGGTTCAGGCTCCACTTCGCGTCCCCCAAGCCACTGTCGAGGCCGCACAACGCCCGTAAGTCGCACGATTACAGGGGGCATACAGTTGCATACGAGTCGGAAGACTTTCCAAGGGCTGCGTAATGAGGTACCTACATGCCTAGTAGGGATTTATTCATTCAGACAGACACATTCATCATCTGTGCTGTACTCAAAAAGCAGTCGATCAGATCGTCCGTAGGGATGACTTACATTTCCGGATTTGACTCAGCCCTATCTTGTATGGGAGCGGTGGCCAGTTCGTACAGAGGTTGCAGGCATTTTTGTTCCCAATGGTTCATCATGGGTCATCATGGTCATCTCACGGCCTAAAGTAATCATTGCGCCAGGCAAGCCGCATTGTAACCCCAGCATGTCTCTCGATCTGCGTGTGGATTGCCAAAGAATGCCAAAGGCCGGCCATTTGGGATACAAGGTCCATTGCCATGTGTGCTTTCTATCGAGTTTACTAGGTCTGCAATCATGTCTCGCGGGTCAAATACGAGGTTACTAGCACAGAGCAGTGATGTGTTGTTGCCTCATCGGCTGGCCGGCATCATCGGGTCATCGCGTGCATGGGCTTCGTCCTCCCTTCAGGTAATTTATCTACCTAGGTAGTTGGCTGAGTTTTCACCTACTTGGTGCTGCATATGCAATCAGCCTCAGCGTCTGCAACTCCACGTGAGGACGCAGCCGGTCCAGCACATATGCGTTCCGAGACAGGCCAAAAGGGGCAGACGGATGTGTCTTTGCAACTAGCCGGTGTCGTGCGCGGGAATGGGAACCGCAGCCGGGTCGTACAATTGGCCGCGGCCGACTGTTGATTGCCGACCTCGCGATTCTATTCAACAGCGTACAGCGTCGTCCGTCTGATCGGTGAGAAGTGCCTCCATGTTGTAGGCCCGATGCCATCTCAGAACCGCGGTGGTGATCCTCACAAACAGAGCACCATGCAAAAGTCCATCTCGCAGTCTGCTTGTGTGATGATGGAGAGGGGCCGGCCGATCTTAGTCATTGAAACTAAAATTGCTGACATCTTGCAGTATCCCAGAGGCCGCTGACTGGGGCAGTGAGCGACTTCAAGAACCAAGCACGGAGGTATCTCCTTGCTTTCCCCGATTGTAGGCCCGAGATTGGAAGAGATGGGTGCCAGTGGGCACAGCCAATCAGAGCCTGGCTGACTTCCATAAGAAGAAGCTGGCCGCCCTTTCCTCCTTTCAGCCATCGCACTTGTCCTTTTTCTGACACGCTGTGCCATCTTGAGACTCGGCTGATCTTGCATCACTCTGTTTTTGATCTACCTCTTTACTTGCGCTTTGCGCAGAGCACTTACACCATTTTGCGCTTCGACACCAGCCATTCCCAGTGCCTACAACACTGCTCCATCAGTCAACCCATTTCCCCCCTCAATCGGCGTCAGTCGTTCACCGCGGTCCCAAAGGGGAAAGTACGTTGCAGTACCACGAAACCACGGATCAAAGCCAAGCGCCTTCCCTTTCTGAGCATAGGCTGGGTCTATTTTTTGTCTTGCCTTTCAACGTTCCTTATTCTGATCCCTGGGCTACATGTGTTAGTCAAGTGTCTGGCGACATCGACATCGACATTCGAGGTGACGGAAAACGGTTCGTCCACTTGACAAAAGTGAAGGCAACTTCAGCACGCGAGGGGGCGGGTTTCCTGAACGCCAAGCGCCTACGAAATACACGTAGGTCGTCTATCTCTTCCGTACTTACGCGCCCTTCTTTGATTTGGCGGACCCGGTCTACCTACCTATCCTGCGCCAATTTCCGCAAAGTGTCAGTACAAAGTCGTCTTTCGTCTTCCGTGTTTGGTCATGCTTTCCACCCCCGTGTTCGCAACTTTCCTTCCATTACGGCACTCCCATGCACCAGTCCTGTCATGCTGCTGCTGTTCATGCGATGCTGTCACTTCCTGCTGCAGCAAATGCACCCTGCTCCAATCCTGATTCTTGTCTATCCCGACTTTCGCCCTGCAAGATTGCGAGATGGGCCTAGGCGGCGTCCAGGGTAGCATCCGGGCACCTGTCATCATGAAAATCCTAGACATTTTCAGTCACACGCTATCTCCTCCCCCCGCTTTTCCTCCCTTGCGCGTTGGTCGACGCCCCCACTGCACTTTCCCCTATTCCTCTCCCCCCCCCTTCTCTTCGTATGGCAAAGCTCCTGGTTCAGGCAAAAGAGAGGCCTTGTTCACCTGGACGAGCCCTCCATGGATCACTGCATACCATCCCTGTCACACGAGCGTGTTCAATATTGTGTCAAAGACACGCCGTGAATCCCGCATTGGCAAGACCAGCGTGGAGCACATTTTGCCCTTTTTGCCCTGCGTTTGATGGAGCCGATCCGAGAGACTGGTTGTTCATCAAAGCTCGTTGATGCGCGCCGGCACGGTAGCATCGACCCGTGTACAGCTGAAATTCGTCGGCCTGTACTTGTATTTTGAATGATCTCTACCTGGTCTCTCCGCGCAGCCGAGTACTTCGTCCGAGTCTCGGCTGGAGAGCAAGAAGCTCTGCCTCTGGAACGAATCGCTTTGCCAGTTCATATCAGCGACTGGGGACGACGTTAAACTAGTCTGGCCCGATTCAACATGCCATCCTCCTTCGCACAGTGGACTCGACCAGCAAGATGTTGTTCTGTCCGGCTGCATCGGGGTGACCCCTGTTCCCTTGGTGCATGGGGGGAGGAGGATCCGCCCGTCGCGTTCCAGTCGACAACACCTCAGGTACCTACCTGTTCACCCATGGGCCTGGGGAGTGCATTGCGCCGGTGTGGTTGTGTGCACTGTGCACCGGTGACATTTTGACCGGGTCCTGGGCAAGGTTATCGCCCTTCCCGTCCGTTGCCCTGGTCCAGACACTACACACCTCGGTCCTGCGTCTCTCGACCAAAGGGCGACATCTGCGTGATCCATGTTGGAATCGACCCAGCGACTGCCAGCAAGTCTGCAGCGCGGTGTCGAGCGCGCAGAGCTGCAGCCACTGGGGATCGTCCTACACATGCAAGGATGCTGCCGGAAGCCTTACGCGCATGAGAAGGGGGCATGAACCGTGGCCAATGGTCCGCTGTCAAATCCTCAACCGGTGTCGTGTAGCTGAAAATGCAAGACAGATCCTCTGAGGTCTACGCTACCTGGGCGCACAAGTGCGAGCGCTAGGGGAAGCCATGTATCGGCGACCTGGCTTTGGCTGGCCTTCCCGATCAACTTTCACCCCATTCCCCACTTTCTTTAGAATTATTAATTGTCATTTTGCTCTGGGGACAGCTCAAGCGTCTCCAAAGGCCCTCTGTGGGTCGCTGGTTTATTACCGCGAGCTCGCTTTGACCATTCGACCCCGCCCATCGCGCTAGAGGCGACAGCACCGTGTTTTTTGCTGACGGACCCAGTTGGGACGAATTGGAGATGCGCCATTCGCTGACCTCTCTTCTGACAGCACCAAGCCGTGCATCAACAAGCTTCACTAGCACTAGGCACTGAACGGCCGGCCCTTGGAAACAGCCACATGCGACAGCAATAAACCCCGACAACTCCGGTACTCGGCGGCGGTTGTTGAACAGGCGTTGGGAACCTCTGCATACGAAAGGACGCTCGCGAGGAACAAATCGTACTCCGTAAGTCGACAAGTCTCTCGTTTTGCATTCCTATTTCCGTATCTGCGCCAAGGGACATTCCAGCGAAGAGCTGCTGTGCTCTGGCCTGGCAGGCAAATGTCGCGCGTAGTTGCGTCGGGACCGCATGCCTGTGAGAGACAAGCATGCATGCAGAGTGGTGCTCCGTACCTAGGCTCTCTCTCCACGCTCACACTGACACACACACACACTCTCTCTCTCTCTCGGTCTCGTCTTTTTTGCCCGTCCAATGGTCGCGCGACTGGGCTGGCACTACGCCGCCCACCCGCTCGCCGGGTCCCCCAGTCCCAGGGTTCTTTTAGCACTGTAGACCGGGCGATGTTGGGGGGGCACTCTAGCTGCAGTTGCGCTGCAGGTGGTGCCGCTGGTAGCTCGCCCGCCGCTTCCCCTCCACCCCTGTCTAGCGCAGCACTTTGCATCCTTCGGCACTACCAATCGCCAGCCACCCACGTTCCCACCCCCCCTTCCCCCTCCCCTCCTGCCCTTTCCTCCTTTCCTCTTTCAAGTCAAGCAGCCCACGGATTGGCGTCGTCCCCCGCCCTCGCCCTTCTTTTTTAAAGTGTCTGGCTGTGTCCCGCAGCTGCCCGTGGGTGTTACCACCTCACTATCCTCTTTTCATTCATTCCGCACTCAACCAAGCCTGATCAGTGCAAAGCGCTGTCACTCCCCCCCCAAGTGACACTTTGCTTATTTCGAAATCAGATCAAGATCAAAGATCGCGGTTGGACACGCCCAAAATACAATCAAGCCAAGCTTGTTGACATATTCCTCGGAGGAAAAAGAAGAGACGCTGATCGAGTCTGTCAAGTCCAAGCCACACTCACTGCCTCGGCATATTCTTCCTTTCTTTTTTTTGACTTTGGCCTGCCCTCACACCTCCCTGCACTACCGTTGAAAAGCGCCCCATCCTGGCCCGTATCAATCAACGGACTCCAGCAAGTTACCGAGAAGGACGAAAGCACGGTCAGCGCGCGTGCCACCAATTACCTCCACACGCGAACAACCTGGCCCGGGACCCCCTCCTCAATCCCACCCCCAGACCAGACCCGTCAAACAAAGCAAAATAAAAATTAAACCTGATTCCTCGCTTCCTTCCGCCGGCGCACCAGACTCAATTCAGCCAGCACCCAACCAGGTTTCTGCGTCAAAAAGGCAACTTACAACAGAGCCTCTCCGCACAGAGCCAGAACAAGTCTAGGTCATCGGCACAACGCTCAAAAGAGCATCTCCACCAATCTTTTATCCTTTTGTAGTTTCTTGTGAAACCACAGCGCAAGCCGAGCAAAATGGCCGACATCACGGATCAGCACGACCAGACGGCCGCGACCGAGCTCGACGACTCGCAGTCGGTCGGCAACGGCGCAGGTGCAGGCGCCGCCGAATCGCGTGGAATCAAGCGCCAGCGCCCCAGCACTGCCGACGATGACGATGATGATGACGAGAAGGGTGGCCGCGAGCGTCGTAAGATTGAGATTAAGTTCATCAGCGACAAGTCGCGAAGGCACATTACCTTCTCTAAGCGCAAAGCTGGCATCATGAAGAAGGTACGTCGCTAATCGCGCTGATTGCATCGATCGTCGCTCTACCCCTTGCGCCTTCCGCCTTGCGCGCGCCAGCACTTTGTGCGACGCATCATACATGACGGATTCTCTGCGTCGCACTGACAGTCTTTGATGGCAATTGCTGACCTATTTTGCGACTCTAGGCGTACGAGCTCTCTGTACTCACCGGGACACAGGTCCTGCTACTGGTGGTCTCTGAGACCGGCTTGGTATACACCTTCACGACGCCTAAGTTGCAACCGCTCGTCACCAAGGCCGAGGGCAAGAACCTCATTCAGGTATGCGGCATCTTTTGGCCCTCCTCGTGTCTGCCTCGGAAGCTAATCATCGCTCTTTCAGGCTTGCCTCAATGCCCCAGAGCCGACGCCTGGTAACGAGAACGGCATGGATGACCAGAACCAGGTCGACTCGCCCGAGGAGACGGCCAACAGCCACCTTCCTCAGAGGAACACTGCGATGGCTCAGAACCCGCATGTTCCTCCTCCATACATGCCGAATGTCACGATGGACCCCCAACAGGCCCTTGCCTACTCCAACTATGTGCAGCAACAACGCGGTGCGCAATATATGCCGCAGTCGGGACTTCCTCAGCACACCTCGCACCAGTCATAACGACCGGTGTGACCAACCCTACTTTATCTTGCGCGCGCTGATACCCAGCATACAATGCATTTCCTGCGATGTCGCGCTCTAGAATGGGCTCCCCCCCTCCAAGCCCAGGCACAGGCGCGGCCTTAGTCTTTTTGGCGTTCATATTCGATGTCGATAACTCGCGTATTTATCTCTCTTTCTCCACTATGTTTTTGAGTGGTCTTTTTACACGCCCCTCATCTTCACTCAGCCCTCCGGGCTTCCCCGTACCAGGCGTGGGAGCATCACGGGGCTGGACTACCGATGATGGGTCCTAAGGCCTTGCAATCGACACGTCGTGTTGCCCACCGCGCTGCCACAGTATCGAAAGCGCTGAATTCGTTCATTTGCAGGTTGGGATGGCATGTGCCGGACTTGGTCGCGGCATTGGCAATAGGACTCCGGCGGCAAAGTTGTTTCTTCTGTGAAGCGAAGCATGAGACGGTCGGTGGCTTGTTATCTTTTTTTGTGTGAGATCACGGCAGCGTGGGCCAGAATTGCCAGGGCTCGCACGTCGTGCGCACTTTTTGCATGGTGGACCGATGCAGGGGTTCTTTCTTTATTTATATGCAGGGATGCTCAAAGGGAAGGGGAGGCGGACGAGCAGCATGAGACTATGATTCCCCAATGGATCACAAAAGGCTGGATGAGGCCCGGAGCAGCGGCCATCCTGCCTGGTGGTAATACTAATAGTCAATCCAGTATAACGTCACAGGACCATGGTTAGGCAGAATTCAACCGACATCCTCAGGTTGTCACTTTTCATCAATACCCTGGCTCCTTTGTCTATGGTTTGGACAACTTGATTCCTACAAATTCCACTTGCGATCCGCGTGCTGTGATGGCGATTTCATGTACCTATGCTTTGGGGCTTGTCAGCATGAAGACTGGGTCCAAGGCATAGCACCTTTGTACTTGCATGTTGGTTGGCAAAGCAAGCATGGGCGGATGGGCTTAATATCTCGAAAGGTTGAGTGACAAGGACGATGGCTTGATTCTCTAGGTGCCGCAACAGGCGCTCTTGTCGGTCATTCTATCATCATAGCAAGCACCTTAGGCGGTGCAGCTGTGCACAGATAGTTCAGCGTGGTAAGATCAGATCTGCCCACTCAGCAGGCAAGGCTTTGAAGAAGCTTGCTAAGAAGCTTGCTAAGAAGCTTGCTCAGGTTCGACGGCGCTTTGATACACGAGGCTCGACTGAACACCCCCCCCCCCCCCCCCCCCTCCCACCTCCCCCTCCCCCCACCCCCCCC